TAGTGTGTGAGTGTGAGTGTGTGCTATATGGTCTATGTGTCGGTGACAAGTTCCAAACAATAGAAAACAGGGAAAGCAAAAGCAACAACAGAAGCGGCAGCAGAAAAACACCGACAGCCACAAGGAGGTTGGCAAATGCCGAAACCACAAAAAAATAATGACAAAACTGGCCAGAGACATGAAGATCGGGGTAAGGAAATTACGGGGTATATATGGGGTAATATGGACGCGGGGAAGGACGGGGAAAACCAACAGCCACCGAGGAGAAAGTGGCCCGCACAGTGGAACTAGTGGGTGTAACTATGGTTAAAAAATATCGGGAAATTGGAAGGGGAAAGAAAAATGATTTCTTAACATATTAAAATTCTACAATTAAAAACATATTTCTAAAAAAGTTTTTTTCTTTGCATTTTTCGGTATATTATGAAGTTTAAAACCATTCATTGTTGATATATATTCTTTTTATACTGCTACAAATATTGTTATTAAATACTATTATAAAATCCATTCGAATGGAGCCATAAAACCCCGCTTTTACCCCACTGTGCGGTGGCCAAGCGGAAATGAAAGTTTTGCGAAATTGCAACCACATTTGCATGTGTGCGAGCGTGAGTGTGTTTGTTCGGGGTGTATTTAGTTAATGGACTAGTTTTGTTATATCCCTTGGAGGTCCCCCGTCCAAGGCCTCTCCACTAACAAATCCACTTAGGAGGACTCTTTTTCGGACTGCGGTCGACCGCACAAATCCAAATCAATCAACGACAAGGCTGCCCCCCGCGTTTTTCTATTTTTATTCTCCTCTCGTTTTGGGCCAACTTACAACTGTAAATGCTGCACGGCTAATTGGTTTAGGGGAGGGGGGGTGGAAAGTGAGAGTGAAAAGTGGGTGGCGGTGGCCGCCTCATCAATCATCGAGGAACACGGACCGCCTGCCGGGAAATGGACCCCAATCCGGAACGGGAATCCCAATCCAAATTCCTTTGTTTCTCCGCCCCGGCTTGTTGACATTTCAGGTTGAGTTGTCAGCCCCCAAAAGCTAATCCCAATCCCGAATATTGTAACATTGTAACACTGGAACATTTGAACACCCGGAGTTCTCCAAACACGATATCTGGCAACCACCCCTCCCACTTTTCGATACATTTATCGGCCTTTTGTTTGCGCCTTTTTCGCCTGCCTTTCGCCTTTGTTTGGCTTTCAAATAAAAATCAAAAAATCATTAATTAAATCGTAAGTCAGCCGGCTCCTCGCTTTTTTCGCCTTTTCCCTCCTTTTTTGGACAACCGTCGGCGGTTGATGTTGACATTTATAATACATCATCCTTGATCGAGCTCATAAATAATTGGGCAATCACAGGACGGCGTGGAAAAACGCTGGGCCAGGAGATGTTTCTGTCAATCAGCAATGAAATATTCATTTCCTTACGATATTATTATTTGATTTGACGTCTTGAGTGCTTTATTAGTTTTGGCATTCGGTGATGGTGTTGTTTTTGCAGTATATACGGTAGTTTTGTAAATATTTTACAGAATTGGTGGGATTATTAAATCTCTTAGTAAATTCTAAGAAAACCGATTACAAATCAAAGTTAAAAAGTCTTCAGATGCCGATTTATTCAGTGACATCTGTTGAGCTGGCATCGCAGCATCGCATCCTAGAAGGACATGGATTACACATTCATTGTGATCTCATTGCGGGGAAATTGTTCCGGGAAAACCTTGCTCCCAATCGGCTTTTCTCCGGCTCCCCCGCTTTTCCGCTTTTCCGCTTTCCCGCTCCAATCGGGTTAAGGGATGCAATGCGGTGCGGTGGGCCAAGAACCGTGCAAAACCGGGCCGAGATGGCTGCAATCCGCGGCTTAAAAGGGAATCGCTGCCGGACAGAAATGGCCAAGGCAAATTGCAAAACTTTGTGCGCCAGCTTTGAATGCCATTAAGTGTCGCAGCAACAGCCGTGCACCCACACATGGCGCCACCCTAAAGCACCACCCTAACCACCCAACCCAACCCAACTGTCCGGGTAAAAAATGTTGTGACGCTGACATAATGGCAAAATCAGGCACGCACACAAAGGCAACCGCGAGGTTTATGCCTCGCAAGGAGAAGGACTGCTCGCCAGCTAGGATTAAGCCCATCCGCGGAGGACCTAGACCATATAGACCATATGTCCAGTAGAGTGGACCTTAGTTGGCTTGGAAATAATTTTGAAATTAAGTCTTCAGCTTTATCTGACTTCAAGATAATTAATTATTTTATTATTAATAATTTTAAATCAATTTTAAAGCACATAAAGAGAATATTCTTTACATGTTTACAAAATATATAAATGGTTAAAGCTTTAAAGAAATTTATAACTAAAGAAAGGCAATATTTAGATTACTTTTTTCGTTAGAACAAAATTACTATCTATGCATTTAAGCCATTTTAGTTGGATATAAGAATATTTAAGCTGCAGAGTGCTTGTTTTCACATTGACCTGGATAACGTGTCGTATGGGTAATAATATTCTTGCCGCCCCTAAAAGTTATAATTTGTTGTTTTTAATCATAATAAATATATATGTGTATGTGCATGTGCTCTCCTATCGTATACGTAATATTTTGCCAGAGCCTTAGAGCCTTTTTTTGACCAAAACGAAAAGTTATAAATTGTGGTCTTTACTCCCGGACACAATTTAAACATTTTTGGGTAATTAACTTAGGGAGTTTTGGCCAATTTCAGCTGCGAGAGTCCGACGGGTCCAGCCAAAAGCAGGCTTTTAAACGTTGAGGTTGGTCCTGTGCCACCATTTTTCCATTTTCCATTTTCCATTTCCCAACTACCAACAGTCAAATGCAGAGCGTAACGAGATAGCCGTTGTGACCACGCCCCCACCTATATGGCACCGCCCACCTCCTCCAGTATTTTCTTTTTTTCCCCACTTTTTTTTTTTTGTTTTTGCTTCAGTCACGGCAACTGTTGACACTACAAAGTAGCAAACGTAGTTGTTGTTCTTGTTGATGATGTCCTTGTTGCAGTCGTAAAAAGTGCTCCATGTGTGTGTGTGTATCACATAAATATGCATTTCCCATTTTCCAACGGCAACAGCAGAAGCAGCAGCAGCAGCAGCCATCGAGCCATCGCATGCGAATATTTTTATACATATTCATTGGCTTGGCCATGTCCATGTCAATGTGGGTTAGTGTGCTTTTCTCCATTCTCCCGCTTTTCCAACCGATTTTCCCCTTGGACTTCCCCCTTTTCCCTGCTCCCGTCGTCTGGCACCTGCGACATGCAACTTCAGCCAGGAATGGCGTGCCTGCCACATTTGCATTTGCCAGCTGAGAGGCGCCACCCCACCGGCATTACCATTACCATTTCCCCATAACCCACTCACCCCTCGATTTTCCACCATAATGTCAATAAAAAGTAACAGCAACTGATTTCCACTCGCGCCCTTCTCCGTTTCCTTCAGGTGTGTGGACCAGGTGAAACGAATCTGTTGCGGGTTATTTCCGGACTTAATCAATTTTAGTTCACCAGTATTTATTATTATTAATTTTCTAAATATAGAAAACATTTTTCATAAAATTAATTTTTTTCTTGGGGAAATTTACAAATATTTTATATAATACATAAAATTATAAATTAACTTCTTAATGAAACTTTTAAAAGATGTCAGGATTTTATCCCTAGATTATTACATTAATTATTTTATTTAAGATTTGTTACTTTTAAGGATTTATTTCTTTATTGCTTGCATTTATTAAAATCTAATCCCAAAATATTTTCCCAATGAACTGGTTCGTGGAACCTGACTTTTGGGGAACCCCCAGCAGGGAGCACCTCAATCGCCACTAATAAAATCAGCCGAAAGTAATTCGAATGTATGTGGAAAAAAGACATGAGAAAACAAGCCGAATGGCAAACAGCAAATAAATAGTAAAACAGCCAGTCAGACGTAATGGCAAAGTAAAGGGCGGTGGGGAAATGGGATTCCCCTGCAGGTCGATGCCAGTCACTCGTTACCCGGCTCCCGTACGATGCCATGTCCGTGTCCGTGTCTCTGTCCGTATTGTTGTCCGTATGTCGCCCTGTCCGTATGTCTGCGTATCCATGTCCGTGTCTATGTCCCTGCCATGCGATGCCAGCGCGTGGTTTACACATGTTACCTGCTTACATACCTGAGGACCCGAATTCGTATTCGTATTCGAACTGGTACTCGAACTCGTACTCGCACTGCCTGCAACAAATTCAGCAATAACAACCGCCATTAGTCGACCTGCCGAACGAAAGTGATGGTAATCATCTGGGTATATCACTAGGTACTTGATTTCGGTCCAATAAAAATATGCAAAAGTTACCAAAGCTTATAGAAAATAAGTCAGCACAACGATTTTGATTTAATATTGAAAGCTTTATTTGAGACTGAGAGTCTTCTGTTGAAATAAGAAGGATTTTCTCTTTATTTTGAAATTTTCTGAATTTTAGTAGTTCCCATAACCAGTGGATAACCAATGTTGGTACACTGAGCTACAAGCAAATATGTACTCATCTCTTCCACCTCTGACAACCGACTAGACTAATGCCCCCAAAGTGAGTGGGTGGGTGGCTGGCAGTCAATAAAACGATTTTGATTATGAATGACAACATTTGAAATGTTCCAATTACGCTCAAATATTTTGATAAACCTCCACGCCAAAAGCCCAATAGACTGACTTGCCGGCTGACTGACAGCGACAAATTTGTCGTTGGCTATTTTCCGGGGAAATTGTGAAATGTGAAAGGTAACTGAGAAAGTGTCCTTTTAAGCGTAAATAAAATTGTAAAGAGTGGTGATTTCTTAGGATGGGTTTCTAAGGGTTATATTAGTTTATAAATTAAATATAATAAATTATAATCTCTTTATTGCGAAGCTTTGGTTTCTAAAGAGTGGGGATTTTTTGAATAGGTTTTATATATTTTGTAATATATTTTAAAAATTAATATACTAACTTGCGAACTTTCTTTCGTATTTTCCAGCGGACAGCTCGTTTCTTTTGGCCAACGCACAAATCGTCGATTTCCCGATCGTCTACTGCAATGAGTCCTTCTGCAAGATCAGCGGCTACAACCGGGCCGAGGTCATGCAGAAGTCGTGCAGGTATGTGTACGTATTGCCGATTTTTTCTCACTCCAACTACTTTCGCTCTCTTCTCGCTGTTGTTCTGTCGGTGTTCTCTGCGTTATAATTGCCGCTTTAATTGTTAATCCCCAGCGATTATTAACTATATTGCATATATATTTATTGGTGTCCTTGATGTCGTGGCCTCACTTGCCGATAAGGCCGGCAAGATGTTGATTTATTACCCTCGATGTTGTGGTCAATACTCGTATATATTTTTACTTTTATTATATCGAATATTTTGTTATTTATTTTTAAGTTTTTACAGCCCAGGGATCTTATTAAATGGGCTTATTACGCCCCATTTTCTACAGCCTTCTTAGCACTTATCTCTGTGTTTTCCATCATCACTTTCACTTTCTTAAGTTTGACTTTTAACCACGTTAAAGTTGCATGCTCATTTCTTAGGCAAATATTAGCTTTAAAACAGTGCTGCTCAAACTGTAAGCTGCACAGGTGGAAATGCAGGGGGAAAGTGGGTGATGGGAGGGGGGAGGAGGCAGACAGACGGACAGGGCGGAGACTTTGGACATTTCCCTCTGGGAGCCTTGACAGCTAAGAGGATTGCCCGAGATTGCAGGAGATTTCTGGCCCGTCTCCTCCCCTCCCCTCCTGTCGCACCAAACCATTAACAGCTTGTTTTACGCACCTGACCAGCCCCGGAAAAACCCCTTCCCCCTCCCCCGCTCCCTCCGCCTACTGGGTTTTCCACCGTGTTTATCTGCTTAACGGCTTATCCGCAGCTGCTTACACCGGCCATTGAATGTGAAGTTCATTTATTGTTCCAGCTTTTTTGCTTTTTTGCTCTGCTTGTAGTTTTTTCAATTAATTTGCGTAGTTTTTCCTTTTTTTTTTGCCGGCCATTTAAAAACCATTGTCGAACTTAATGCACTTTGCTGCTCAGCGAACCTAATGCAAATGGACAGGAAGGCTTTTCCACTTTTCAATCTTGCGTAATGAAAGGAAAATGCCACAAAGTATGCAGCGCATAAAGGGAAAATGTGCTAGGGATGCGATCGTAAAAACAAAAACTCTGGCTCCCTTTATAAAAATTGCAAAAATAAGCCAAACAATTTATTTATGAAAATCAGCCAGAAAGCTAGGGACCTCAGTTGTTCAAATCAGTTATTCTTTCTACTTTGGGGCCTTTTTTCGGCCAATCTAGGGAAACAAAACACGCAGATATAATCTATATTTTTAATAAAAAATCCTAATCGTGTTTTTTGGCAAAAATCATAATCGTGTTTTTTTGAACAAAAATATCAATGTTTTTGGCGTACAATTAGAAAAAACGGTCAGAATATGAAATGTCATACCTTTTTGAGCTCGTGAACAAATTTCGTACCAATTGGCATTCAAATATACAAATTTTAAATTTTTCGAAAAAAAATTGTGACTCTAGCCTTCATAAAAAACTTAAAAATTGGCCTATTTTTCCCCTAACCAGTTTTTCTTTTGTGCCAACCGTTTTGCGTTTCCATTTCCCGTTACACTGTTGCAAATTGCTGCCGGTGGTCCTGGCCAAACAAATTTTCTATGCAAACCTTTGGTGAATTGATGTGATGGCTGAGTGAAAGGGATGGGTAGAGCAGAAAAGAGAGAGAGAGAGCGATAGCATCTGCACAAGCGTTAACTGCATTTGTTTGCCTTAATTTGGCTAGGACCTTCGATGGTCGTGAACTCGGTCCCTCACCTTTTTTTTTATTCTTTTGGACTCGCCCCCTCTGCTTCTGTCCCACTCACATCACTCTCACTCTTAATCTATCTCTTTCTGCCCCGAACCCAGCCTCATAAATCAACAAGCGGCGGCCCAGAGGCCAGCGTATCCAATGATTCTCCCGAGAATTGCTTGTAATTTGCAGGCCAAAAAAGCAGCCCTAAAAGGAATAGGGATACGGTTCGGCAACTCACCTGCAGCATCAGCGGCCAAATTCCCCAGGTGGAAAAAAGTACAAGTTTTTAATGCCAATCTGCCGTTTAGCTAGCGATATGCCATCCTCTTCGCTCCTCTATGTGTGCCTTCTCTCTCTCTCTCTCTCCCTCTCTGAGGGCCCCCTCCGTCCGTCCCTTTCTCTCCACCGCTCAAACATCCGCTTTGTTGTTGCTGCGACCCACTTTTGTTGCCGTCCTCCTCTCCTTTGTTTGTTTCTGTTTTTCTGGTCGCGTGTGAACCAAAAAAAAAATTAACGAAAAAAAATAAAAAGAAAGAAACAAGAAGAATGACGGCCAAAGGCAACAAGAAAACATTGACCAGCTAAAAAAAAGGAAGAAAAATGAAAGAGGAAATGCAAAAAAGCCAAAGAAACGTTTGATTTTCACTCGACATTTGCTCCAATGCAATTTCTTTTGGTGCAACGCAAATGGTTTTTCGTATCTCCCAAGTTCCCCAAACAGTACAAATTCTTTTAAGAGGATCCTTACAAAATCATTCCTTTAAAATATGCTGAGAATCCAATTTTCTTTGCTTTGAAATTAGATTAGTAACGGGATTTCTTTAAGTAGTGAATTTAAAATTGAGATATTTTTATTACAAAAGACCATAAAATTACGTATACGACTAGGTGAACCATCTCTGTTAGAGCTAAAGTGCTGAAAAAGTGCTTCCAAAAGAAGTAGGGGAGTGTAGGGTAATTTGACGAGTAGGGTAATGTGACGAACTCGTCGAATCTCATATATGACGTCACGACAAAAATTCCAAATAAATGTAGTCGTCTCCCCTTATCGTGTCGACAATGTATTTACAGTAATATTAATAAGAAGTCCCGTAATTTGTTCGTGAGGTAATTTTCGCTAAAAATGTGGTGCGCAAACTAGCAAACCCATTCAATTTACTTGTGTTTCAGCAGTGCCAGAGCAAAGATGAGTGGAAAATAAAATCAGGCAAATATATGCACGTATACATGAGATCTTTATCAACAGTTTTTGGTACCTCGCGTTTTTTTCTTTTGCGCCGTTTGAGAGTGACACCGTTTTTGCTCCAAGTCTACCTTGTAGGGTATCGTGACGAACTTTTTGTAGGGTATTGTGACGAACTTTTTTTATTCAAGAATTTTAACTGTTATCGTTGATTATTTGTAAAAAAAATATAATAATACCAGATAACATTTACTGCTGCAGTTTTATTGTTGTTTTTAATAGTGACGTCAGTTTAATTTAATTTAAAAAAAATTTGCACTTTGACAATTTTTTTTTTTTGTAAGTTTGGGTATTATCTTATTACTTTTTTCTTTTCCGTATCGAAAAAACCCTTTCCGTAAATAATATATAAAAAAATGTATTTTTTTGTTTGTAAAAAGGATGGTTTACACCAAACGCTGTGGGATTTGGCTACGTTGAAATTTCGAATCCAAATTTTTTTAGAAATATGCTCAGTAAATGTAAGCAACTTTCTGCTTTTACACTTTTAAAAAATATTGATTTTTGGAGAAGTTACATTAAAGAACAAATCGTTCGTCACATTACCCTACAACTTTTAAAAGTGCAAAAAAAGTAGGGTTCACGCCAAACGCTGTGGGATTTAGCTGCATTGGAATTTCGAATTTTACAGGGATATGCTCAGTAGATGTAAGCAACTTTCTGCGTTTACACTTTTAAAAAATATTGATTTTTACAAAAGTTACATTCAAAAAACGAATCGTTCGTCACCTTACCCTACACTCCCCTAGTTATTAAGGCATATGTTTAAACTTAAAGGAAAAGAGCCGCAACCTTTACTTACCTTTATTTTTAAAAATATTTTACTCTTATAATCAAATAGATTTAGATTGAAATCCCTATAGCTATAGCATATTTATCCAATATATGCTGAATTTACTTGGGGATTTTCTTTGAGTGCTTTTCCTCAGAATCGCCTCCCTAGAAAATAATAGAATTTCGAGTGCTTGTCGAGGGCTTTTACCGTGCTCCACCCATGAGCACATAAACACTTTGTGCATCCATATCTATATCTTTGGCCGTATCCCCGAATCCAGGACCTGTTTTTTGTTTGCTTTGTAACCCAATTTCGTTTTTTGCCCCAGTGTGTGTGTGTGTGAACACACACACACAAATGCGACCCGTGACGTCGCCGTTTCGGTGGAGCATAGTTTGTTGAACTTTTGTTCGGGGCACGAATAAAGCAAAACAACAGAAATTAACTACTGCTCCTCCTTCTCCTCCTCCTCCGCTACTTCACCCACTTTTCCTTCGGCTCTGTTCTCGTTTCCCTTCGTCTCGCTGCTGACGTCATCGAGCCTGGCCCAAAAGTATGCAACACTTTTTGTGCGGCACTGCAAGTGGTTCCTCTTTTTTTCCTTGTCCCGATTCCAGCTGACTTCTCCAAGTAAATATGTGTATATATATAATACGCAGAGGCACCAAAAGTTTAGCCCCCTCTTTAACCCAGAAACCCGATCATTAATTATTTAGTTTTCAATGGGAAATGAACGAAAAACAATACATTTACAAAAGTAAGCAAACTGTATGCATAAGGAAAGCCCCCCAGGTTCATCGTTTTTACAACTTTTCGTAGGCAAGAGGCAAGAGTTTTTCACGCATGTGGAGAATATCAAATTACCGAGCTCAGTTTTTGATTTCAATAATCCAGGCAACACTGTGGGAAAATGTAATCGATTTAAGGTTATGATATTACGACCTAAAAAGATGGTAAATAAGTTGAGGGGGCAGTGTAGTTTGCATAGGATTAACCCGAAGGGGGGTTTAACTGAATTTTAAAATAATACAAATATTTTCTATGTTACTAAAGTTTTTTCTACAGATAGTTCTAGGGCTCCTTGACCTAATATAATGTATAATATGCGATATGTTGACCTGAGCCCCTGAGGGAAATGTGGAAACCCTTCGGTTGAGCAGCGGTGCATTAAATTGATATTTGTTTAATACTTTCTGCCGTGTGCAGTGAAGCTTCGCCGTTTTTGCACCCGGTGGGCCCCAGGTGCATCAATCTTGTTTTGTTCGGCATGTTTTCCTCGAATTGGAACGCTTTCTGTTTTCCCATTTTCCGCTGCATGTGTTTGCCTCGGCGTCCATGTGTCCATGTGTCGGTGTGTGTGTATGTTTGTTCATATGAGTGTGCGGCATGCAACCGATGTAAAGCTAACCAAGAATAATACCTCGTCTGCTCTCCGCATCTCTTTCTGTCTTTTTGGCACTCCCTGGTCTCTCCACATCCTTGGAAATCCTGCAGATGCGGCTTCATGTATGGCGAGCTGACAGACAAGGAGACGGTGGGACGGCTGGAATACACGCTGGAGAACCAGCAGCAGGATCAGTTCGAAATTTTGCTCTACAAGAAGAACAGTGAGTATGCCCCTTTAACTGCCACGACCTTCGACCCCCTCCCCGCCCCATAATGTGCCTAATCGCCTGTGCCTAATGGTCACTGGCCAGCTAAATTGCAGACCCAAATCAAAGTCATACTGCCTAGTCCCCTGTAACAGTATTACAAAATATATTTAAAATTACAATTCCTCAATGACAACTACTTAGAAAAAAGTATTAAAATTAGGGCCTAAAAGTATGCAATGAACAAAGAATAATTGTTTTCCTGTAAGAACTCCCATCACTTTTTAAATAAAAATATTTTGTTGCATACTTTTAGACACCTATTTTAATACTTAAATGTGATTTCACAAAACCAGCACTTTTTTATCCTAGCCATGAAATAAATATCAAAGTGTAATTAATCCAAATCCTCTAAATTTAAATTATTAAATATTCGGGAAGCCAAATAAATCCTTTAACCGACACTGTAGGCTATTTGGCTTTATGCTCGAGCTGTGCCCATTGTGAAATGTTCATTTCGTGAATTTCTGACTCCGAAACCGAAACCGAACCCGAGAACCTTTCATAATTCATTCCCAAGCTGTGCGCCCCCTTAACCCCTTGAATTCTATTTGCGAGTGTGCACAACACCACCCCCTCCATTCACCATTTTCCTTGCCTTTTTGCTCAAAACCCACACCTGCCACCCCGTAGTGCCAACAAATTGGGGCTGCGATGGCAGCCCGCCGGCACTTTTGAGTGAGGCCCATCAATCAGGCTGGCAGCTGGCCACGCAGACACCTGTAGTAATGCCACATCCATCCAATCCCGGCCAAATCAAGTGGAATCGAGTGGCCCTATAGCTTTAGCTTACCAGTTTCCCGGCTCCCCAGCTACCCAGCGAGTATTGCCAGAGATCTGCGGGTGTCGAGCTCATGAATTAACGCCTCCGAGTATTAAATTTCAGATTTGCAGTGTGGCTGCGCCCTCTCGCAGTTTGGCAAGGCACAAACCCAAGGTATATTTGAAAATTACTGGCTTTCGCTTCGCTTCGGGGGGCGTTTTTCCGCGCGGCCAAGCCAATTTCCCGAGCGGGAAACTCAATTCATGTCTTGGCAGGCTGCCCGCAGCAATATACCCGCATCCACATCCGCATCCTGTTGCATGTGCGGTCAGAAATCAAAGGGATGAAGGGGGTGGAATGGGGGTGGTGCATTAAATAGGCATAAATCAATTGCAATATGAGAAAGTGCAACATCTGGCGCACAAATGAGATTGCAATTGCGATTGGCCGGCAAAATATTTGCTTGGGATTGGGATTGGGGCCAAGGAGAAAGAAACAATAGCTGAATCTGTGGCAAATCGAAGCACTGGCAGGTGTCCCCTGGCAATTGGATATATCAAATGGAGCGGAGGAGCCTCCACATACTCCAACCAGAGCCAATTAATCTGCTCAGTTCTGGCCATCAATCCGGGCATAGAAATACAAATCGGAATGGAAATGGAAATAGGTAGAGAGGCTGAAACAACGACCGCACATAAACATTCACCGGAAGCGGAAGTAGCAAATTGTGCTCGCAATTAGTGAATAATTATGCCATCAAAAGCAAATACCATCGCATATTTGAATACACAATCGGGACGGAACGGAAATAGGAGAGGGAAGAAGTCCTTGTCCCGTGCAAAATTGAACGGCAATTACGGGAATTACGGTCGTTAGGAGTACGTGTGTGGAAAACAAAAGAGTTCCAGACAATTAAAACTGGCTTTGGTTCTGTTTTTATAATATTTTATGCTATTTTTGTTGGCAGGTATTATCCATTATCTCATTCTTATTAGCCCAGTTAAACAATATAGTGATTTATTATTCCTAGAATTTACATAGGAAATACTTTCTCATCTAAAAATGTAAAATTAAAAGAGTTCTAGACAATTGAAACCAAATTGCTGGCTTTGGTTACGTTTTCATAATATTTTAAATTATTTTTGAAGGCAGGTATTATCCATTATTCAATATCTTGTTCTTACAAGCCCAGTAAAACAATATAGTCTTGTAATATTCCTAGAATCTTAATAAGGAACACTTTTTCTTGGAATCAATACTTTATTAACCATTTAATGTGTGACTTTAACCCATCGATTGCTTTGACAATCGGTGTACTCCCTGAATTATTCATCCAGACAGACAAAAAGTGAACAGCTGTTGCACACACTGGGGGCGCACTGTATTTACATGCCGGCCATTGTCTGGATGCAGATAGAGCATGGGGCATCGAGCATTCAGAGACCGGCATCCATTATCCAGCGTTCCATATCAATAATTGCAATCCAATGAGATGTCTGTGCCCCGCTGTTTCCTTCTCTGTCTGAATCTGGTCGTGACTCGAATGCGAATGGTTTGCGAACGGAAAGGGGAAAGGAAATGGGAATGGGAATGGGATTATCTATCCATACGACCGAACTGAACTGGCGTCCCCCCTTTCACCTTGGGGCCGCACTTACCTATAATTGTTATTAATTCCGGCGCGCTTCCCGCAGAAACCCCGCTATGGCTGCTGCTACAGGTCGCCCCCATCCGCAACGAACGCGACCTGGTGGTGCTCTTCCTGCTGACCTTCCGGGACATCACGGCCCTCAAGCAGCCCATCGACAGCGAGGACACCAAGGGAGGTAAGTCACCTGTCAGCTCCTGATTTTTGTTGCTAATTACCAAAGGACCACGGTTGCTCACAAAGAATTTCCTGTTTTTGCTGAAACAATTTTTAATAATTTAAAAATTTAAATGTATTGGTTACAGGCATATAAAGAAATATTTTTCAGTTGAATTTATGCTCAATAAGATTTGGAAATTTACTTAAATCTAATTGTTAACACTTTAAATAAATATTGGAGTGATGATAATATATTTAGAATTTGATAAAGTTTTTTAAAGACAATAAATGATATTTTATTTTTAAAATTATAGTTGATTTTATGATTTTATTTTTCTCTTAAGATACAATTTTGTAAAATAAGTTGAAGCAACCGTGTGTTCCACGCACTCTTTATGCACCCTCGTATGTCTCCGTCTCTTTCCTCTCTACTACTCTACTACTCTACTTATCTGCTCTCTCTTTCCATGTCTACACACACTTATCACACTTGCACCCACAATCACACCCACCTGTAAATACGCTTGAACAAATTGAAAACCAACAAAACGAAACCCCAAAACAAACAAACGAAAATCAAACCAAACCCAATTCGATGTGCCAACACTTTGATTATGTATACTAAATGCCACTCATATCTGTGACTCCTTTGTGTGTTTATTATCCTCTTTATATTCGATGTATACCGTGTACTATACACTGTATGCTGTACTGTACTGTATACCACATATCGTTTCGATGCACTGTTTCATCGGTGTTCGTGTGCGTGTTCCCACCTCGTAGCGGTTAATCTATTTTTGCCAGTTTTAGGTCTCTCGAAGTTCGCCAAATTGGCACGATCGGTGACCCGAAGTCGCCAGTTCAGCGCCCATCTGCCCACGCTGAAGGATCCCACGAAGCAGTCCAACCTGGCGCATGTGAGTTCCGATATAATATATATAATATATTACCCAAACTCAAACCCCTCCTATCAGATGATGTCGCTGAGCGCGGATATTATGCCACAGTACCGACAGGAAGCCCCCAAAACGCCGCCACACATACTCCTGCATTATTGTGCATTTAAAGCAATTTGGGACTGGGTGATATTGTGTTTAACATTTTATACAGCCATCATGGTGAGTGAGATTTTGAAACCACCTACAAAAGTGTCTAAAAGTATGCAACATTATTTTTGGGATCTTTTTCTTACTGCATACTTTTAGACAGCTTTGTAAATGATTGATAAATATCCTTTAAAGTCAGTCAATCAGTTTTCCAACCTGTTTAAATTATTTGAGCAATTCTTATCCATATACTCTCATTATTATTCATCATTTTGATGTTTTTCATTTAGTATTCTCGGGGCTCTGTCCCAATTTATATTCATATTCCTGTTATTAAAGTAACATTTTAGGGTATTTTCATTGATAAGCCCATTCGTGCTGCTCCAGATGCTCACCAGTTCACCCGCAAAACATCCTGTCTCACAACGATTGCGAAATGTTTTATGACTTGGTTCGGTAGGGTTTTCCAGGAATGGGATTATCAAGGGGAGACTGCGATACCACCTGCCGCCCCCACATCCACATTCACATCCACATTCAGATTGCCACAAAGCCGCTTGCGATGCCTTTTCATAAGCCGATGTCGTCTGTCTGCTCGAATTGTGTCTATTTCCGTCAACAAGATGTTAACATTTTCGCTTAAATTGCGCCCATCACAAGTTGGCATCCGCACACGTGTGGCTTCTCCCCTTGAAAACCCCACCCTTATCCGAAAAAATACTATGTATCTGAAAAGAAAGTTGCAGTTCCTTGTTGCTTTCTTGTTTCGGTTTCCATGTTGCACACTCCTCGTTTACTTATTGTTTAATGACATTTTGCGGTATTAGTTGTTGTTTGTCCCTGTTTGTTGTTGCTCGGGATTGTGGCCGTCGCAACTTTAAGATAAATGTATGGCCAGCGACAAATCAAAACTTTGTCTGTGACTGCGCCAGATACAAACTGGTGTGCACACAGCAAAAAGCCGAAAAGTTAAGTGATATTTTAGCCAGGTGGCCAAGGGTTTTTCAGATATTTCACTTATCTGAAAGAGGAGTTCAAGTTAAAGAGTAAAAAGAGCGTTAAAATCAAATTTTTTAAACATTAATTATTACAGGAAAGCTTTGAAATAGGTGTCTAAAAGTATGCAAATACTGATTTTAAGTATGGATTGTCATACCTTTCTGAACTCGTTATTAAATTTCCTAACGATTGGCGCTTAAACCTTGACATTTTATTTATTTTTAATTTTTCGCAAAAAATCATGGGGTACCCCCTTATAAAAAAATTAAAAATTGGCGAAAATTTTATTTTTCCAAAATCACACGGAAAGTGTTATGGATTTATTTATTAGTTGGTTATCTGTTCAAAACAGTATGTATTTTTGGTGTAGGACCATTTTTGGCCAAGTTACAGCAAAAAAACCTTAAGAAAAAATACCACTATCACTAAGACAACTATCCTTTATTTACTGAATACTTTTAGGCAGTGCTAAGCTTGTAGTTGTTCATAATATATTTTTGGTTTTTAGTATTACAATGCAATAGGCACTACTTTACTTACTCGGGCCACAGGTGTGTTTGCAGTGTGTGCCTGGCCTCTAATTGGGCAAATACCCTCGAATCGGATCGGAAGGGGCTCGAGCTCAAGTGAAGAGTTCAGATAACGACCCTCTGTCAGACATTAATGTTGCTTCCCAGCCAGACAAAGCCGGCGAGGAGGACGAGGACGAGATGCTGGGACAGGAAGACAGACAAGTGCACACATTTACATGACCAAGTGGCTGCTCAGACGGCGAGTCCCTCCATTCCACCTCCACCCCATCATCATCATCCTTGTTCTCCTCCTGCCGCCTCAAAGAGGGCGGCTTATGTTTTATGTGCTTAAATTAATATGCTCAGTCGGCGGAGGAGGGCAGGGGAACTGGGGGACAGGGCTTGACAGGACATAAGCGGCGGCATTCGTGGCTTGTAATCCAACCTCCGACCAGGCCAAGTCGAGCCACGTTAAGAGGCTTGTAACTGCCACTTGGGGCAACAGTTAAGACAACGGGCGAAATTGGGGGAAGGCACCAACTGTTGCTCAGGTGATGGCAACAAGAGCCGCACCTGTAACTCGGCCACTGACAGATCATTCGTTTCACATATCACAAGGGAGGTTCTATTTAAATTATAGGTTAATATTACATTTTCTTCTTCTGATTTCCATAAACAATTTCCAAGTTATTAACTCTTAACCCAGATTAAATTATTTTTAATTTCAACTGGTTCAACGGGTCGTATGAGTAATATCAGTTAGATAGTTTATTAATCATACGCCCCGTAGTCATAATTATTATCGCTTATATTTTTAATTTCTTGTTTTAATAACTTATATCTTGCTTTCCCTAGGTGCCATACAATGTAGCGTTTAAAAATAAAACCTCAGAGGATGTTTCCCTGCTCGTGGTCGATTCCATAGTCGATGTTATATTCTTTATAGATATTGGTAAGTTACAGATATAACTCTAAAAATTCCCATATATTTATTCACATACCTCACTTAGTTTTAAACTTCCATACAACGTTTGTGGGTCCTGGCGGCGAGGTGGTCAGCGACCCGAAGGTCATACGGATGAACTACCTGAAGTCGTGGTTCATCATCGACCTGCTCAGCTGCCTGCCGTACGACGTGTTCAACGCGTTCGACCGGGACGAGGACGGCATCGGTTCGCTGTTCAGCGCCCTCAAGGTCGTCCGCCTGCTGCGGCTGGGGAGGGTGGTGCGGAAGCTGGACCGCTACCTGGAGTACGGGGCGGCCATGCTGATCCTGCTGCTGTGCTTCTACATGCTGGTGGCCCACTGGCTGGCCTGCATCTGGTACTCGATCGGACGCAGCGATGCCGATAATGGGGTAACCCTTGGGCTAGGAGATCCTCTATAAGGAGTGCTAATCCCTTGCGATCCCTCTTGCAGATCCAGTACAGCTGGCTGTGGAAGCTGGCGAACGTCACCCAATCGCCGTACTCGTACATTTGGAGCAACGACACCGGTCCGGAATTGGTTAATGGGCCGTCACGGAAGAGCATGTACGTGACGGCCCTGTATTTCACCATGACCTGCATGACCTCGGTGGGTTGGCATGACCTCTTGTGATCTAAACTCCCCCGAAACTAAATAATTCCCTATTTAATTCTATTCTATTCCCTATTGTATTGTTTTATAGGTGGGCTTTGGCAATGTCGCCGCGGAGACAGACAACGAGAAGGTGTTCACCATCTGCATGATGATCATTGCAGGTGCTGTGTCCTTAACACGTTCCGTTGCCGCGTCCAAGTTTCTTGATATTCCCGCACACGCGTCACGCTTTTGAATTCCGGTTCCGATCTATCGATCTATCGATCTCGATTCCGATACCGATACCATTTGAAAGCTAGGCCATCCGCTTGCGCCGCTAGAACTAATAAATCGCTCCAGCTATTTGGTGTAGAGCCTCATCACGATCCGTAGCCCATGTCCATTTGTCCATGTCCAAGTAGAGCAACTCACTCGCATTCTCACCACGTCAATCATTGATTGATCGCAGCCAGAGCCAAGTCTTAAAAGTCTTTCTCGACCCTTCTTCTGCTCCGTCGTCATCTAGTTGCACAATTCGTGGCCATGTGTGAGTTGCATTGTGTATTCCTCTCTACTCGTTGTCCGTAAACGTAACTCGTAACTCGTTACTCCTTACTCGTTATTCGTAAATCGGTAATCGAAACGCATGATCCGTAACTCGTTGTGCAAAACTCGTTACTCATTGGTAGTAACTCGTTGTTCATAACTCGTTAACAATAGTCTTTGATAACTCGTTACTCGTAACTCTTTATCTGTAACTCGTTACTTGTTTCGCGTACCGTACTTCATGCCGACCAAAAAATTCAGAAAAGAGCATCTGCGCATGATCAGCATTCCACCAAAAGCGACGTTGAAATGCCGAGGAAGAGCTGATCCTGCGCAGAATATCGCTCAAATCACTCACCATCACACTCCCACATCCGCCTCTTTCCCAATATCCATCTCTCTGTCTCCGTCTAACTGTGTGCTCGTCCAATCTGTGGCATTTATTACTGTTCTAGCCGCGCACCTGTGCGTCTCTTCTTCCACAGCGCGTAGAATCAGCGAATACTGATAACACACACACCCAATAACTGTCTACATCACACGCACACCTCACGTACACGCAGAGAAAAAATAGCAACAAGAGTTCTAAGTATTTTAACTTGTTGGTCTTACAAATTTTTAATTTAGTTTATTGTACAATTGATTTCATTCGATTCAGTTCATTAAGATTGACAAATTAAAATCGTAGATTTGGTCATTTCTTCTCTGTGCCTCCTCACACATCTCAAGTGTTATCTAGCTGATCGTGTAAAGATTGCTTTGAATGGAACCCCCAAACTACGAACGCCAATTCTGTGTGCACCGCCGTCGCTTAATCTGTCCGTCTCATCACCTTTCTCTCTCTCTCTTTCTCTCCGTTAAAATATATACCCTCAACCATATAGCTCTGCTGTACGCCACGATCTTTGGCCACGTGACCACCATCATCCAGCAGATGACCTCGGCCACGGCCAAGTACCACGACATGCTGAACAACGTGCGCGAGTTCATGAAGCTGCACGAGGTGCCGAAGGCTCTCAGCGAGCGAGTGATGGACTATGTCGTCTCCACCTGGGCCATGACCAAGGGTCTGGACACCGAGAAGGTAAGTTCTCGATGCGACGTTCCCCGATTCCCAAAGGATCTCTTCCGGGAGGCTAAATCGCCTTGAGTCTTTTTCGTTGCCAAATGAGCTTCTAGCTTCCAGAATCATTCACTGTGGCATTGTTTCAACTGGAATAAGGTTACATTTAACCATCTATGTGTCTCATCTAGTAACGCTTTTGTGTATAACGTTAATGCGCTGGAACTGGGTTCCGTTTGTACATAGCATAGCTGGCTTTTCTATAGAGCTTGGCGCACTTCAGCCTATCACTATCTCTAATGCACTCGGCATACGCACACGTACATCACATACATTTAACAACTGCTACTCGTTACTCGCTACTACATTTTTTCCTTTTTGTTTTTTTTTTCAATTTCTCGTCTGTTTTTTGTCTGTATATTTTATTATACTAAAACCTATTTTACTTTCATCTCAACAAGTTTTCGTTTTTATTCATTTATGTTTATTTTATTTTACACTATTCATAAATAGTTCTCGTCACTTGTCACCAGTAGTACAGCTTGACACACACAGTTACACCAAACCAACCACACTTACTCGTACCTCTACTACAGACACCAAACTACTACTCGTTACTCGCCACTCGCTACCTCACACAACACCTCAACTATCTCTCTCTCTCTCCTCAACTCTCCGACAACGAAACTTTCGTCGCTGCTCTTGCGCTTTGTTTTCCTATTATTTTAAAGCTGCTACTCGCATACCCCTAAGCCTAAGGTCAAAGCCCCCGCCCGAAAACGAAAAGAAAGCAGCCAAGTCGAAACCCACCCACAGATCAAGGTCCAGGTGAAGGGACCGAGGTAAGCTGTGGGTGGCTGAGAAACTGAGTCCAAGAAACTCGAAAAAAATGCGGAATCACCTAAAAAGCTCTATACATCTAACGAAACCATCTTTAACAGAACTCAGCTAATCGATGATCTATCTCTCCATTCTCTCCATGTGTCTGCCCGCGAGCGAGATCCGTGCCAAAACGAAAAGCGTCCGTCAAATTCATGCCTTTAGATGAACCTGAACCAAACGGCGCAGCGCCCCCTAGAATCCCAGACACCTCTCAGCCCGATCCCCAGAATAACCCAGCTCGGGGTCGCTTGCGCCTAAGAAATTTGAAAATATCCATACACCCGTGTTTGGTTCACAGACAGAAACAGAGTTTACAACCGGTCCAAGCCGATTAAACTGACCTTTATAACTATTTCGTTGACTGTAGTTTGTGCCGCAATTAAGAGTCCCTGCCTCCCCGTCCCTTAAACTCCAAAAATTGTGCTGTTACTTCCTTGAAAATCGGAAATAGCACTCAAAAACACCCAGACAACCACACACACACAGACAGTCACAGAAACACACACACACACTATCAGTGGAAAACAGACAACACACACTCTGACACTCGATCAATGTTGTATGAGTATTAGTGTATGTGTGCGCGTGTGTGCGTGTCCCGTTAGCCACTAGAGCTGAAGAATTCCGCCCAGAGGATCAAGTGATCTGGGTGGAAAACCTCCGTGGTGGTCCGCAATTTTCAAGTTCCCATAGAGAAAGAAAGAGGCTTATCGATCAGCCGATAAGCCAATCACCCAATCTCGATCGCAATCGCTTCGATTCGATTTGCCTCGAATCGAAGCCTATCGAACCGCCACTCGCAACTCGTTCACAATTCGCAGGTACTAAACTATTGTCCGAAAGATATGAAGGCTGACATATGTGTTCATCTAAATCGCAAAGTATTTAACGAGCATCCGGCATTTCGTCTGGCCTCGGATGGTTGTCTCCGGGCACTGGCGATGCACTTCATGATGTCGCACTCGGCGCCGGGGGATCTGCTCTACCACACCGGCGAGAGCATCGATAGCCTTTGCTTCATCGTCACCGGCAGCCTGGAGGTGATACAGGACGACGAGGTTGTGGCAATATTGGGTGAGTTACCAGGGCAACCGATTCGAATCCCCTGCTCCCCCACCCCCAGCGACAGTCGCAGAACTATCCGGTTCGATTATTTCGATAACGTACGCCAGCACAATCGATAGAATCAGGTAAAAGTTCAGCTTCAAATGATACAAACGCTCTTCATGCCATTCCTTGAAATACATTGTTAGTTCTAATGGTTCCTTTGAAGGTAAACGATAACGATTTTTCGATAACTTGATAATAGATTTATACAAAATTCACCCAATGATCGATTTTTTCGATAACTTATTAATATATTTTCTAAAAAATCATCGTAATTTTTAAGATTTGACAACTTACGTGATCATAACCCATATTGTTAACTTAAAATCGTAAGTATTTTAGTTGACAACAACCATTTGAGATCTTAGCCTATCCCCACGATACATTTTCAATTCACATAAGCCTTTAAAAGGGACCTAAATAACTGAGAAACTTAAGTAAAAAGTACAGTAAGTTATGGGAAGAGATAAAATCGATATCGGCACTAGCTCTGCGGCTCCTCATCGAGCAACGCTCAACACTCCACTGAGAACACACTGAGAACACTTTTATTGCAGGCAAGGGCGACGTCTTCGGCGATCAATTCTGGAAGGACTCGGCCGTTGGCCAGAGCGCGGCCAATGTGCGCGCCCTGACCTATTGTGATTTGCATGCCATCAAACGTGATAAATTGCTCGAAGTCCTCGATTTCTATTCGGCATTTGCGAATAGCTTTGCACGCAATCTGGTGCTCACCTACAATCTCAGACATCGACTGATTTTTCGCAAGGTGGCCGATGTGAAGCGCGAAAAAGAATTGGCCGAACGGCGTAGGAACGAGCCGCAATTGCCCCAGAATCAGGACCATCTCGTGCGGAAGATCTTCTCCAAGTTCCGCCGGACGCCGCAGGTCCAGGCGGGCAGCAAGGAGCTCGTCGGCGGATCGGGCCAAAGTGACGTAGAGAAGGGTGACGGCGAGGTGGAGCGCACTAAGGTGAGTCCCAGGGATCGCTCTATATCTCTCTCTGTCTGTCTCTGTCTCTCTCTCTCTCTGTTGTTGTGCATTCCGCTTTCCGTGTTATATGTTCCGTTTTCAGTGTTTCGTTGTTGTTACTTATCGTTCCATTACCATGTTTCGTTGTTGTGTTTATTGGGTAGTTCTATGTGCGTTTGATCTTTGAACCTTGGGATTGTGCGATAAGAAGTTGTGATATAAAAATACTTTAAAGAGATCCTTAAGTTGTAAAGCAAACTTATCGCACAACCCTCGAGGGAATCTTTCGTATATCATCTTTCGTTGCTGTTTAAATCCTCTGTTCCTTTTCCGTTGGCTCAAACTCACCACGGTGCGAACCCGTTCCGCTGCCATTCGTTTCGTTTCATTTTTCACCGTTAACCGAACTAACGTTTCTTTCGAAGCCTCAGCCTCACAATCCACCAATCACAGCTCCAGCCCGAGTCCAAGCCCCCAGGCGAACTGAAAAAAAAAACACCCGGGCACTGAAACACGACCGGTGGTCTACCGTTAACTGTTAACCGTTTACCGTTTAGCGTAGTTAATAACCGTTGTATTGCTTAACCAATGTTCTTTACTTTCGAAGCGATAAAACTGTATACAAAAGTGACTTATGCTCGTTGTATGTCTTTCTTTGTCTTTGTCTTTCTTTAACATGCTTACGCATAATGCATATAACTGTTCACCCACCACCGACTCACCAAAACCACCACCCATGCTCAAACACACCATGCTCACGAAACCCACCACCACGACACAACTGTACCTTTTTTCGCTTTGTACATACCTTTCTGGCCTTGTCTTGATTTGTGTTCATGTCGTGAATTTGGCTAAACTACAATCGAAATTGAATTAAACAAAATTACTAACGGAAAATTCTGTATTATTTCCCATTTCCTGCAACCCCTGCGCTTCTGACAACCCTAACCTCCCACCACCCAACCCACCACACTTTCTCTTTCTTCTCTCTCCCCCCAAAAACGCCTGATATGATAATGCTTGCTCGGTAAAATGCTCGATAATGCCCCCAATGCTATAAATCGACCATGAAAAACAAAACTATATCAAATCAAATGCAACAACATACACAAGAAGCTACCAGCCAAACTGACACTGACCGAGGACGCTCGCATCCTCAGCACCGCCGCGGCGCCATCGCCCTCGCCATCCCCATCGCCCTCATCGGGTCCACCATCTGCGCGCAGTACACGGGCCAGCAAGTGGGGACGCCTCCTGGGCAGTTCAAGCGTCGATTCAGCTAGCGACACCAGCGCCAAGGTAGCCGTCTCGAGAAGTTTGAGCGCCCGCGAAAGCCTCCGAGAGAGCACCGCCCAAGCGCGGCAGAGTAGTACTTCGAGTAGCAATGGTGGACAAGGCAACAAAGTAATTATACGCTTAATCAATCGGATGTGGGATCTGGGGTGTGGGATATGGGATCTAGGATTGGGGTTTTGAGATCGGGGATCCGCGATCTGCGATCTGGCAACACAGCAAACACTCAGGGCCACTCGAAAACACTTTCTTTGAACTAAATTTCAACTCAATTTCAACTTAATTCGTTATGATTTGATATCCTATATAGCTTGTTTCCACAGATGTGCAGTTCTGCCTCTCATTACCTAGAATTTTAGAAATACGTCGGTGCTATAAGAATACTTTAAAGTTTTCAATGGAAATAATTAAGAAATCTGAGGAACCAAGCTATGGGCATATATAAGACATACTACGTTTATAAGCTTGGGCTCCAAAAAATATTACAGCACAAAATTAAATTTGTGGAAAGTTGAAATATAAAAACATTCACAGATCAAAACTGGGAAAAACTTGCTTATAAACGTAGTAACTTTCACGTTACAGTTATACCAAAACAGACATGTCCTGAATAGTGCAAAAATGCATGTTTGTTGGGGTTTCCATCTTATGAATAACTCTGTCTCTCTTTTTTTTTTGCCTTTCGTTTGCTCTTCTCACTTCCGATTGCGTGACCGATACTGTTATCGATTCCGAATGCGGTTACTCGATCATTTTGCGTTCATTTTCTCAATTATCATTTATCGTATTTCTCCATTTTGAAAATTGTGCAATCGAATTGAATAGCATTTACAATTAAGCAAAGTAAGTGTACGAACAATTAGTTTGATTAAACGCTATTTTAGTTGGCTGTCCCACTCTGGCACACGATACACTGTTATCGGTTTGACAATCGATAGGCCAACGGGCGGGCAGGTAAATTGGTTATCCTATCGATTTTTCGATTATTTAAATTATGCTATTTAAGATTGATAGCTTATAGACGAACCATTATCCAGCCCGCCCATGGCCGAAACTTGAACCCCGCACCACGTCCACCGCCCCTCAAGAAAAAACACCCAGCAAACTGCCTTTAGATTGTTTATGTACTGCAATGATCCCGAACCAAATTGATATATTTCTTCGATCTTTTCCGTTTTTACTATTTGACTTTTCTCTCTCTACTCGCCACTAAAAACTCGAAATTGAAATAATAACATTGCCTGCCTTGCTACAACAACTCAAAATTGATACCGAATTGGAAAAACAACAACTTGAAAAATGATAAAAAAAATAAAAACAAATAAAATTGGAATAAATTCAATGCACTCTGCACTCTGCCAACCTGCAACCTGCAACTGCAACAACAAACGAAATGAATGCCTCCGACAACCAATCAATCAACCAATCAAATCGATCAACAAACCAAAACCGAAACCAAAACCGAAAAAAACCAACTCAAACACAATTTTTCTCACTTTTCTCCCATGCAACAACCTGCCACCCCGCCTGTCTATCCCGCATTTGCATCCGCATCTCCGCATCGCCCATTGTTCCATTAAACGTCACCTCCAGGTTTTTCCCAAGGCGCCCAAGCTGCAGGCGAGCCAGGCGACCCTGGCCCGCCAGGACACCATCGACGAGGGCGGCGAGGTGGACTCCTCGCCGCCAAGTCGCGACAGTCGCGTGGTCATCGAGGGAGCGGCAGGAGCTTCCCCACCTACTGCATCATCAGGAGCAGCAGCAGGAGGAGGAGGATCTGCAGCAGGAGGAGCCTCCGGATCAGGAGCAGGATCATCGGGGGCAGCAGGTTCCGGTACCGTTGTGGCCATCGTGGCCACCAGCAAGGCGGAACGCAATCTGGCCCTGGAAAGGGAGCGCCAGATCGAGATGGCCAGCTCGCGGGCCACCACCTCAGACACCTACGACACGGGGCTCCGCGAGACGCCGCCCACGCTGGCGCAGCGGGATCTCATCGCCACCGTGCTGGACATGAAGGTGGACGTGCGGCTGGAGCTGCAGCGCATGCAGCAGCGCATTGGCCGCATCGAGGATCTGCTGGGTGAGCTGGTCAAGCGGCTGGCGCCAGGCGGAGGAGGAGGAGCACCTGCCCCTCCCGACAACAGCAGTGGCCAGACCACGCCGGGCGACGAGATCTGCGCGGGTTGCGGCGCGGGCGGCGGCGGAGGAGGAGGTGGAACGCCCACCACCCAGGCAACCACATCCGTGGTGAGCAGCCCCGTGGACACTGTGATAACCTTTTCGTCGCCAGGAGGATCTGGAGCTGGCGCCGGTGGCGCTGGCCTGCTAAATCCGGGCGCCACAGCTGTTGTGTCGAGCGCGGGAGGCAACGGCCTGGGGCCGCTGATGCTCAAGAAGCGACGCTCGAAGAGCAGGAAAGCACCGGCGCCTCCTAAGCAGACACTCGCCGCGACCGCAGCTCCCGCGGGCGTCGCCGGATCTGGCATGACGTCATCGGCGCCAGCGTCAGCGGATCAGCAGGCGGATCAATCGCCCACGACGCCAGGAGCCGAGCTGCTGCATCTTCGCCTGCTCGAGGAGGACTTTACCGCGGCCCAAATGCCATCAACATCATCGGGTGGCGGAGGAGGAGGAGGAGGAGGATCCGGGGCAGGTGCCACGCCCACTACGCCGCCACCACAGCCCACGGGAATGGGCAGCGGAGGCGGCACGCCCACCACCACGCCCACAGGCAGCGGTACGCGGGGCAAGATGGATTTCCTGTAGCCCCCAGTGGATGTGAATGAGGAGGAGAAGGAAGCTTCCAGCCAGGAGCAATAATACAAAATCGGGGCAGTAGGGGCCCAGCCACGCCCACTCGCAAGCCTACGCCTACGCTTAGTTAGTCTATATACTTAAGATACAGCTGTAACCTCAGATCAACACGAAAGCCAACTCATGTATCTCAAAGTCGCGGAAATCCACTGCAATGTATCTATCCAAAAATATTAGTTCCTTACTTTTATATCATACCTTATTATTAAATTCTACAACACTGTAAAATTACTATCTCATGTATTAGTAAAAATTCTAAAAAAGTTTATAAAAAAACATGTATAAAATAGTTTGGAAAGATATATTGTAGTGGAGTTTTGGATGAAGAACTATGTATCTTTTTCGCTACACGAATCTCTACCTAATGCTATCCCACTCCCACTTCACACACACACACACACACTCTGAATGGAAGTGCTCGATACTCGATATTCGATACTCTTTAACCGTTACATGATTACGATTATGACTACGAATACGATAGCGTTAGCCATAACGATTACGATTAAGGCAAGCATATTGCTTACGAATTTGCTACATTTACTGCAATTATTTACCTTTATATGTATACATATACGTATATATATATATATAGTACACTGGCAAACGTTGTAAAGGACACAGACACTCATACATTTATATATATATATATATAGCTGTATGTATATATGGATAATTTTGTGATAACTGCTAAAGGAGGCAAAAACCCAGAAGAAAAGAAACTGCTTACAGACCGAAACAATGCCCGTGAATTGTACATAGCCTAAAAATACCTAAGAACCTAACCTTAGAAGGGATCCAACAGGGATGCCATGCCACATAAACACATATACCGAAAATGATAATGATATTGTACATACACACAGATTCAGATTCAAGATTCATTCATGCATATATGGATATAACCCGTCCTAACTAAATAACTTAACGAAACTCGGCTTGAGCACTCCGGCACTCGCACTCGCTTGGCTCCCTATAAACTAGGCTTATTGAAAAAAGAAAAACTCAACCAAATAGTTAACTCAGCAACAGTAAAGCTTAAGTAAAACCGAAAACCGAAAAGATATAATAGACAGCAGAAATGTGGCCGCTAAACGAAACGACAATCGACAGACCTAAGAAACCAAAAACCAAAAAAACAAAAAAACTTTGAAAAAGAAATACAAAAGGTAAAAAAAAAGAATAGCAAATCTCTAGTTAAAGGCAAGGATCAACTACGATTTCTTTGGGCATTGTAAATACTTGAATTAAAGTTTAGCAAAATATGTTATCACACGCTCACTAACACACTCACAACACACACACACGCCTACACACATGTTTTGTGATAAAAAGGAAATTAGCTAAAGGAAAACCAATTTGAAAAGTTTAGACAAAAAGAACTAACCTAGATATTTGTTTAATGCTGGCATTTGATAGGCTTGCACCTGGCATATAGTTTATACCGGATGAAGATCAGAATGACATGATGATATGAAAGCTCTTCGGATAGCGATATGTAGTATGTTTAAGTGGGAGAGGAGGACGAAAGGTATCCTGGACAGTTTATGGGCAAGGTTTCATTACGTTTAAGTCGCCAGAAGTCCACTTGAATCTCGTTCGGTTACCGTTTTGATTCCCTAGTTGCTATTCGATAACCGCTACTTGATATTTGATACCTTCGAGATAGAGATACCTAGTGTAGAGAGGCGGCAGAACCGGAACGGATACCCGAACACAAACACATACGAACTGTCTTCCCTGTATAGTTGGGGAGTTAGGAGGGGTCTTACGAATAGAGGGGGCTTCGCGGTTCTGTCCGCGAAAGTTACTTAGTTCTAGTTGTAGATTTTTTCGATTCCCATTCCCGAATTCGAATTCCCCGTCGAAACCAAATCAAAACCAACAAAAAGCAATTCAAGTGGTATTAAAATTTGAGTAACCAACACTCACTCACTCAGTCAGTCAGTCTTTCACACTCACCCCCTATACATATACGTATTTCCAATACTCAACAAAGAATCAAAAGTTAATGGTTAGCGAAGAAAAACAATTTGTTGCATACCTTTAGGCCTTAAGTTCTAGTTGAAAGTTTAACGAATGTAGCGGGCTCACTGTACATAGTTTTTTTTTAAATACCAATAAATTAAATATATCTAAAGTATATATATACAAATATATATGTATAACTAATTAATAGTTGATAATTAGGCAGCAACCAACTGAGTAAGGAAAGCTAAGACGCACTAGGCCGGAGAAGGGAAACGATAAGACGGAGATTTACCGATAGTCCTCATATGAAGATACGATAGCACTGATACGATAGCAGCTTAGTACTCGTATTATTTAGCCCTGTCTCTCGCCACCTTTTCCCCCACTCACTATCTCTCTCTCTCACTCTTTCTCTGTCTATCTCTCGCTTCCGCCCCCATCCTTAGTATTCTTTACGGGTGTTTTAGACCCTACTACACAGAGCCTTATAAATATAACCTAAAGAAACTAAACCAACTCAAGCAGCGTTCAGCAAACTAGCAACTCAGACCTAATACTAAACCTAGCATTAGCATTAAAAGTGAACGAAAACGTGAAACTAAAGTGGTGCAATTAAAATTTTTAGATCAAGCTGAGCGAGCAATTTAGTCGAAATTTATATTGAACAATTTATGGGGGGAGGGAGGATGTGTGGATGCAAATATACATAGGAGGAATTGAAAATCTCATGTATATACACCCAGGCAAACAATGACAAGCAACCGAAGAGGAAGAAACCCCCAATCTCGAGTCCCGGATATGAAAGAAACCTCATACTCATGATGTTCTGGCCTTCGATTTCGCCTAGAAAACGCCCGATTCAGTCTGATATTTATAGAGATCGCCAGATGGTAGGCTGCTGAAGGTCGGTTCGGGTCCGTCTGCTGGGACATTCGCTGGGAGGCGCCAAAGAAACTGATTAAACCATATTATTATTATAGATATGTACATGTATATATGTGTACCTCTAGTTACACCTAGATTGATAACGAGAACAACCTATCAAAATTAAGCTTTTATACGCCAGAATTTTTTTCTAAACAACTAAAAAACAAAAACCAAAAACAAAAAAGAAAGTAAACTAAACAAACTTAAAGAAACACTCAAGAATATACACAATTAATGCAAGCCAGAGAAGAGAGCAAAATTAACTCACAACACTCAATTAACGAATACCGTTTACAAAGCCCCAAGTGAAAGCTAAATTAATTTAAATATACATACATTACAATGATAGAAAAAGCCTTAACCAACATAACACGCGCCTCATTTTCGTTTTTTCCATTTATTACGTAAGACCCACAGCAATGCTAAGAAAAAGAAAAGAAAATACAAAAATACTACGGCTAAACCAAACATACTAAAGATACTGAAAATACCAAACCAAAATATTTAGCATTATGCTCTAGACTCTAGACGAAAAAGAACCAAAATTTTACAACAAGATGAAACAAGAACAAACGCGATAAAGCAATGTTAAACATTTTCCACCAATTTGAGAAGCATAGTTGCTAAAATACCAAACAAAAAAATACCTAAAAAACCGAAACTTATTTCGTACACGCGCCCTTTGTTTTTAAAAAATCGAAAAGCTGCCTATTTATATATTTACAAACAATGAAACAAAATGAAACGAAATGAAATGAAGAGAAAGTGAATTACCAATTAACTACAAATTTAACAAACCACAAAAATACTACATATTGCAATTGCAACATTCCAAGAAAAGAAAAAAATACCAAAAATAATACGAGCATGTAAAAATAGTTTGAAATCAACTGAGTTTCGGCTCAACGGCGCCGAAAACTTAGAGACATCAAGCCACGGCTTTGCTGAGCAGATTTACAGTTATATACATACACCAACATATATACCGATATATGTATATATACATAGGTAGTTTATACCATTTAAAAGCTTGCTAGGACTCGTCCTTGGGCCACTGATTAAACGCCAGGAGACGAGCCGCGAAATCGATAACAGAAATAGTCGTAATATTTATTTGAGAATCGCTGGATTAATGCCTACAGTTAATGTGTATAGTTACTTGATTATTGCCGCATTCGACCCACACTCACACACACGAACTCGAGAATCAGAAGGGCTGTACGCCTATTTTTCTGGGTTAAGAACGGATCCATCGAAAATGGGGAACCCTAAAACGCGACGAAGCAAAGAAAAACGTTTTCAGAACCGCAGAAAGCGCAGAACAGAAGCTAAGACACAATAAATGAAAAGAAACAAAGAAAAGAGAAATACATACATAAATGTTTTTAAAAAATATCATTTGAATCCTTTGATTTTCTAAGTGGGGGGGAAACAAAAATTATGGATGGTAAGTATAGGGATATTAGAACCAAAAAGAAAATCGTAGTTAAATTTTCAAACAAAAAAGCAAAAACAAAAGCGATTTTTTCGCTAAAACAAAGCTAATACTGATTCAAAGTATGGATTGTCATACCTTTCTGAACTCGTTATTAAATTTTCTAACGATTGGCATTTAAACCTTCACATTTTATTTATTTTTAATTTTTCGCAAAAAATTATGGGGTACCCCCTTATAAAAAAATTAAAAATTGGCGAAAATTTTATTTTTCCAAAATCACACGGAAAGTTTTATGGATTTTTTGCAAATTTTGTTATCTGTTCAAAACAGTATGTATTTTTGGTGTAGGGCCATTTTTGGCAAAGTTACACCAAAAAAACCAAAAAAAAAATCCATTTTTGTCAAAAACTGAAATCCCTAATTTAAAAAAAAAGACGGGTTTTTCGCGGAAACAAAGGAAATATTGACCCAAATGTGGATTGTCATACCCTTATAAAAATGTGAAGACTGGCCAAAAAATTAATTGTTATAAATCAGCCGGAAAGTGACTGAAATTAATTTATTTGATTTGATTATAGTAAGAAAACAGCAGTTGAAAGTGTACATTTAGAATTGATTTTTATTGCATCCATCCGCTCGTCGCATTTATAATAAATATATATAATTTAGTTATTTGCAATATATATAAATGTAGCATAATGTGCCTTTGTTGGGATGAGGGTGAGGAGGAAAAGGAGTCGGAGGAGGAGGAGGGTGAGGTGGTGGCGGGAGAAGGTCATGGAGGTCAGAGGTCGGGATGCTGGAGGATTATGTACACACTTCTCGCGCTCTCTGCCGCACCAGCTCGCTTTCGCTCGCACTCGCTCGCTCAACTCCGAATTGTACATTAAATAAATAGTGAGTTTTTGATCTTAAAATGGGAGATTCGAGATTCGATTCGTTCCGTTTCAATTCGATTTCGAGTTTTACAAAATAATATTGCCTGGGATAAAGTATGCTATATGCTATTTGCTATTTGCTAATCTGTAATCCAATATCCATCGTTCAAATATCAGCTATCCTAGAAAATATCTATCCGTTTCGTTATTTCCAATCCGATGTGTGAGTTAATATCTAGAGGGATGAAAGATCGATCCTTCGCATGGGGTGTTCTGGGTCTGCATTTTGGGGTTTTTAATCTCTACAAATATGTCCGCGAGTCGTCCGACTGGGACCAAACGTTCGCCCACATATCCGGCGCCAACTCCTCATCATCATCATCATCGTCATCATCATCATCATCATCATCATCTTCGTCATCATCATCATCATCATCATCATGCGGGACCCGAGTTCGCCGGGCTGTTCTCCACTCGCCATCGGGTCCAATCCAAGTGTCTGGCTAAAATGTTTGCGCATTGCGACAGACGCCGCATCCCAGGGCGAACTCCTCGCCGGTGGGCGGATGCATCACATGCAGCGGGCACTCGTCGCCCAGCAGCTGCTTGGCCTTCGGACCCGCCGGGCACTGCGGCAGCTTGACCTTGGGTATGTTGGTCAGCCGCTGGAAGTCGTCGTGGCAGGTGTCGCAAAAGTGCGTCGTCCCGAAGCAGAAGAACACCGCCACCGAGCAGCAGTAGCGGCACTTGTACTCCAGGAAATCGGTCCCGTGCTTGGGGCACATCTGCGCCCTGGCCACATCCGAGCAGCCGCCGCAGACCAGCTCCTCGGGATCGAACTTCTCGCCGATTTCCGCATCGCAGCGCGCCTCGCCGCCGTAGTAGGCCTTTTGGCACTTGAAGCACACGTAGTAGGCATACCGATCCATCGCCAGCTGGGTCATATTCACGTCCTTGCTGTCCGTGTCCTTGACGACGCCCTCGTACTTGATGCTAATAGTAGGATTTTGGAATTAATATTAAGATAGAGAATTAAAGGGAGACCTCCTCTAACTTACCGCATGAGCGCCTTGCGCTTGACGTCCTGCTTGAGTCCATTGATCGGCTCCAGGATGTCGGCCAGCAGCGGATGCTGGATGTCCGCCTTGCAGATGGGACACAGGGAGAAGCCGAAGGTGATGCGCGGTCCGCTCCAGCGCTTCTCCAGCACCGCCTTGCAGCAGTGGTAGTGGAACACATGGCCGCACTCCAGCTGTAATATTACAAACCATACCATAATTAGATGGAATTCCTTATAGGTAACAACTACTAAGACATTACATGTATAGAGGGAGCACAGGACACGGCCTCCACGAAGCAAATCATGCACATGTCGTCCGCATCCTGGGTGAGCTTCGGATCCCTCAGCTCCTCGGCCAGTTCGTTCTCCCGTGCATGGCACACGTGCTGCAGGCAGGGCAGGCACTTCCGTTCGCCGGTGACTCCGCCGCAGGCATGACCACACGGCTTGGTCTTCAGGCACGAGTTGGCCGCATACTCCTGGCACTGGGCGTCGGCACACACGTTCCCGATCTCCAGCAGCCCCGAGTTGCCGGTGAGGCCGCAGAAGCGGCAGCGGCCCACCGCCTCCTGGGGCCCCGAGATGATCGTGTGGCTGCCGTCGCGGAACTCGACCATGGCCTTCAGGGTCTTGGAATCGGCCAGGGCCAGCAGCCAGAAGAGCTTGGTGCGGCCGCAGGACTCGTGCAGCTCCACGCGGATGGCCTCCTCCTCCTCCTTGCAAACCTGGAATAAGGATAATGGATTTATTTTAATATGGATAATAATTAATAGATAATGGATCATAAATAATGGATAATGAATAATAAATAATGGATTACGGATGCAAACCTAGAATTTGGATAATAAATAATAGTTAATGGATATCGTATAAAGGATAATGAATACTGGGTAATGGATAATAGTTAATGGTTAATGGAAAATGGGCAATGGATAATAAATAATGGATAAAAATAATGAATAAGGATAACGTATAATGGGTAATGAATAATAAATAATGGATAATAAATGATAAATAATGGATAATAAATAATGGATAATGGATGACAAATAATGAATAAAGGATAATGGATAATGGGTAATGGATAAAAAAGATTGGATAAAGGATAATAAATGATAAATAATGGATAATAAATTATGGGTGCAAATCTAAAATATGGATAATAAATAAAAGTTTATGGACAATGGATAATAAATAAAGGATGAAAAATATTGATGATGATGATACATAATGGATAAGGAATGATAAATAATGGTTAATGGATAAGGGACAATGGATAATTGATAATTGATAACAGATAATGGATAATGAATCTCTAATATAGAGAGAAAATCCCGGCCAACCCACCGTTCGCTTGTGCGAGCGAGTCTTGCGATTCAGATGCAGAAACCGATCGCAGTCGCCGCAGAGGGAGCCGCAGGTCTCGCACTGAATGATGGCCGCCGTCTCGCCGTCGTCATGGTTGCTGCACAGCGGCCGGGTGTCGCACAGCTTCGACCACTGGCCCGAGGATAGCTTCTCCACGTGGTCGCGCTCCAGGACGCACAGACTGGCCAAAGCCAGCCACAAGGTCGAGGTCTTGGTGCAGTGCTCCGGCGAGCGGTAGATCTCCTCTAGCCGGGTGAGATTCAACACGGACTCGGCAATGGCCGCCTTGGTGATCTGCGACCACTTCTCGCTGAGTTTGCCCTGTAAAAAATATAAATAGGTAAGTATTTATAAAGCAATTTTATTTTAAGGTTTTACTTACGCTGGCCAAATCCCTGATGAGTCCGATAATGCTCTCCGCCTGCTTGGTGGAGATGACGCCGTTGAGGAACCACCGCTGGTTAAGATTCCGCTTCGACTCCTTGCGCGGCGGTAGGGCCTCGAACTGGAAGGGATCGGCCCCAGCCGGCTCACCGGTGGGCGGTCGCGATCTCAGCTGCTGCACGGAGAGATCCAGCGAACTGCAGAGCCGCACAAAGGCGGGCGTCTTCTCCTGCTGACCAGGCTTCAAAGCAGCTGCTCCAGATCCTCCAGCTCCTCCCGATCCAGTTGCTCCTCCTGCAGCGGCAGCCGTGGTCTTCACCTTGACCTGCAGCTGCAGGGACTTGGCGATGACGGCCAGGAAAATGTCGAGCAGGCCCAGCCGACTCATATCAAAGTCGCTGGCCGACTGATGGGCGATGCTGTAGTCCGCCGGCGGCAGTCGCTGCACGCCAAGCAGCTCGGCAAAGCTCTCCGGCGATATTTCCGGCAGGATGCGGCGCAGCAGAGCGGTCACCTGGCGCTGCACTCGATCGCTGCCGGTGTGCAGCAGCCCGAGGAGATCGCGGAGGAGTCCGTGCTGCTGGGAAAGATAGGAGCGACCCACCACGCTGCCCGACAGGGCCAACACCATGCTGAGCATCTCGAAGCAGTAGGTGTCCGGGGCTCGACTCCTCTCCGGCGAACTTTCGCTGGAGGCGGGCAGAGCTGCAGAGGCGGAGGCAGCCTGCAACTGGGGTGGCTGCTTCAGGGCATGGGCCAGATTGGCCAGCTCCCAATCCTCCTTGGCCCGCTGAGCCTCCTTGCGGATGGCATGCACAATATGCACAATCACCTGTTTCTGCAGATGCGACAGTTTGCTGCGCGAGAACAGAATGCCCACCATGTGTTCGCGGAGATCCAGGGAGTCGGCCAGCAGGGAAGTGCTGGCGGCTCCGCTGCTCGGTGGCCCAATGCCCGCGGAATCTGGAGGCACCAGATCGGAACCCACATTGCTGATCAGCTTGCCGAACACCTGACCGGTGATCAGGCGGAAAACCCTCAAAGTTTCCGCCTCGCAAATCTGCTGCTGGATGCGCGACGCATGACTGAGACGCAGGTGGGGCTGGTGCTTGTGCTCCGCGGGCTCCTCCAGGCCCATGGATCCTCCTCCTCCTCCTCCTGTCGGCAGACCGAGCAACTTGATCTGCCGCACGCGAAGGGTGTTCTCCGGTCCATGGAGCTCCAGGCGGAAGTGGGTGCAGCTGTCGTCGCAGATCTTCGCCGAGATCCAGGAACAGGCCTTCGGATCCACGTCCGCCGACTTTATTACATTCGTGTCGCCCAGCGACTGTCCGGCATAAAAGACCACATTAAGCACCTTGTTCTGGAAAGAGTAATTACGAAAAATGAATTGGGTTTTATACTTTATTTATATCTCATTTTTTCTGCACCTCAAAGCTATCAAACAAATTTAAAATTAATTAAAATAATATGCTAGGCCTTTAAAATTATTTCATTATAATGTTTTAAATATATAAATATTACGCATCATAAATAATACTTATAATGACACAATCCCAAAACATACAAAAAATATATAACATTTATTCATATTTGAATAATAAAGCTACAGAATTAAATCTCAAAGACAAATAAATCATATAAATATAACTAGAAAATACAAATTATATAAGTTCACTGATAAAAAATGGGAAATAATAAAAATAATTATATCTTCACTTTAAATAAATAAAAATTATACAAGTTCACTGATAAGAAAAAGTGAAACAATAAAAGTAATTATATCATCACATTGAATTAAAATGTTCGTATTTCATATTTCAATAAAATACAGAAACATAATGTTGAATATAAACATATATATAGTTGTTATGATTAAACTATAAAATATTTAAATTAGTCACATTTATTGAAATAACTTTTAATTTAATGAAAGATAATTTCATATAAAAATCCCTCAATTAGCTAACATTTTAGAATTTAATATTTCCCTATTTCAAATTAAAAATGGAAAAGTATTGGATTGAGATCACAAATCCCTGAAAACTCACCTGAATGTCCCGACTATTGTCGATGTGGACGAGAAGATAGCGACAGGCGTAGTTGAGCTTGGTCAGCGACAACTCGATGATCTTGCACTTGTTGCGATCCTCCTCGTCGCTCTCCCAGAAAGTCTCCGTGGAGTTGTCCGTCAAGGATTCCGCCATGGCGGGACGCGAGGACACGGTGACCTCGAACATCCCCGCCAGATCTGTGTAGCAGAGGAGCCGGGCTCCAGCTCCTCCCGATCCCGATCCCGTGGCCACTGGATGCACCTGATTCTGCTCGGCATCGCAGTCGGGCTTGAGGATCATCGACACGGCCATGGCATCGTTCTGCTCATCCGACTTGGACAGTATCTTCGAAATGTTCCCAAAGACATGAGAACTGTGGAGGAACTGGTGGTCCGCCTGGCGGAAGCGGATGCCGAAGCACTGGATGGCCACCCGCTGCAATGGCGAACCGAGCGGCAGGTGGAGCGTGAGATCGGCCACCGATTGGAGGAGCACGTGCAGGGATTGGGTGATCAGATGGGCGAACCTTCCGCTGATCTGCGTGTAGGCCACCGGGTGCTCGAGTGCCGGCTCCGCGGCATCCTCACCCCGGCCCTCCGCCGAATGACCACCACCCCCTGAAGCGGTCAGCGAGCTGACGAACCACCACATCAGATCGTGCAGACACACGCCCTGGGTGACGCTCCTCAGCAGCCAGTTGAGCGCCTGCAGGGCATAAATCCGGCAGGCGGCGATCCTCAGGCTCCTCCGCATGGCCGCCCTCAGCCTGTCCAGCTGGTGCTTCTGCGTGATGAACGCCATGGCCGGCCGGCTGAGCAGCAGGTTGCCCCCGCCATTCTGGCCCGCCGACTGATCCAGTCCCAGCGTCCCCGTGGAATGATCCTTGGCCTCGCCAGCGGCCTGCATGACGCACACACTGGCCAGCAGCTTGTGCGGCACCAGGCGACGCAGGTGCTCCGAGGGATAGCAGATGAGCAGGGAGCCGTCGCCCTCGCTGGTCGAGTTGTTCCGCCGCCGGTAGACCACCTTCGGCTGGCCCTCCGCCGCCGTCGTCGGCTGCTGGTGCTGCTGGAGATGCAGGTGCAACGGCTGCTGCTGGTGGTGCTGCGACTGCGGGTGGTGCGGATGGTGGTACGGCTGCTGCTGCTGCTGCAGGTGGAGCTGCGGCTGCGGCTGCGGATGCTGGGCCAGCGACGCCCAGCCCTGACCCATCGAGTAGCTGCGATGGAACTTGGACACCGAACCAGGAGCCGTGGAGCCCGGCGCCAGGGATCCGGGGATCAGCTCGTAGTTGTTCTGCTCGCAGGACTCGAAGGAGATCTCCGAAAGGGGCTGTAAGTGGGTGAAAGGAAAAGAGGATTCGATTAAAAAATAAATCGATATGAAACGTAGATCGATTTTACATTAACTTGATATGGAGCCAGGTAAATTTGACATGCTCGAAATGAGTATTTCATTTAAAAAAGATATTGGTTTTGCATACATGCACATATCGATTTTACGGTGACATGTTTTTTTTTTATTTCTACAATTTTAAATTGGTATGAAGACAGGTAAATTTGATATGGCCGAAATGAGTATTTCATTTAAAAACGATATGCGTAAAGCATAACCAGAAATGTACATGCACATATCGATTTTACGGTGACATGTTTTTTTTCACTTTAAATTGATATGCGGCCCGGTAAATTTGATATGGTCGAAATGAGTACTCCATGTAAAAACGATAACCAGAAATTTACAAGCTCTTATCGATTTTACATTGAAATATGAAGATCTTAGAGACTATCTACCCACCCTATCGTAGCCATTGTCATTCGAATTGGGTCCCAGTCCGAACATTTCGTAGGGCAGATCCTCGTGGCCGGCGGTGCCCAGGCACTCGAGGCACGCAAAGCTCTCCGGCGCCAGCCAGACGTTCTCCGGCGCCGTCGGCGGTCCGCCCACGAAGCTCTTGCGGAACGCTCCCGTTGCTCCGACACCCGGACAGAACTTGGAGCCACTCAGTCGGGCCATCCGGCTGCAGCGACTGGTGCTCGGCTTGAGGTCCGAGTTGCCCAGCTGGTGCTCGATCACCACCGGCATGGCCACCACGGCCATCTGCTGCGGCGATCGCTTCGCATTGGAGCTGCTGGCCGCCAAACTGGCGACTGCTCCAGAGGCGGAACTGGAACTCGAGCAGAGCTCCAGCAGGAAGGTGGCATTCTCACGCATTGTGGTGTAGACCTCGGCATTGGCTATCAGTGTGGTGGACTTGACGCCGAACAGATTCAGTTCGTTGCCTGGAAGAGGGAAGGGGATTAGGATTACATGGGAAAAAAACTTAATGATAAATTTGTTAATATCTAAAGAATTCGCGGTCTTATTTTATTCAAGAATCAATCTGCTACTTTTATTAAGAAAACCTTTACAAATGTCAGTCTGTTCCTCTTGCTCCGAAGAATTCGCGGTTATCCAGTTAATATTCATTAATATTCGTTAAATATTTCCTAAAGAATTCGCGTTCTTATTTTTCATTTTTCATAAATCAATCTATGACTTTTTATAATTAAACCTTTAAAAATGTCAGTGTGAAATATATTTCTTCCTGTTGTTCTGAAGAATTTGCGGTCTTATTTGATTGAAACTTTATGTTTGGTTTTAAATGGTAAGAATTAACAAATGTGTTGTTAAGGTTTATATATGTTTCTTTTGTTCTGAAGAATTCGCGTTAGATTTGATTAAAAAAAATCCTTTTAAACATTTTTTAAAATCAAAAGATTTTCTTATAAAATAAAATTAATATTTATATTATTTTCTTTTCGTAGGATTTCTATTTTAGAAGTACAATCTCACCTTCGGCGGCACTGGACTCCAGTTGTCGGGCGGCGCTGTTGATGTTGTTGGCGCTGCGACAGGAGGCGAGGTACCGATCGCGGCAGGGATCGCACATCAAGAACCAGGACGAGGCTCCCTTTCCTCCCTCGCCGCAGTTGCCCGCCCATCCCTCGCAGAAGATGCCCACCGAGTTGTAGCCCTTGCCCTTGGCCGACTTCCCGCAGCCCGGATGGGCGATCCTCATGTGGTAGGTGACCGGCATGGGGAGGAAGAGCTCGCAGATTTCGCACCAGCTGCCGTCGTCCTTCTTCTTGCGCTTGCACTTCCTGCCCAGCTCCTTCTCGCCGCCGGATCCCTGGTCCGCTCCCTTCCCGCCGCCGCCATCCTTGCCCTCCGCCTCCGCATCTCCATTCAAATCCCTGCTTCCCGGCGACAGCAGGCGCGTCTCCCGCTGCTCCAAAGCATTCGACTGGACAATTTGGACGCAGCCGGAGCAGATCTGCTCCCACAGATAGACGAGGCATCGCAGGGCGGGCGGCAGAACGCTGACCATCTCGGGCAGGGCCTGCAGCTTCTGGGCGGGATCCTCGCCGGGATTGGTTACTCCGCCGGCGAGCAGATTCTTGCGGTACTTGCTGCGATTGTGCAGCGAACAGTTGCCGCTCTTGGTCAGCGTCTCCAGAGTGCTCGGCCGGATGTTCAGGTAGTTGCCCGCATTGGCCACCTCCACCGAGTGCCGCTGCTGGGCCTTCTGCTCCCGCGAGAGCTGAACCCTCGAATCGCCGGAATCGCCGCGTCGCGTCACCACGGTGGCCCCCTCCTTGGGCAGCCCGGGATGGAACTTGAGGAAGCTGGCGCAGGCCATGGCATCGTGAACGACGCCCTCGTGCCAGAGGAGCGCTGCAAAGACCGCCCGAATGCTCTCGGCGAAGGATGGCGGCATTGCCCGCTTGATGGGACCCATTCTCTTGGCCGACGCCGATGATGTGGTGGCCAGCTGGAGTTCGCTCTGCTGCTCCCCCTGCGTCGTGGTGGTGGTGGTGATCTGCAGCAGACTGAGCTCATCCTCCAGGCCACCAGTTTCACTGCTGCTGGTCGGAGCAATGGCACTCCGCTTGGGCGTGTGCTTCGGCGTGGAGAGCAGCGCTGCCGTCTGACTGGCCGAGTAGTTGGGTCTCCTCATGCTGGCCAAACTGAATTCGGGTTCCTGGGAATCCGCTTGCTGACTGCGATTGCCATTGCCGCGTGGCGGAATCGAGGTGTCCTGACCGCCCATGGCCCTCACCAGTTCCCTCACCGAAACTCCGGCCAGGGGAGGTGAGTGGGAGGGGGTCAGGGGCTGTCCCGCCTCCACGGCGCCATCCCCCTTGAACCATTTTTGCAGCGCCTGCAGCTTGATGGCCCCGCCGCCCACCACGCCCGCTATGGCGGATCCTATGTGGGCGGGGAGCAGCTCCACCGCAGGCAGAGCCTCCTGTTCCGGCTCCTCCTCCGCTTCCACTCGCTCCCGCTCCTCCTCCTCCTGCTTCTCCTTCTCCCTCTCCGCGAGATCCACATGGTGCTTGGCGGGATAGTGGAAGGGATTCGTGGACTGATGGCCGGCCAGGAAGCGCGGTGGCTTCGACTTGGCCGGACTGAGCACCGGACTGGGATCCCGATCGGGTTCCGGACTGGCCTCTCCGCTGGCAGACGGACTGACTGGCGGCTGCCCCTCCTCCTCCTCCTCCTCCTCCTCTTCCTCCGCTTCCTCCGCCGCCTTGCGCCGCGGATTCGTATTCGAATTCGGATTGAGCTCCTTGTCGGCCACCGGCTGGAGGAGCATGCGGGCCAGGTGCTGGTTGAACTGCAGGCACCACGCCTCCGTCGGATACCAGCCCATGGTGCAGTGCTGCCGGATGGACTCCGTGGACAGGCGCAGCCAGACGCCGTCGTCGTTCTCGATCTCGTCGATGAACGAGATCACGCCGCCCACGCGCACCACGCCCACCTGCTCCGACTGCAGCGTGGGATGGGAACGGATCCGCAGTCCCGAACTGTGGCGAGCCTGAAAGGGGAATTGGAATTTATAGTTTGAGAATACTGGATAACCTTCTTGCTTTTTTTTCTCTAATATTAATGATTACTTAAAAATTAATTTTCAAAAAGTTAATATTATCAGCATATGATCAATAAAAACATTGTAAAACCAATTATCTGCGTGCTAACATAATATCTAGTGTAAAACATATTATAATGCATGATGTAATTTTAAATTATTTGAGCCAATATTAAATAAATTATGAAAACCATTGCATAGTGTATTATGTAATATGTATGGAAATTTAATTTTTAAATCTTTAAATTTACTATAATTGTTCAATTTAATATTTTCATTTGTTAAATAAATAAAAATATTATTTTATATGAAATACTTGGGTTTACTATTTTTTTCAATAGACCAATAAATAATTCATTGATTATTCACACAGTGAATATGGTACACATTTCTTATCAGTTTTCGCTTTCTTTATGTCAGTGTCTAAGTTGCAGTGTCGTGACAATAAGTTGTATAATATAACTTGCATGTGTTCCTTTGGAAACGGCTATATCTTAGAAATCCATATTACGTATATTATTATTTGCTTGCAAAAATGTGACTTGCTAAGTCTAAGCTAACTAAAAACTAATTACAATGCTAACTAAAAACTAAAAATAACGAATTAAAAAAGTATACATCAAAATCTTGATTGATTTCACAAATATTATAAAAACCGCGAATTCTTCAGCAAAGCCGCGATGCTAAATCACAAGCTGAAGAATTCGCGCTTAAGGCTAGGGTTCCTCTTATCTCCTACCTATTATTTATAAGCAAATATAATAATACCTGAAATCGACGCAGCTTGCTGGGCGCCTGCGGCCTTCGCTGGGCGCTGCTCCGCTGAGTGGGCGGCGGCAGGATGCCCTCCTTGACGTCCACGCGGTAGACCTCCTCCAGCGGAATCCCATCGATGGTCACGGCCAGGCAGTAGGCACCCACCGAGCTGGGCGTCCACTGGACACTGAAGGTGCCGTCCTCCATGTCCTTGGCGTTCAGCAGCTCGGTAATTCTCGTTTGCACCGGACTCGCGTAGCGCAGCTCCTCGAACGAGTAGTTGGTGAAGGGCTTCATGAACGTGATGGCCTTGAAGACCATCTTCTCCTTGGAGGTGGGCTCGTAGTTGAGGCGCGGCGGTGGCGCCATTCCGCCCCAACCCCACGTGTCGCCGGAGGCCCGTCGCATCCACAGATTCGGACCGGTCACGCCGGTTCCGCCTCCGGCTGTTCCGCCTCCGCCGGCTGCATTCGGACCCGAGCCCGTGGGTATCGCCTTGATCTCCACCTTGAGCTCCGGCACCAAAACCGCATCGCCGTACTGATCCCGAATGGTGACCGTCACCTGGGAGGGCCAGCCGTAGCGCAGCGGCTCCGTGATCGTGTTCAGCTCACATCTGCAGGGGAGGATTAATTAATCCTAAGTTTATTTCCGGACTATTGCACTTACTTATTGGGATCGAGTCGCGACTCTGGCTGCAACCAGGCAGCCAAACGGGCGCCCGACGATCCTGGCGCCCCGCTGATAAAGTCCTTGAGGAACTGCCGCTCATTCGACTGGGATCTGAAAAGGAAGAATAAATAAATAATTTAAAATATCAAGAAACTTTATTCCACTATTTATAATTTTATAGGATTTATTTTCTGTTCTACTGTATTTCGTATAATAATTCCATTACAATCAACATAAAAATCATTTAAGATTATATTATTAGTAATATGAAAAATTTATTTCGTTTTGAGGTATATTTCAGCTAGCTATCTTATTCACAAAAATTATTCCTTTTCGGGCTTATGATGATGATGACCTATAGATCCACTTAAAAGCTAATAATAATATAATAAAAACCAATATTAATAATCGACTACTAATGTAAAATACCAGGTAAAACCCAAACACCTTCCCCTGTAACCCCCTTCAAAACAAATTTATTTAGTAATTATGAAATCCTTTAGGAGCAACCAATTATTCCCACACCACAATGATGTAAGAATCTCTGTATGTACATTTGTTCCAGTCAGAATTTCTCTTTGAAATTTCTCCCCGGGTCAGGGGTCAATGCTTAAGGTCACCGAGTCACCGATCAGGTAGAATCGCCGAGCACTTAAATCCATTTCCCTTCCTTCCAATCCAATCCAATCCAATCAGAGGCACAGCATCAAAGATGGACCGCCCCGCTGACCTGCGGTTCTCAGGCGGAAGGAGAGTGGCACGTAGGAAGAGGACTGGAAAGGTTCGAAGGGCACGTAGGGGTCACAGCGGGCGGTGCACGTGTGTGTGTGAATGGAGGGACTCGCGCACGCAGGGACACAACGACATGAGCGCGCATGCAGCGACGTGTGAGAAAACAATAGATAGTCGGGAAACCACTTTCGAACCCATATACTATCATCAAGATAACCATTATACCATAACTATACTAATCGTATCACAAAAATGACGAGTAAGGTGATAAGCAACTGGTATTTTTGCAAGCAAGGTTTGTTTGTTTTGTCTACTGAACGCTAGGAATATCTTAGGATGAGTCAATTCTGCGAGGTACAACGGGAACACATATATTTCAAGGACGATGGGAAAGATAAGAACCTACTATTTGCTATTTTCGCCAACCTACTTGTAATAAAGTGACTTAATCTGAAAGAGCTGACCAAGTTATGATAACGATTTTTAAAAACTTACATATTTCAAGGCTGGGAAAGTCTAAGTCCAACTGTTTTCTATATTTTGCCAACCTACAAACATGTATTAGATCATGGAACGGTGAAAAATAGATCTAACTCGTGACAATGGTTCCGACTTTTTGAGGAATGGGGGGTGTAACGGTCACATTTTGGGGTGTTGGGGGTAACCAAACCGAAAAACACACACAAAGCTGCGTACACACATTTATTTTATTTACATAAAAAGCAAATAAAACAATACCGAACAAATAAATGCAAACGAAATGGAAAATGGGAATGAGAAAAGGGTGATGGAGGAAGTGGAAAGTGGAGTTTTAGTTTTCCAACGAAAATGGGGGTGGGGGTAGGTCCCCCCGTACTAAACACAGTACTCCACCTCATGGAGGCGACCCTGCACTTCACGGCGAATACAAAAACAAAACAAAACCGATAATGGGGGGAGAGAAGGAAAGAGCAACAATAACAACAAAGGGCAGCAGCCAACTGTGGCCACATGTGTGCGTGTGAGTGTGTGTGAGTGTGCGTGAGCTACCTGTGGGAAACACGTTTCCACTGCAATTTACCCCCGTTACCCCCCTGAATACGCCCCCCTCCCCTCTCGAACTCCCGCCTACACTTGAAATTATAATTTTAATATTTAATGATAATAAAGCAATCACACTTTAAAAACCCACTTAGAAGAGCTTATAATTCCCAAGTGGTAATTACGCTGGATTTTCAGCTTTACATCTCCTTAGAATTTCCCTGTATTTTTCCACAGGTTATTCATTTATTTCGTTCAGTGTACAATCGCAAACAAATGGAAATGGAGCGCAGAGAAACAAGTTGCGGGATCCCAACTGGAGTTGCATTGGTAGAAAGGGATAGACTGTAGGAGCAAGGGGGCAGTGAGCGAGAGGGGAACAACGGGAAGAGATGAGTGTGTGTGTGTGCTCCCTATTGCGGCAATGTAATCGTTCATTCATTCATTCAATTCAGTTTTTATCGTGCCACAAAATGCGGAAGAGTTGTCTTGTCCAAAGGGGCAAAACAACAAAAGGGGGCTAGGGAAACACGGAGAGGGGGACGGATAGATAGATGGGCAGAGAGCAAGAGGGAGACAAAAGCAAATAATGTGTATGACATTCGTCAATTTCTTTATCGCTCACTCAACTCTACGGAAAAGTCGAACCACTCAAAAATTATAATACGATCAATAAACAACAACATGAATAATATCAGTCCTGCTCCATTGACCCATGAAAGTAAAATAATTAATAATAAGAACTTTGAAATATAGCTACTAATGTAATATTTAATACACATCAGGGATATGTATTTCATAAAGAAAAATGTATTCCCAATGTTAAATTCTAGAAAACCCATTAAACGAATGTTGAAATCAGAAAATGGCTTGATAACTGTTAATTTATTAGTATTTCTTTAAATTTCAATATAAAAATCACTATTAATATTTGATATACCCAATGGACAATTTATATTCCAATGATATAGGTATTTTATTGATCCAAAGTAGGGAAAACGAAAAGTTGTGCCTGCGTTCACTTAAAAATCTCCGGGGATTCCCCTGACACACCCCATTTATACAATTATTTTTTGGAAACTCGGGGAGGTTTAGGAATGGAAAATATCATTAGGAGATCTGAAACTCAGACAGAAATCACCGACCCAACGTATTAATTGAATGGTTCGGGATCGGGGGGCGGGGGAACCCGTATATACCACCCGATGTCCCACCCGAAATGATCATCTGTCTCTTTTCCTCTAGTGATTGAAGCGCTGCAACTTCCGCTTTCCGTTTTGCCTTCAAATTGAACGCAAATTGATGTGCTGCAATGGGCGAGGGATGCATTTAAAATAAGCGAAGGGGCATTACTTCCTAATGCCTGCAATTAAATTTACTAACCCATCCTCCCCCTCATGGAGGCGGTTTACTCCTAACATTCAAAGTAATAAATATTATATTCTTTATAAGAATGTGGGGTTATTTATCAATCTATCAATGGGTTTTCAAGAAGAATTATGTTTAACTTGGAGTGATCTAATTGTGTATATGGTACTTTCTTTATTCTTCATGCGTAGAATAAAACTAGTTGAACTTTTAAAGTCTTCGGCATAGCATAGTTCCGATGCTATATGCTCAGAGGGGTATAGATAGTACGAATATGCAATGGACGACTACAAAAGATCACAATAAAGGGCGACTTAAAGTGGATTTCATCAGTTCTTGGTCTTCGCCTTCTCTGGTTTATCTTTTCCGGCTAGTCTTCTTCTTCAATACATATATGTATAGACCCAGCATGAAATGAAATAAAAAATTCAGCTGATTTAATTTATCGAAAGCCCCGTCGAGAAGCGGCAGAGATCAGCTGTGAGGTCTCGGAGAGAGAAAATGAGAAAGAGACTGAAGAGAGGCGTACACTGGGCGAAATTACAAATTTCAATACCATCGTTTGAAACGCTTAGATTTTTAGCAAATCCAAATCATATCTATATTAAAGGCAGATCACTTTAGATTACAATTCTTTCACGAGAAACAAAGTTCATCTTGATCCTCAGCACTGTTTTTTACGCGGCTAGAACCCGTTGGGAATTATAGAGCACACAGCTAAAAAGAATAACGATCGCTTGTTAAATTTCGGTAGACCTTAAACCTTGAATATCTAAGATAAATATTTTTTGGAATATTGGACACTACAGGTTCATTCTAGAAAACAAAGTAAATAGTATAAAAAAAACCTTTTCAATATCGTTGCTAGCCCATAACCTCCTCCCCGATCGCCGCAGTGCAGTACGCATGCGATGACGAACCGAGTCCACTATGTATGCTATATGGTATACAGACCCCAGAGAGAGAGAAAGAGCATGGCATACGTTCCACTGTGGAAGTAGTGCTCACTGCGATCGGCAGAGGCAAAGTTTTATTAACGTACGAACCGCCAACGAGAGAGCAACAAGTTGGACGTGCGGGCCAGCATTTGTTTTTATTATTTCTTTACAATCGAGACTCGCGGCGTTCTTTTTTTTTCTCTATTTCTTATTTTTTTTTTTCGTTCCTACTGATGTTCTAAAATATTTCTGTGGATGACGAAGAGCCGCATTAAAATGCGTGTTTAGTGCGGCCCCCTGAGATCTCTGATCGCAAGAGGCCTTTAGTGAAAACGGTTTCTGGTTGAGAAAATCCATTGCCAAAACGAAAACGAAATTGTTATAAAGAAAAAAACATCAGCAAAGAAAAGTGAAAAATAAAAAAGCCAAGGAAATCGAGATGCCAGGATTTAAACACCAAAACACAATGAGTTCCAGAAGGATAGCACTGATACTTATCGTAATAATTTCGATATCGGGTCACGCTGCACTTGCCTATCCGGAGCGCTACGATCGATTGCCCTCTTGGGACTACCGGGGTCACTCGCAGATCGGTGGGGGGCAGGAACCCGCCCACCGCGAGAGTCGCGAGAACAGGGAGGACCTGTGCAGACACTGCCACTGCACCAATCTCAAGGCCATCTGCGACTTCAAGCTAAACAAAACGGTGAGTTCAGTTCGGTTTTGGATTCGGATTCGGTATCCACTCATAACCGCAGCCAGACAAAAGCGGTTTTTAATATTACTTAATTGCTCATCGAATGGATGTATTTTCATGGCAGTACGACGTTTTAACACTCTAGTTTGAATATCAGATTGTATTTTAAAAAAAGGGAATTTTAGAACACAGAAAAAAAAAGATTTCTTATTGTAATAAATTTTTTTTATATTTAAAGAAAGTCGAATTTCGATCCCAAAAATTCAGAAATATTAGCAATGAAAGCCTCGGCTGGAACTGTAAACATTTCTGCGCTTATCTTGTTTTCTGTTTTCCAAGACATTTGTTTTCTGCGCCTCAAAACACTTGCATTGAAAGTGAAATGAACACAAAAGATCCCACTGAAACCTGTAACATATTGTTACAGTGGGCACTCCTTAATGCGCTAACCTTGCTTTTCTAATTAGCGAAAAATTCGAAGGTTTGCGTATCTGTTTCTGTTTTTTGTGTGACATTTTATGGAATTAACATATCTGTTGGTATTCATGAAAAGTTTTAGTCAGTTGCAAGAAAATAATGGGTAAGCGATAATTGCGGTTATTAATAATAGCTCAAAATCGTTTTTTACCCAGCAGCAGCAACCAATTAGCTTACGAATTTGTTTTTACATTTTTAAGAATATTACAGATCTTTTAAATTATTTATATTTTTATATACCTTATCAGTTTATTTAACACGAAAAGCGATTCCCCATAAATCAAACCAATTTGCTAACCAGTTAATCAGTTAACAAAATTGAAGTCCTCAAAGTCTATTGACAATAAGTAGGCCCCATATTTTAACTTTTAGTATCAGTAATTATAACCCCTAATTGGCGTGATTGCATAGCAGTTATTAGTAGTTCCAAAAATCACTAAACGACGTCGATTATTGACTGTCGTATACTTTTCGCATGGATAGAGGCTTTTGGCAGCTAACTGCTAAAGTAAACTAAAATAAAACGCACCAAGACAGGCGGATAGAACAAAGAAAGGCGAAAAAGGGAGGAGGAGGGGGAGCTGATAAAGACGAGGAGGCAGACAAGACAGTAGCCGCGATAAGTAAACGCACACAAAATCAAGCATTTGTTGACTAAGTTGATGGATTTTGTAATGGAAAATGGAGAATATAAATAATATTTCAGCTCGTTGTGAAATTCACTGCAAGAACTTATGATTTATGAAATGCACTTTACTTAAAACATTTTAAATCGTATGTATTGTTTACATTTAGTTCTTAAATGATCTTGTAAACATAATAACCAAATTTTTACTGAGTTGGTTTTTTATGACTCAAGTTATCAGCGATTCTTATCAACATTTTTACTATTTACTAAGAATATATCTTAGTAAATTATGCCTTTAGAATCAAAATATAGAAATAATCACATAGGGATCTTAAAGATTTATAACATGTCTACCTAAAAAGGCAAATTTTCTAATTAAAATTATTAAATAATACTGCAAAATGTTAGTGATTACAATACCATATACAAATTATTTTTTGTACATAAAAATATTCTCTGGCTAAATGCAATTATTTGTACTATTTCGACCCTGGAATTTGGTGAAAAATTATAGTTTTCCTCCGTTTTCCGGTGCTGAGGGAAATTTGCTGTTTTGAAATGCGTTTCGAGCACTTTTTGATTAATAGCCCAGCTGAATCGAAATGTAAACAAAGGCCAGAGATGCGTGCAAAATAAAATGAATGAAAGAATTAAATGAAAGAAGGCGGCGCCGTCGCCGTCGCCACTCCCCCTTCCTCTGCCCGCCTCCTCTATAAGGTGGTACCGCTCCCCACCCCTCCCCCTTTTGGCCACCAACCCGTTCGACAGGTTATGCTAATGAGTCAGGTGTGCGTGTGTGTATTCATTGCTGCTCTCTGGGGCTCTCCGAAAAAAACAATTAAAAAGAGCGAGCAAGTGCAAGTGATTGCAGGCTGGGTTTAAAGCCGATTTCCCAGAATCGAATTCTTATAGAATACATAAATTTTGTATTTTATCAGGCACTAGCTATCAATTTTTATCACTTTGGGGTGTATGTATGTATCTAAAATATGATCTATAATAGGATCTATAAAATGATATATTACCAAATATTTCGTATATCTATTTTGGACATACATAAAAACATTAAATACTACAACTTCTGGGGATGAAATATAGCATATATATAAGAAAAAATAAAGTTTTACTTACAGATAACATAAATACAAAAAAAAAACAATTTCCCAACTACAGATCATATTGAAAACGCAAGTGATGGCTAATTATAATTGAATTTCCACCCAGATAAGAAACTGAACTGAATAATGCTTTAATTAATATGCACACATAGATTAGTCGTCGCAAGCACTTAGTGTTCTACTTGGCATTTTCAATTGAAAATAGCTTTAAAGAACTTTGATTAACAGAAATACCAAGGTCATTTTAATTATTTGAACTATATGTATGGAGATGAATACAATCTTACATACAAACTGAAACTGTTTGCCTTGTTTATTATCTCCATTTGCTTATAAAGCAAATCAGACTGCAGTTCCAAGAACTAAGAGCCATTTCTATTCATAAATTAGTAATCAATAATCGAAATGCTAAACGTATATATTCTCGAAAGATATGTATACATATCTAGAAGATATAAGACATTTGTTTTCTTCGCTTTGACCAAAAATATCTCTCCGAATTCTATATTAGATGCAGACACAAATATCTTCTATCGTTTTCGAAGTCATTGGATTCTGCACTTCCTCAGTAATTGAGTGAACTTAGATGCTTTTTCCAGCGGATGTGGGTGACACTTCTTCCCCCACCCCCTTTTCCAGCCCCTTTCCATTTCACCCCGCCACTTATCTTTCCTTTGTGAGCGATTGAGTGACTGTGTGTGCGCCGCATGTGTCGTCATCTTGTAGATACAGAATTTTATTTATTTGCTGCGTGGGCCTGCAGTTCAGTTTTCTATGTGCAAAGTGGACTTTCAGACTATCGAAAACCGAAAGAGCAACCGAAACGAAACGAAACGCACAGAAAGCGAAATGAAAACCGAAAACGGATGGGGAACAAAACCAAGTGGAAATGCATTCCACCCACTTTTCCTACCCAATCGGAATCTATAGATTGACAGTAATAAGCCAAAAAGATCTCTTATATAGTGTCGGCAACTGGAAAACACCGGGAAAAAACGAAAAAAGATATTTAAAATAAAAGGATTTAAAAAAAATATATGATCCTAAAAAGATTAAGATTTTAATGAATTTAAAGTAATTATAATAGAGTCAAAATCTGCCAAGTGGGCCACCCCTGTTCCGAAGGTCCGATTTTCATCGAACTTTTTTACTTTTCCGGTTCACAACGAAAATATAAGAACTTCATTTGAACGGTTTTGCGAAATTTTGAGTTTTACCGGAGTTATAGGGGTCAAAACATGGCATTTTTGACACTTTTTCGAAAAAGTTGCACTCAGTCATTAATTCATAACTTCGGAACGGTAAGAGATATCTTTATGATGTTTTCACTAATCGCTCAAGAATTATTATGGCTTTCCATAAAAAAATGTAAAAAAAATTAAAATTTATTTTTCTTAAAAATAAATCAACATTTTTTTTTAGTTTTTATTTTTTTCAGTGTTCTTCACCAGCTATAGAGTTTAAAACCATTTGAAAATGAAGTTTGATTCATTACGAAAAAGATCCAAAAAAAAAAAGAGTGGCCCGGCCAAAGGTTTTTCGCAATATCGATTTGAAGAAGGGCGCACAGCGGTTTTCCATACAAAACGACAAAAAGTGCCTCATTGACAGCTGCAGTCGGCTGACGCTACGCGCGCAACGGCATGTGTTGACCAGCCAATTTTCGCGAGCAAGCCGTTTTTGTATGGAAAACCGCTGTGCGCCCTTCTTCAAATCGATATTGCGAAAAACCTTTGGCCGGGCCACTCTTTTTTTTTTTTTGGATCTTTTTCGTAATGAATCAAACTTTATTTTCAAATGGTTTTAAACTCTATAGCTGGTGAAGAACACTGAAAAAAATAAAAACTAAAAAAAAATGTTGATTTAATTTTAAGAAAAATAAATTTTAATTTTTTTTTACATTTTTTTATGGAAAGCCATAATAATTCTTGAGCGATTAGTGAAAACATCATAAAGATATCTCTTACCGTTCCGAAGTTATGAATTAATGACTGAGTGCAACTTTTTCGAAAAAGTGTCAAAAATGCCATGTTTTGACCCCTATAACTCCGGCAAAACTCAAAATTTCGCAAAACCGTTCAAATGAAGTTCTTATATTTTTGTTGTGAACCGGAAAAGTAAAAAACTTCGATGAAAATCGGACCTTCGGAACAGGGGTGGCCCACTTGGCAGATTTTGACTCAATACTAAGTTGGTTTTTCATAAGCTTATTCTAAACTCAAATTTCAAATTTTTTAATTGTAAATATTTTTAACAGATTTTAATGTAAATTTTTATGACTATAATAATAATATGATAATCTATTTACAAACCCTTTTTTAAAAATAAATCGAAGTTCCAAAAACTTTTCATTCCAAAAAAATTTCGAAAATTTCTTACTCTGCAGGAAAAAAAGGAATAGGGGTGGGGGTTGGTTTCGTGGCGTTTCGAGTGTTTCTGTTTTAGTGGAATGCGCCTACTTAAATTCCCATTTCGAATGGCTACTTAAACTACTTGGGACCAAATGTTATGGCTGTGAGCTGCTAAAAATCCATCAATTGCCACAAATTGAATGCTCGTTCCACAAAGGCAACAATAAAACAACAACAAAGTGCGACTAAGAGGAAGAAAGACGAATGTGAGTGTGAATGTGAATGCAGTGAGGTGGGCCACAGAAGTGAGGAAAGAAAATCAGAAGACAGCGCCCCAGGAGGTGGCTGGAAAATCAAGATATATATATGTGTAGAGAGGTGGAGAGGCGCCGTCGGAAAATGTGCATTGCATTCGCTTTTATTTTGCCAATAATTCCGCTAATCGGTAAACAACTTTCGATTGTGTATATAACACACAGCAATGAAAACCCCGGTTTTCCACTTTGATATGCAAATGGAAATGGTAACAGAAACATTTACCCCGGCATATGCAATCGATGTGTGTACATAATATGGCTGCACATGACTCAAATCTGTGAACCATAAACCGGGAATCCAATAAACCACATAAACATAAACCATTTGGGATGGTTTACTTATGGAAAAGGCAGCCTATATATGATATCACATTTTTAGGATCATAACTAATTTTGGCTATAATAACGGAAATATGATTTTCAATTAATGGTATGATATGACCAACAAGTTTATAAATTTTTAAGACATATAGATAAATTAGTAAATCCCTCGCTTTTGCTATAAACAAAGTTAGTTTACTTGAAAAGCCGAAAGGAAATTGATTTTTCCATTTCCATTTACAAAATGAAAATACAGAGTGGCCCAAAGGAATAATATTTGGCTGTTAGTTTTGCGGTTAAATGTTGATCTTCGTCTACATAAATCGTTGGATTTTGTATACAGAAAGATATTTCAGTGCCAACAGATCGAATAAACATTTCCGCAGTACATTTTCATTGCAGAGTTTTACAAGTTTTCCGCACTTCAGAGGAGACTATAGATTCATATATCATTTGATTGCTGCAAACTTCTGTTTTTCCTTGCCTTGATAGATAGTAAACAGGGAAAGTGCTTTTCGATTAGAAGAAGTGCCATTTTCACTTTTCTTATCGCTCGACAACTGTTTTGTGGTCAAGACTCATGTAATCGCACTTTTAATTTTCTGTTTGCCACGCCCCTCAGGGGCGCAGTTACAACCAGAATGGCTTATCTGGTCAGAATTACGAATCGGAAAACAACATAAAGAAAAGAACCACATGAGGAATTCTCTACGGAAAGTCACGTAGTCATTTCCCAGCCGAACGTGTCGAGGCAGCATTACTATCTCGAAGATACCGATAATGCAGCGATTCCAGATGATCCATTCGCCACAGGGACTCTTGTGTGTGTGGGAAATAGATTGGGAATGTCCTTTTCCGATTTTCTGATTTCCCGATATTCCGCCCATGTGACCAGCATGCCGTTTGAATTTCGGTTCTTAGTTTTCCGTTCTCCCCGGCTCATAAAACATATAAAAGAGATATATGTATATTTACAGATATACAGATACCAAAAGAGAGCGAGAGGTGGATCATAATTTATTTTTAATTGGCTTTGTTTGGTTATTTATGTTCTGTTGTTGCTTTTGGCACTTCCACCCAGGCGACGGCAGCTATTTCCGCTTGTCTGCCACGCCCCCAGCCTCCAGCCTCCAGACTCCATACTCCATCCTCCATCCTCCATCCTCAATACTATATGATTCCGTTCCAAAAATATATATAATGCCTAAAGTTGTCGCCGACGAAAAATGCCCGGAAAATGTGAAAATCGTGAGCGGAATCGGAATCTTTTGGAGAAAAGCGCCCGAAGATCGGTTGGGATCAGTCAGTAAATGAGAGGTTCTATATATAGAGCCTAGATCTCAATATATAGTCTATAACTACACAGAGAGAAAAAATCTTACAGTATTCTTTAAAAATGTTCTATTAATACTAAAATATTATAATGATTTTAAATGAGGCAAAAATGAGTTTTAAACTTTTACCAAAAAAAGGCAAAAATCAGGTGATTAATTTTCTGGGAATTAGAATGATCTCAGGTATTTTTTTTTGGGTAAACATTACCCCAATTACTTAGAAAGGCTAAAAACACCATTTTCATATCAGTTTATTTTGCATTTTTATATGGAATTTATGACGCATTTTTGTTTAAGCCATATGTGTATGGTAAAATATATATAAATCTGCTGACGAGATGGAACTTCATAAACTTTTCAGACATTTTGGCCACAATTTTGTTTGTTTTCCTTGTCGACTGATGGTTCCCATAAACTTGAAACCGTCGGAAGAGATGGAGGATGGAGGAATGAGAGGAAAAACATAGTAAAAAAAAAAGAGGGAGGAAAGAGGGTGGAAAAACTGTCTGTCAGACAAACAAGCAAATTAAAACTCACACGTAATTGAGACTTCCTCTTTAAGAGGAGAAAAGAGCGAGAAACTGGAGCAATTGAAAGAAATTGCGCCCAAAGGCGTGTAACAAACAGACCGAGAAAAAATACGAGGGGGGTTCGCAGGAAGGAAAGGGGTCTAAGAAAGATATAAAAACAAAGAAGGCCACAAATCTCGGCAAGAAGAAGCCAGCAAAAGAGGGATAAAGCCACTGCAGCTGTGGGCTAAAGATCCAGATTCAGGTTCAGATCCAAAGACATTGAACCCACGAGGCACCAGCGACAACGAGGCCAGACGAAAGAGCAGGTGGCCAGACTTTTCCAGATCGAGTCGTGCATTATAATTACAATGCCCTCCCCTCCTCTCCTTTTTTTTATACCATCATACCATTATTATGGCAACTGCGAAGACGACAGAAATGACAAATTTGATTTACGCCAGCGGGAAAACCGAAAGGCCGAAGTGTTTGTACACTTTTTGGTAGAGTTTAAAAAATTATCAATCGATATTTTCGATATTTTGACCATTCGATAACATTTATAACAAATTAAAAATCGAGAAGTAGTAAACTGTCGATATTTTTTCGGCTTAACAAATCTATAAATGTATAAATAAATATCAAAAAAAATCAATAGAGCTATAGAAAAATCATCCAATTTTAAAAAAAAGAATGAAAACAATGTTTGCGAATTTCAATTCCCAGATAAGATAAGAAAGTCTAACTAATTCCATGAAGAACATCTGAATAACCTACCCATAACTTTATGACAGTCAGCTGCAAGTGGTAAAATAAAACAAAACAATAACAAAGTGCGGCAAAAAAAATTAAAATAAGGTGTCTATATCAAAGGCACGTAGGCACCCACGAACCCAAAAGGGTGATACTTGCGATTAACCATACAAAAACTCGAAACTAAAGAAGACTTACATTTGACACTTATGTATGTATTCGAATGTGTACTAAATGCCCTTGAAATTGCAAAACTTCATGGAATGCCGAAACGTGAACTTACAAGAACTACCAATGTTGAGTGCTTTAAGGTACTAATCAAATCAGATACTCAACTTTTTTCTAAATAATAGTTTTGTTTATTTATTTTTTCTTTTCTTTTAACTATTTTGGATTTGAGTTATTATTATTATTATTATTATTATTATAAGATACATAAATTCTGATTTTCTTTGTTTTATTTATGCAAGTATGCATTTTACCAGCAGTATAGGCAAAATTTAAAGTCTGAGCTTGTCTGTAAATTATCTGAAACACTGGCGATAAGAATATCGAAACTGGACAGTGTGAATCAATGGTGAGTCAGTCACAAATCAAACAAAATTGAAATACAACAGTCAGACTTAAAACGTCGTCCAAAAGCAAACAATCAGCTTGAAAGCGATCAACAAAAGGTCGAATCATGAATATTGTGGATAACTAAATATTATGGTATTGCAAGGAAATACATACAATACTATATTTATGATATGATATGACCTATACTAACAAATTGGATCCCAATATGGTTTTAAAGTTCAATCGTATTAGTGAAGATTTAGAATCTCAGTTTTGTTTGCTTGTAATTATCGCTCGACAAAATCACTTCCAGATGATCTATGATAATCAGAAATCTGCTGTATTATCTTCTTTCCCTAAAGAAAAATCTGTGAGACCCCGGGATATCTTTCTGCTTTCCATTCACTTGAGGGCCACCGCGGTAATCCGGATTCATTAACGCAATGAGGAAGATCTTGGGCACTTCAACGTGATCAACAACAAGATCATCAGCGTCATTAGTGGACATCTCGTCGTCATCCATTGCCCGCCACTCTGAGTTGCAACTATTTTCACTTAATTTAATGAGAAAATTGCACCCTCGGGTGATGGTTCGAGTTTGAGTTCGAGTTCCAGTTGGGGTTCTTCAATGGAGCAATGAACGTTGCGGTCAAGTTGCCGTTGTTGTCGTCGTCGTCGTCAGATGTTGCTGCTGTCGCTGTTGCTGTTGCTGTTGCTGCATCTCCTATTGTTGCTGTCGCAGACACTGCGTTTAAAAATAACACAAGAGTGAGGGATACAGACCGCAAGAAATGTAAGTCAAGCGTCACAGACCCCCGGCAACAGCAACTCCACGGCAGCAACATCAGCAAAAAAAAACATCAGAAATAAAAAGAAATTGCAACTGCTGCAAGTGTCTGGCAACTCCCAGTTTCCCTCTTGCGAACAAACAAAAAAATATGTGCTTAACAGCCTATGAATTTCTGAGTCATTTGTGCCAAAAGAAGTGCTAAATAACTTGATTTATGTATATTTCTTGAAAGCCAAAGTAAATTGCACGGAATGCTTACTTTGAATAACCATAATAATGGTTAAAAGAGAAATATACCTATGTCTATGATATTTTATTCCTTAAACTTGATGTGTTTATTATCCCAAATCTTTCTACAAGGTTCTTTAAGAAATTTAAAAAATCAGTGCGTCTACACCGAAAACAAATTCGATTTGAGATAGGGGTAAATTCTACTTTTTCTCATATCATTCTAAAATATATGATTCAAACATATCAATAAGACATTTTATCATATCATTTATTTCATAAAAACTAAAAATATTAAATATATAATCTTAATCCATGTCAAAATGATATGATAATTAACTTTATCTTTGAAAAATCATATTTTTTTTCTGTGTAGTTACTAATTATATATCAAGACCATTTAAAATCAAGATCACCTGATTTTTTCCTGGTGTTATTTCTATGACTTACATTTAAATACATATTAATATAACCTATATCTTTATATCTAATCAATCGTTCTCTTTTTTTATGTGCTCCACAGCTTTCAAATGAATTCAATGATAAGTACATGGTGCCGCTGAACATTAAGTACATTGAGGTGCGACTGATGGCCGGCACCCAGTTCGTTTTATCCGAGAACTTCTTCCGGGACAACCAGGTGAACTACATCGGATTGATCGGAGTGCGGAGGGATGACCAGGTGGAGATAACCAGCAATGCGTTCAGCCACAACAAAGGTGGCTATCCCAGCATTGAAATTGTGAATATTTCGCGGGTTTTTCTCCGCGATAAATTTCTGACAGGTAAGAGATTTAAGTGGTAGATTTAACCTGAAAGTAATTATACCATGGCAAATCTAGGTGCGGAATACAAGCTGCTGGTGGAGAATGTTGACCAGCTGACCGTCTTCCCGAATGCCCTTCAGATGACCAATTTGGACTGCGCATTCCGGAATATCGGGCAGCTGGATCTGATGAAGAACGCCTTTAATCCGGGGAATCCCACATATGGAATAAATGTGAGTTAGACATTATATTATTATCCAATTTCAATCATTAACTAATCCATTTCACAGCTCCGCGTAGAGGACTCGCACATCAACCAGCTGGGCATCTTTGGCGTGTCCATGGGCAAGGTCAGTCTGCTGCACTCCACAATTCACACGATCACGAGCAACGCCTTCGATGTGACCAGCATCAAGGAGCTGAACATCGAGGGCTGTCGCATCGAGACCATCGAGTCGCAGGCGCTGACCAACAAGCTGCACAGCGACAAGGTGGCCATTCTGGACACGGTGATCGGCACGATTGAGGGTCAGGCGATCAGCCAGAGCGGCATCACCACCATGATAATGTCCAATAACACGTGAGTGTCATGATAATACGATAGATAACACTATCGAAACACTATTTAAAGTTAGTGAATAATCAATGGTTTGGGACCATTATCGGTAGTTAATTAAATTAAATAATAAAAGGGATTTTTTTATAAATTTTACAGATCACGAGAGTTTTTTAATCGTTAGGGCTAAACACTAAATTCCATTTCACTTTAATTATATTAAAGTGTTAAAATTTCCTGTTTCTATAAGTATTAATATTCAATTTTAAATTCAAATTAAATTTTCTTATGCGTTTTTCCTGGTTTTAGTAATTTTTGATACTATCGATACTATCGATAAAACCGATAAAAGTCAAAACTATCAATTTTTCACAACCCTACCTCATTTCCACCTACTAAACCCACAAATCCCCTTAAAACCCCTACAGAATCACAAGGATCCGTTCGAATGCCATCCAAATAGCCGCCGTTAGCCTGTTCATCCGGAACAACTTGATGGCCCACGTGGAGGCCAATTGGCTGAGTGTCAGCCAGGCGGATCATGTGGAGATCGAGAACAATCGCTTCGACGACTACGGACGTTGTGAGCTGAACATTGGCTCCACCAACTGCAGTTTCCGCAACAACATCCTCAAGAATCCGCAGCCGGGAAGCCTGAATTTCACCTGTCGCATCCACCAGGTGCACGTGGGCAACGAGTGCTCCTGCAACTCCAAGGTCTGGCTCTCGGAGCTCACCGATCACGATCTGGAAACGGAGGTACTGTGCCAGGTGACGGAGCACCAGGTGGGCTGCATCAGTGCCAATCGAACGGATGTGCGGCGCTTTGTGAACGAGGCGTGCGGCGGCAACGTGACGAAGTACTGCACCGCCGGCCAATGGGTGACGAAGGTGGCCAGTGAGTCGATCAGGTCGGACATCAAGTGGATAGCGGGCCTGATTGTGTCCGCCTTCCTGGTCATTTCGGCCGTTGTCCTGCTGGTCACGAGGTGCTTTCGAAGCGGCGGCGGAGCAGGAGGAGGCGGAGGAGCAGAAGGCAATGCCAACGAGAGGTGCTTTATCGAGGAGGAAATCCGGGAGCCGCTGCGTCAGAATGCCATGGACTTTGAGGAGGGCAATCCCACCAGGAAGGGCATCCTGAAGCTCATCAACGGGCGGCTGAGCAAGAAGGAGTGCTACAAGCGCACCTTCTTCGTCCTCGACAATATGCCCAAGAACTCGCCGCTCATCGAGCGGCTGCTGCTGAAGCACATCTCGCAGAGCCACCTGGAGGTGAGTCCCTCGATGGACGGGGCCTATGCCACCACCACCTCCTCGGCTCCACTGCCGCCGCCCAGCGCACCCAGTCCGAATCCCAGCGAGAGCAGCGGCGGCGGCGGCGGCTTCGAGGACGAGCCCATCTACCAGGAGCCCGACCAGCAGCGCCTCCTCATCTGCGGCGACTACTCGTCGCCCGCGTCGCTGCATCCCGTCGAGGACACCTACTCGGAGCCGTTCAATGCGACGAGTAAGTACGGCATTCCCTACGGCCGTCGCGATGGATCGATGGCTCCCAGCCCGATCCGACCGCTACTTCCGCATCCCAATCGAATGTCCTAGTTAGTTACTACCCCCCTTTGTTTATGGGCTAACCGATAGGGCGGTGCAATTGTATCTAACTTGTACATACATGTATATATTTAAGGCTAGAAGTGCTATTTGAGGGTTACTTATTATTAAAATTGGCCATGTTCTCAGCAAAAAAAAAGCAATTTGTTGGATAAAAATCGGTTCGCTCGTTCAAAAGTTGTAGCTTCTCGAAGATTTTTGCATGTAGGGTTGCCACCATTGAGCAACCCCACAGGCGACAACCCTCAAACATCAGTTTTCGTTTGGTTTAACGTACACTATTGGCTAAAAATCGACGAAAAATATGTTATCAAAATTAATTTTAGGGTGGACGTTTTTCCAGAAAATGCCTTATTTATAATAACACCTGATCCCAATTGTATAACCACGTGTGTAGATTGGTAATTGTATTTATTAAATCACTAGAATCCCAGAATATGACCGAAGGTACGAAGGAGGATTGTATCAGGATTACTGACATGGAAATCTCTGAAGAAATTTTATCTATACTCTTAATATGCATATGTATTCAATTTCTGCGAGAGATTCTCACGGAATGTGGAATATTTGCAACACTCACATTTTATCGAAATCTTTACCAAATGAATAAAAACGAACAAGAAGATTCGCTGTTTATGTTTGCAAATATAAACACGGCGACAGGACCAACTCTATGTATTTAAAAAAAAAACCTTTAAAAAAACACAAAAAACAAGGCAATCAAGATAAAAAAAATATTCACAACCTTAAGCACTATCTAAAAATATGTATTTACACACACAATAATTAAATGTTTTTGCAAGTGTTTTTCCACTTTATTTACCCACATGCACGTAGATATATAGCACCCAAAAATTATTGTAAACCCCCTCCCCACAAAAAAAAAAACACACACACACACTGTATCGCTGGCAGGATTCGGTTCACAAACACAATTGGCAAACAGGCAATTCACAAATGCGGAACGCATTAATCCACAAAGGTACTAAAAACAAAACGTAGTTAAAAATATTTCTAAAAACCTGGTGATGGATTCTATAAAATATCTGGTGTATGTACGCTGTATCTTTGTAGTTTGTAAATGTAACTAGATCTATTTAAGGTTTATTTCTGTGCTGGGTGCTTGTCAAAAATTTTGTCTGCGCTTCAGTTTATGTTTCCTAGTAACTAACTTGAATTCTAAAATTTAATCACTGTGTTGAAAAAATTCTAAATGACTTCTAAATAATTTACAGATGCGAACGACATGCCGCCGGCCTATCAATATGCCACGCCCATGCGCATCCTCACGCCCCCAAAAACCTCAGCGACGACGGCCAGTTATGCGACGCCCGTTTGGCGATCGACGCCGAGTGCCACGCCCACCAGCCGACCGCCCTCGGGGGCACTCCCATCGCCTTCACAAGGACACAATACCGCCACAGCTCCGAGGGCTGTCAAGGATCTGAGGCAGGTCCTCCAGAACTCGCCACAATTCCATCCCGATCAGCTGACCTCAGCACGCAACCAAAGACAAATCCTGCAGATCCTGCCCGTCCAACCGCCGCCGGCCTACAGTCAGAGTCAGAGGTCACAGGGTCACCGCGGAGGTCACCCAGGTCACCCAGGTCACCCGGGTCACCGGGAGCGAAGGCGCAGCTTTGAGTGCCTCGACGGAGCCGCCAGTTTGGCGGCCATGGAGCACATGGACTCCGGATCGGATCACTCCGGCGGCAGCGATGTGACCGTCCAAATTGCCGATGTGATCGACTATGCGGATGCCTAAAAGTATGCATATATATATATCTGCCACATCTGTCACAACACCTGCCACCCACCACCCAAAAAAAAAAAAACAAAAAACACCTGCCAGCAGCAGAGCCCAAAACAAAAAACGAAAACACTTTGTGATATTCATACAGTTTCTCTGGATATGCGAAGAGCTGGGGACAGAGCTACGTATATGTAGATATAGCTAGAGAGAACCGATCGAGAGGAATCGTATCGTAAGCTAGATTAAGTGAACATAAACTTACATTTAAATAAACGAGTCCCAGCAGACCGCTCGACTGACTCATTGTCTGCAGAAACCATTTATTTCGGGGGGTTTTAAAGGGGATATTGGAATAATATTTATAAAAAAGGAATATTTCACGTAGTTTCAAGCTCGAAGTTCATAAAAATAGATTGTTTTAAATTAAATTATTAAATTTGTTTTATATTTTATATCTTAAATTCCTATAAACAAGAATTTGTTACTCCTTATTAAATTGATCTTGTTCTAGTATTTTACTTTTTAATTTATTAAAACTAGGGGATTGTAAAAACGGAAATCTTAGTTTTCAAAAATGTATTGCATACTTTCAAGCAAAGCAAATTATTATTTAAAAATTCCCGGAACACTTGAGAGTGACTAAAGCTCAAGTAGTAATATAAACAAACCATAGATCCCATTTCTCCGATTCTTATCGACAGGGTGGCATATCAAATGGCCGATTTCTCGGTTACTTCAACAAATCGCTGGCGTATGAGACATAAATATTAATCGCTATTGGCTTACACAGCTGTTTTTTTCTGCCTTATGTCTGCCCATAAACAAAAGTGTAAAAAATAAAATTGAAAAGTGAATCGCTGAGACAAAGCCAAAGCAAAATGCCAGGCGGGTGTGTGCTAAGGCTGTGCTGAAATTGCATTTTGAAATGTTGTATAACTTGATTTGCAAGCGCGACCGGCGGGCTGTTTTTGTTGCAAATTAAATGTTGTTGCTGCAGCGGCTGGGCTGCCATGCAAATGCGTTCTAAAAGCCTTTTCGAGTTATTAATGTGCATATATGGTCAGTAAGTCAGGCGGGCGCTCAGTCAGTTTGATCAGCCTGATCAGTTGGCTCACATCTCTCTGCAGGGGCCAAAACAAACTGGGGCACTGCGAGAAAATTCCTATCTAATTTTCCTATTTCTGTATAATATTTTTTATAAGAAACCAATTTAAATTTTCCGAATTTATTGGATTAGTATGCATTTTTAAAAGTATATAACTCAAATCACTGATAAAGGTGTCTAAAAGTATGCAACAATATATGTATTTTAGGTTCAGAGTTCTAATATCTCCGTTGCTAATCTTTAGACACCTTTATAACTATAATATCTTGCAGTGCACGTGAAACGAAATGCGTTTCTAAAAGGCAGCAGAAATAAATTAAATAGAATCGGTTTATTTATGACCCAAGTACTTCCAGCCCCTCAGTTTTTACAAGGTAAATGGCGTGCTTTTAAATATATAATCACTCAAACTGCCATAAATATGAAATGCTCAATTTGCCCGTCTATTATTTTAAGCGATAAGAATGAGTTCAGCTCTACGAAGGTTCCGGAAACTACAATGGGATTTACTATTGATTTCAAGAGAGATTAAATTCAAAGTTCCTTGAAAATATTGGGTGGTCTGCAGCTCAACTGTACTCGGGATCTGGAGAGGTTCCCAGGGGCTCTTGTAAGACCCCATGATCTGAAGAGCCTGTTCATAAGTCTTTACATATTTACATAGTTTGGCTCTTAGAAAGCCCACCGCTAAGTGCTCCATGTTTGCGTTTGCCCCGAAGTAAATTTGATTTGATTTGTGTTGATCAACTGTCCACCTCCTCCTCCTTTCTCTCCCTTTTCTCCTCTCCTTCCTCGCAGCTCCTCTTTAGCCCCATCTTTCTACTCAGTTTTTGCGGGGGCTTTCTTAAAGCGGCAAGTGTCAAGCGATGCGTGGCATCGTTCAATTAAGCGCCGCGCAAGAAATTCAGATACAGATTTAAATTAAAAAATCCATGTTCAACTTCAACTTGACATACACCAAGCGAAACTAAAGGGCAAGTGCACAGAAAGAAATTGCGAATACTTTTAAAAACACATTCTAAATATAAGTAATTTAGAGTTGTGTTAAAGATTATAGAAAACTTCTAAGAATTTAATATGAAACTATTAAATTATTTTATTCTTTTTATTTTTCTTGATAATCTAAATAAAAATATAATGAATATAATTTTTAAATTTTTTTTTTCTAAATTTGTTAATACCTTATTCCAAAACTAATTTCAAAACAGTATTATCAAAAAGGTGAATATTCAAACTTGATCTCAAAATTATTTTAAAATTTGACAATGCCATTTTTGCGATAATTTTTCCATGTGCAGGTAATAAACGCAAAAATTCTTCACCTTCTTTGTAATTTTTTTTAGTTTCGGTTTTTGAGCTTGCGATCGTTTGAGAGACGCTGCCGCTAAATCGCCGCAGCCAAAGTGGCGCTCGTTCAACTCAAAACCGCTCAAGAAGAGAGCAAAAAGAGAGCGGCAGAAAAATCAACTTCAAAAACTCAAACGAGAGATTACACGACGGTGATGTCAGTGCGAGAACTGGCGGGAAATAAGCTAGAACAAAAAGGCTAGAAATGCTAGGCTCATAGGTTTTGCAAACCTACTTTTATTTGCGTATACGTAATATTGCGCATACGACTAGTTGTACAATAAATTCTAAACTTAAGTATACAGGCATACATATATTGTTATTTTGTTATTGGATGACAGTTAAATTTTCTATTTATTATTATTTTTATTTTGGTCCAAGGCATTTTTGCATTTTTGAAGTTATATTTTAAATTTAAAAATATTTTAAATAATTTTAAAAATCTACAAAAATTTACAACATTGCTACTATGATTATAAAGCGTGCAGTATAAAAAATAAATGTTTTTTCAGTGAGCAGAATTTTTTTAAAAATAATTTTCATAAAATGTCATAAAGTAAAAGCCAATCGATCATCACTGATTCGTGGACAGAGATTGGTTATTCGCGGCGTTCGGCGGTTTGGCGCTCAGTTTGTCATTTGCACGCGCTTACGCCGGTTGGGCGACCAACGAAAACGAGGCTACAGAACTAGAACCGCCTGACCGCTCGCGTGTTTTCAATATTTACTGCTAATATAAATAAATGCGAATATTTACTTGGGCAATTTGCGGCTAAGGTTTGCTTTTTTTTAGAGTGTGCCTATATTTTCCATATGTGTCGAAAATCTGCGAGTGTGTGTGCGTTTCTGGAACCGCCATAAAGTTCAAAGTAATAAAAAAAACACTAATAGGGAGAGAAGGAAAAATTGTTTGCGTTTGCCTTGCAAAAATGCTGTGAAAAGCTAAAAAAGAAAAAAGAAATCAAACAAACAGAGAAGAAGAATTCTAATTCATTGCTCTCTCCTGCAGTTCTCTTCTGCCTAATCTTCATGGTGATCATGATCACCAGCCCACGCATCCAAAACAAAACAAATGGAAGACAAACAAATCAAAGCCCCAAACAAGAATTCAAAATCTCTCCGTTCTTCGATATCTTGTTTTTGCTTTTTTGCAATTCCCCCGGGGAATATAAATTAGCAGTGTATATTTGTGAGCACAAACGACGACGCCCCCTTGCTAAATAAAATCAAATATATATAAAACAAATTGGCAGACACCTTGCCATATATCCATATCCATTATGTCCGCTGCCCGTCATCATCGTATTTCGATATTTCAAGGTTAAATGACGACGGAGAAAAGCAAACGTGAAATAAAAATCTGTTTTTAGTTTGCTTTTGGCATTAAAACGTTTTCGGAACGGCAAAAAGTCCAACCCCAAAAGTCAATGTTACAAAGAGTTATTTGTTTCCGCCGTACAGTAAAGCCTATACAAATGCAATCTGGAAAACTGATCTAAAAATTCTAAGCTAGAATAATTGAAAAGCAAAAATTTTTGAACCTTTAATTGATAAAACAACATTTTTAAATTTTGGAAAATATTCTCTTTTTTAGTTCCAAGACTTAAAAAATAAGGCCAAGATCAATGTTGTGAAAGGTTGATCGAAATTTGTGCCAAGTGTATGGTAACCAAAACAACTGCACGAATTTCAAGTAGTAGAAAGCAAAGAGCAGCGGCACAACAGGCTAAAAACATTAACCCCGCCAAGTGCCCTAAGCATTCTACTACTACATTTTCGCTTTTAAAGTGGTTGGACCTTTGGCTAAACGAGCTTTTGCGGTAGAATTGCTTTTTTGAACAACTTCGGAAGAAAGTCGTTGACAATTTTGCAACAGATAAGATTTGCTAAATCGCTGGAAAGCTTGTAGTTAATTTTTAATGGGCCATCTTCAACGAGAAAATATTCCGTCGAAAAGGTCATATTTTTGTCAAAAACCAAAATTCCGAATTTCCAAAAAAAAAACAAAACAGTTTTTTCACTAAAACAAAACTGTTTTTTCGCTAAAACAATGGAAGTATTGATCCAAATATGGATTGTCATACCTTTCTGAACTCGTTGTTAAATTTCCAATCGATTGCCATTTAAACCTGGACATTTAATTTTTTGGCCATTTTTCGCAAAAAATCATGATGTAACCCCTTATAAATAAATTGAAAAATTGACAAAAATCTTATTTTTTCAAAATCACGCGGAAAGTGTCATGGATTTTTGTATTATTTTGTTATCTGTATAAAACAGTATGTATTTTTTCTGTAAGACCATTTTTGGCCAAGTTATAGCAAAAAAACCGAAAGAAAAAATTCATATTTTTGTCAGAATTTTGGTTTCTTCGAACTTCAAAAAAAAGGAACAAAATTGCCAAAATTTTCACCATGACTGATTTGCAACTGTTCCTCAGGCAAAAATACTCCAGTTAGTCATTAAATTTCCCATAAATTCCACACTGCCGTGTAAACTGCATGAAGTAATTCGTGTACAAACCCTTGGTAACCTCATACACACATGTGTCATCCTGCGAGAATTGAGTCAAACGGTGTGGCAATCACTCCCCCTTCTGACTCATTCGCCCTCTTATCGCAATCTTATCGATCAAGCGGCGATAAGATAGCGACTTTAACCCGTTTCAAATCGGGCAATCGGCAGAGTGCAACGGTATTCAAACCACTAACTGGTGGGCTATTGCAAGGCAGCCTTTCAATTTGCTTAGTTGTGCTTTGCTTTGATTTAATTCAAGTCAATGGCTACAAGTCCATAAAATGTGCTAATTATTATGTGCACACATGTATAATTGTGGCCGAAATAACAGCAGTGAGGTGAACAAAAATCAACAATGCATTTTAAAAGCCATGATTGCAAAATAATTGCTGAAGTCTGAAGATATTCTTGATCCCTAGCACACACACTGTAAAAAACTTGTGTTATTTACATGTTATATGTCAAAGTGCTGAGTTCAAAAATAATTATTATAATTATAATTCAATTGTGTTATTAACACGTTATTTACACGACGTGTATTTTACACAATGAGTTTTTAACACAAGAAGTTTTTGACATTAAAATGTCTGAAATATTACCAAACTGGAAAATTCACGGTTTTCTAGAGTAAAATAATTCATATATGCTTGAGATAGTTAAATGTAAAAAATAAGATATCATGGCCCATGTAATTTTATTTTTTGTCAAAAGCACAGAAAGAGAAATTTCGTATTTTGAGAAATATAATATCTTGACTTTAAATAGTTTTAAAAGTATGGAAGTTATTGGTTATTAAATGAAAATGTTTTATTTCGACCACCACTGTGCAAGTATTTATATCATAATTGCCTCCTAATTGTGCAACGCGTAATTGGAGTAATTCAGGGGCGTAGCTCGAGGGGGTTCATAAGAGGTCTGTGCCTGCGGTTCTGATTCTACGGATTGAAATGTGCGTGTGAGCGACTTTTTACTTGACAGGAAATGCAATTGCGCTTTAATTCAATTTCCTAAGCGCAAGTCCACTCAATGGACGTCACTTGATTTAATGGCAATTACCCCAAAGGGTTGTCTGCGTGACATCCGGAATTCTAAGGCCCCGGCCAATGGGGTATAAAGAACCTTATCAACTCTATTACAAGGACCAATGATGGGATAGGGGAATAGAATTATGATTAGATAGTGAACTAGAAGTTGCATTTTCATAGCCACTATAAAACTTGGTGCAGTAAAAATTAAATATGACCCGTTTTTGTGATCAAACGTTAATACACGTGCATCTTCATGAAAGACTGGGCATAAACGTATGAGATGGTCAACTTGGAGTCTCTGGAATGCCCATTCGTGCTGGCTATACGAAATTCCTCGACTCGTGCGCAAATATTTTAACAGCCGCCACTTGAGATGGAGACCCGACTCGGGCGCTGACTAAATTTCCTCTCGCGCAAATTGAGTTCTATAAACAAATGGAAATGGAAATGAAATGAAATGGCCATAAACAAATAACAAAGCATAATTGCTCATGTTCGGGCTACCAGAAGACTCAATACCCAATACTCAATACCCAGACGAAGTCTCCGTTTCCAAGGGCCAGAGAGATTTCCATTTCCACTGGCAGTGTTTGCTATTCGACCTCAGAATTCAATTAACAGACGGCTGAAGCGGTGATTGGAGGAGGGCAGGAGAAAACTGCCGCCTAGGCGATCACAATTGGAGAGGGTGTTGTGATTCAATTAGACCCTCGTCCACATCCCCGGTCGCTGGATAGTTGGGAAATAGCGTTAGCTGATTATGATCGACACTCTCAACTGCCCAAAGTAGTCTCTCGAAATTTCACCTCGAGATCGGTAATCGATCACTCAGTTTTGGAGACAGCTTCAATTTTTGACTCGGTTTTGCAAGGTTTTTTTTTACAGAACTTGGATTTTACTTCTAAAACTATGAAGTATGATAATTGATAGAACTGTTGTACCAATTTCATTTTTCAAATATTTGCAAATATAACAGGAATTTTAAAAAAATTTAAATATAAAATCAATCACTTGGTGTTAATTAAAAAGTTCCTTTTTGTTTGCTGTTCCGTTTGCAACACTGTTTCTAACAAATCCCCTGAATTTTCTACAAGGAATACACACTTACATGGTATAAAAAATAAATCGGAATTATTGTAATAGCCTATCCTGGTCCTTGGATCATCGTAAGGCTGAATTTCGTTCCCTTTAGGGAACCACAGAGTAGACCGTTCGAAAATTAACTGACATGGAATTGCCGCCAAACTATAGTCTATTCTTATCTTTTAGATCAAATTTAGCTCAAGGCGGTTTATTTTGTCTAGCTAGCTAGCTAAAAAAGTTATTTGCTAAACGCAAGTTATATTTTAAAATAAGTAAATAATTAATTAATTAAATGTATGTGTGTAATTAGTCTTATCAAATAAAAGTTATTTTAATAATTAATCTGTGTAGTTAGTTGTCCTGACCAATATTTATTTTTAATGTTATATATGAAATCTTAAATGCTAATATATCTGGTATTATTCAGTTACCAATCCTGGAGATTATATAATTTTTTTCTGACTGGAATTGGTTCAAAAATAAGAAATAAATATTAAATATTTTAAAAGTTTATAGTAAGCTCGAGAGAAACTTCGAGCTAAAAATGTTAGGGGCCAACTATCGGTATTATCTGCTATAAAGGGGGGAGAGTGGAGCCGAAAAACACACACACACACACGCAAAGTCCACAGAAATTCGAAACACAAGTGTAACTCATATGTATGTGTTTGTGTACCTATTCCATAGATAAGAAACACCTTCAAAGATAAGGCTGAAACGAATCGGACTTTATCAGCATTTCCACGGAGCGCTTACGGCGGAGAGCAGTGCAAAACGGAGCGGATGGTAAACACGACTAGAAAATGAACAAAGAGTGGGCCGGAGAATAGAGCGGGCGAAAAGAGAGCGGAAAGCACCAGTTAATATGAGTGAATAATTAGCCATAGGCGGATCAGTCGAGAAATCATGCGGAATATCAGAAATCTCAAGGATCCCACGACATGGACACGGTTCCTCCTGCCCCTCGTCCTCCTCGTCCTCTTTTTCCATTCGGTTCGAGGGGATCCGGCGAAGGTGAACTGCGGGGAATACGGCACCACCATCACCTGCGACTGCAACAACTCCGACCAGGTGAGTCAGCCCATTAGCGAAAATAAACAATGTTTTTCTAATTAGAAAATGAAAAATGATATCATTACCATTTTGCATTGATATGTATCTGAAGTTCTTCACTTTTCTGATTTTAAATAGCAAAATAACCATCAAAAATATACGAAATATCAAAAGGATATGAAAAATATCTATGAGTAATCAAGAGTATATTAATAATATACCTTATGATATATAATTCAGGCTAAACTCGGGAGATTTTAAACGTAGTTCTTAAAAACTTGTATATTAAATTGTCTACTTTTCTACATTAAAATGTTAAAATGATATAAAATTATAAAAATATCAAGGATCTCCCTGTCAAATTCTTCATCATATCTATGAGTAATATTTTAAACGTATGTGAATATTTTATTAATATAAAATATATATTTCCAGGCTAAATTCAGGGCATTTTGTAAACGTAGTTCTAAGAACTTTCATCCTAAATTCTTTAGTTTTCTACCTTTAAAAGTAGAAATACGCAAGAATATCAAAATGATATGACAAATTCTTGGCGAACTATTGACATTAGGTTTATATCATACCTATGATGCACCGTTTCTTTATCAGCAGGCTTAATTGCTTAATTAGTAAGCGGAAAACCTAACATTTGGTTTTTTCTAGGAACTTCTAAGAACTTCTTTCTTTTATTTTCTACTTTTCATTACAAGTTATAGTAAATATTTAATATTTTTCAGCCCATGACTTTGCCCACTCTGCATGGAGGCGTCGACATGGTGGAGATCCGCAATTGTCGCGACCTTGTGGTGGAGGCCAATCGGCTGGCGGACACGATGGGCCTGCAGAAGGTGACCTTCCGCCAGGTGGGTCAGCTGGTGCTCCGTGAATACGCGTTGAGTGTGCCGCGATATGCCAGCAACAAGGCTCTAATTGTGGAGTTCGAGCAGACGAACCTCAGGCTGATCGAATCGCATGCCATCAATGGCAACATTGCGGAAATCTCCTTCGTGGGCGGACGAATTGAGCTGATGAAGCCGTTCGGGTTCACCACCACCAAGGATAGTGCCATACTGCTCAAGTTCGACGGGGTCACCATCCAGCGCATCGAGAGTCAGGTGGGGATTTCTCCATGTTCTATGATCTATGGTATATAATATATCTTGATTTTCTTTTTTAGGCCTTTAAGAAGTTCGCCGTGGAGCAGATGATCATTGCCAACTGTGAGTTCCTGGGCGATCTGCCCACACGAGCCTTCTACGAGTTGGAGGTCACCAACGAGCTGAGTCTGCGGGGCAATCGCTTCCAGGAGGTCCACTCCCATGCCTTCTCCTTCAAGTGTAGGTCTTGAGAAACCAGATTTCCTTAGTAAATATTAATAAGATATCTTCCTTAGTTGTCTCCAAGCTCAGCCTGAGCGACAATCACTTCGTTTCCGTGGACGGCGAGTGGCTGGAGGCCCAGATCCGCGATGCGGTGACCATTCGGGGCAACGATTTCGGGGCCACCAGTGAGATCGCCTTCCGCAGCCTCACCGTTCATCGTTCCTATCAGCTGAGCGAGCATCTGGAGCTGCGTTTCCACAACAACAGCCTGCGCAGCTCTCGTCCTGGAGCGGATCCACCCCGGGCAGATGGAGGAGCAGGAGCAACTGCACCGCAACCCCTACGTTTCGATGGCAGCTTCGCCCTGAGCATTCGGGATCTCCGGTATGACAACTCCTGGAGCTGTGAGCAGCTGGACAGGAATGTGGAGCCACCGCTGCCACGCTCGGACTTCTTTCGGCTCCACAGCGATCAGCTGATGTTCCATCCTCCACTTTCGGGGGGAGAACAACGTAGTGGAGTCCAACCCTTTGTGCCGCTGCGATTGCTGATCACCGATCAGTGTCGCGAACGCAGCTACATGGCCTACATAATCTCGGGTAGCGTGCTCCTCGGTCTCCTGCTGCTCCTGCTGATCCTCCTGCTCTGGTGGCGAGTGGTCCAGAAGCGGAGGCGCCGCAAACTGGACGTTGTGCAGCCGGAGCCAAGGACCTACAAGGAAACCCAGATCGTATACCAAATCGAGAACGCTGGCCTGCTAAAGACTGATTTGTAGACGCCCAGGAAAGACATAGAGCTGAACGAAGCTAGAGGAGGATTAGGGGTGACCATTACCACCATTACCATTACGGAACCACCAATGCGTGACCTTTCGCTGTACCAAAACCATAGCCTACAGTTAGTCCTAGTTGAATAGCCTAATATTAATTTCTTATATGCATAACTCGTAATGTTCGTCAGTTGTAAATAGTAAAGATAGGCTGGGATCTTGCCCAGAAATATCCATTGAATACGTACGTATATAAAGAATAAATATATCTAAAGTCGAAATCCTTAACTTTATAATGGGTTACTAGGAAATTATTATATTATTTTAGGAATTCCCTTTTCTATTAATAGGATTCTTGAATATTTTATATTGATAACGGATTATTTAAAAACTCAACTTATTTATAGGAATCCACTCTATTAATAGGATTCTCAAATATTACACTTTTGATAATTTATTTCATCAAAAGTACAGGATTATATTATTGTAATATTATAAAAAATGTTTTGAAAAACTCACCCAATGGGTAGATACGATTCCAGGGCCTGATGCACGGTCAACTGGGGTTCGGATAGGGCGAATCCCTTGGAGAGCAGGGTGTGGTGGGCGTTGATGGTCTCCTCAATGCCGCTCATGTCCTCCACGACCTTGTCATCTAATGTAGAAAATAAAATAGATAAATAGGAATCTTAGAGAACAATCTTCTAGTACTCTCACCTGGCAGATTGAGCTCCTTCTTCATCAGATTGGCACTGCACATGCCGCCCAGGTAGGCCAACTCCTGTTCCAAGCGTATCAGACACGAGTTGCTGGCATTGATCTGAGCGAGAGAGGGAACGACATGGATTAGAAAGAGACGGCAAGGGACTCCAGCCAAGACTCACCGAAGTGGGATTGTCATAGCCCACCACCAGGCACTTGAAGCCATAGCGATTGTTGTGCGGATCCTGGGCATAAAGTGAGGCCGTTTCCAGCGAGAACTCCACACAGTTGCCGGGCAGGATGAGGACGTTGTGCAGCCAGGTGGAGGCGCTAAAACAAAGGTATAAATAGTTAGTTAGGTAACAGATTAATTACTAAATCAGTGACTTTTTTCTGCTCTACAGCATACGTGAGCGTCGCAACGCTGGCAGCGCAGCGGCAGAGAAATTGCCTAAATCGTTCCACCTACGTGTTAAACTTCTTGACCACAATCCACTCCCTGTCGTTGGGATCCTGGCTGCGCAGGGGCGTGGCACTGGGCGCCGCAGCGGATCCGGGGGCATTTCCGCCGCCCGGACTGCGGCAGCAACTGGCCATGGTCAGTTGGACGCTGGCGGAGCGCTGGTGCGAAATGGGAGCTGCTCCGCTGCTGGCCAATCCCTCGGTGCGTCGCGCACCCGCCACATTGTTGTCCGCCTGCTCCAGGTAGTCATCCACATGGGGCACTGGAGGCGCCTGCGAAGCTGGACGCATGGGTATCGAGAGCAGCAGGTAATCCTCCAGCTGGGCGGTGCCGCACTGCGGATCGAACTCAATGGTCAGCCACTGGACGCAGGGCGGGAACTCGACGCGGTAGCTACTGATGCTGGCGCTGCGATAGGGATGCTCGCTCTCCACCAGACAATAATGATTGCTGGTGGTGCTGCTGCTGGAGGAAGTGGAGCCCGAACTGGAGGCCGGCTGCTCCGGTTGCCGCTGATCCTTAGAAACGTGCAGTTGATTTAAAGCAGCGATGTGGGGCAGAATCTCCTTGATCAGACCGAGAATCTGAACGGAGCTCTTGGGATCGCTGCAGGCCAGATTGGCGATGTGGGCATAGACCAGCGGCAGGAGGGTGTGGAACATGTTCGAGGCGGCCAGATTGAAGACCTCCAGCAGCTGCACTCCCGCCACCTGGCTGCCAAGGGGTACTTCTCCTGCTCCGGATGCTCCTCCTCCTCCAGCCGCCGCCTCCAGCGGAGCCTCCTCCGAATCGGAGTGCACCTGCAGGGGCATCGTCAGTTGGGCCGGTTGCTCGGCGATCTCAAAGTCCGTGGAGGTTCGCTCGTTGCCATTGATGGGAACACTCTGACTCTGACTTTGACTTTGACTCTGGCTTTGACTTTGGCCATTCCTGAGATCCGCCGACTCCTCCACTTCGGTGGCCCCGATCTCGATCTCCATTTCGAAGGGATTAGTGGATCGCTTGTCGAACTTGAGCGTCTCCATGAGGCCCTTGGAGAAGGACTCGATGCGCTTGCCCAGATCCCTGGCCGTCGACAGCTGCGGATCGACGGTGGCACTCGGTGGCAGCTGGGCGGCTGTCCGCGAGTTGTTCGCCCAGTTGATGTCCATGTGCTCCTCGATGGGCGTGATGTTGTGCTCCGAATCGATGGTCTGTGTGTGATTCGAGCTGTTGTCCGATGGCGAACACGAGGCAGCCATGGCATTTCTGGCCAGGATCAGCAGCTCAGTGCATTTCTTGGTGATATCAGCGGCTATCTGGAGGGCAGTGTCTCTGGTGGACACCTCATGTGGTCCCAGGAGCATCATGCGCTCCTCCATGCCCGGCAGACCCTCCACCCCCTTGCCATCCTGCTTCGCCGGCGTGCTGTAGTACAGGATGCAGGGCAATTGACCCCTTGCTGGGGTAGTTCCATTGAAGCTCAGATCGCAGGCATAGAAGTGAAACTGGGCGCCACAGGGTCCTCGAACCGCCGGCATTCCTGCATCACCGGAACAGGTGCGAGCTCCCTGGGAGCAGAGCCTCAAGGCATAGCGAGCATTCTCCTTGATATGCACCGGATGATCGAACTTGATCTCCGCCAGATCGTTGTGCACCGCCTCCTGGTCGTAGCTACCCGACACCGACTCCAGAGTCTCCCACTTGTGCTGCGGCTGCAGATCCGCCGTATTATCGTACAGCAACTCCAGCTGATAGTCATAGCTACCCGATCCCGAGTAGACCATCGCACCGGCTATGGCCACTCCGGGTCGATCGACGGCAAAGGCAATGGCATCGGGTCCAAAGTTACCCGTATTCCAGGTCCTGCTCACATCGCAGCGGGCGAAGCGGGCGCCCGTCGAGTGGAGCGTCCTCGGTGGCATAAACAGCTTGTCGTACTCGCCCATCGCCGTCTGGTAAACGATCTCGGCCAGAACTCGGGCCAGCAGGTGGCAGCAGTTGTCGATGAGGCCCTGATTGACGCTTTCCTTGGCAGCAGCCAGGCAGCTGCCCAGACTCCGGCTGTAGATCGCCTCGATGCGAGATCTTATTGGACTGGCGATGATGTCTAGGAGACGCACGAGCACATCCTTGAAGGTCCACGAGTTGCTCAGAAAGTCGCTCTTCTCCTGCTGCGTCCGGTAGATCATCTGCTCCACCAGCACCGGATACGGATGGGCGTCCGTGGAGGAGAGCATGGGCAGGCCGGAATTGTCGCTGGGACTGATGATCGACTGGCGCTCGTTGCCGGCGGCACTCAGCAGCGAGAAGGTGGCCCGCAGCTTCACCGAGGGCGAACAGAGGCCCGCCAGAATGGCGCTGAGCAGCCGCGAGTGGAGGGCACCACGGTCCATCTGGGCCAGCAGGTCGCACAGGCAGTTCCACTTCAGCGAGGAGGTCGGATAGAAGGCATCGAAGCAGGCCACAAAGCTCAGGTGGCACTCGTCCAGGATCTCCAAAGAGAGTTCGTAGCCTTGGGATTACAAATTATAGCAAGGTATTATTATCTTCGGTTTTTGACAAAATATACATTTTTTTTTGCTATAACTTGACCAAAAATGGTCCCACACCAAAAATACATACTGTTTTGAACAGATAACGAAATAATAAATAAATCCATGGTACTTTCTTGAAAAAATAACATTTTCGCCATTTTTCATATTTTTTGTAAGGGGGTACATCATGATTTTTTGCGAAAAATGGCCAAAAAATAAAATGTCCAGGTTTAAATGTCAATCGATTGGAAATTTAATAACGAGTTCAGAAAGGTATGACAATCCATATTTGAATCAATATTTCCATTGTTATGGTCAAAAAACTAATTATTTTTGTGAAAATTGGGATCTGGGTTTTTGGTAAAACTATGAATTTTTTCTTTTTGTTTTCCCGGTTTCCCTTACTCACCCTCATCCGTGGCGATGTCCTTGAATATGTCATCACAAAAGATGCCGATGAGCAGGGCCCTTACATTGCCGATGCACTCGGCCAACTGGATGTTCTCCATGTTGGTCTTCCGGGTGACGGGAGTTCCGCTGCTCCCGGCGGCCACCGCAGCCGAGGCGGATGTGGACGGAGCTCCGCCGCTGCCGCCGCTGCTGATCATCGCCGGAGCCACCGACGGCGAGGGGTCGCCAAAGTACTTGGCCATCACGGCTCCATTGCCCACCACACGCGGTGCATTCTTGTCCTTGTTCGCCTTCGACTGGATCATCTTGGCCGAGGTGCCAAGGCCACTGCCATGGGCGGCATTGGAGGAGCCGCCGGAGGAGGAGGAGGAGCTCCTCTGCGGGTAGATCTCATTCGTGTACTTGCGCAGCAGGCGCAGACAGGACTTGATCACATAGCCGAGGTACTGCAGCGACTGCTGCAGCTGGAGAGGCCGCGAGCGATCCCGCTCCTCGCGCAGCTGCAGCTTGAAGCAGTCCCAGGACCAGCTGAGCAGCACCACCAGGCTCTCGAAGCACTCGCGGCTCACGCTGTTGGCGAAGGCCCGCGAGATCCGCTGGACGGGATCGGCGTCCATCTGGGTGGGCGTCTGTTTGCAGTCCTGGGTGACCAGGCGGTACAGGATGGCGGGTATCTGGCCGGAGTTGACGTCGGTGCCGTTGTTGGCCTTCTTGCTGGACTTGAAGGAGAAGACCACCTGGTCCTCGGTGGTCACGGAGGCCTGGCCGCAGGAGCCGCAGTCGGAGGAGGGTCCGGCGATGCGGGCCCACACCAGATACCATCGCCCGGCCACCGCACTCACCGGCTTGGGCAGGAGGATGTGGTGCTTGCTCCGGGCGCCACACTCGTACGGCACCTCCTTGGTTTCGCTGATCAGGATGCCCTCCTTCTCGTAGCCACCGCCATCGCCGCCCAGGTCGAAGAGCTTCAGCTTGCAGCTGTACTCGCCACGTCCGCCGAACATCCCGAAGCCACAGATCACGATGTCCGTGTCGGCGGAGAAGCGTATGGCCTCCACACTGTGGCCGGAGTAGCCCCAGCCGCCGCCGAAGTTGTCGAACCGGCTGACCACCTGGAACTCGCCCGCCTGCGTCTCCGCCGTCTGCTGCGTCTGCTTGAGCAGCGGCTGCTCGAAGCAGCCGGGTATGTTGTCCTGGGCGGAGGTCAGGATGTCCAGGCAGGCGAGCAGATTGAGGGAGGCCTGCGACCGCGCCACCCGCGAGTCCACGCGATCCGGCAGCGAGAGTTCCGGCGAGAGCAGCGATCGGTAGGTGGCCGAGTTCTGGAGGGGATTCATAACGATTATAATATGCATGAGTTATAGGATATATGTTATAGGCTATGTAGAACTAACCAAGTTAAGGTAGAAGTAGCGTTAAAAATAAATTAATAAATATACTGAGAGAAAGCTTAAATAAATTAATAAATATTTAAAATAAATAAATAAACAATCTAATAACACATATAGAAATATTACAAATTTAAATATACAAATTCCGGATTAATTTATTTTAATTTAACTTAATAAGGAATATCATAAAGTAGGTAAAACCAAAACGAAATATAAATGAATTAATAAATAAATTAACTAATAACATGTATACAAATTTAAAGGTACAAATTCAACATGAATTTATGTTAATTTAACATATAGTAGGTAAAACCAAATAAAGAAGAAATATACATCAATTAATATAAATGAATTAATAAATACATCTAATATCACATATAAAAATTTTAAATTACACATTCAACATTAATTAATGTAAATTTAACTTAATAAGGAATATCATACAATATTTAATACTTGTAATTTTGTTTTGTAGCAACTTATTTGATTAGTGCCCTAACTATAAGACTATATTGTAGCACTAGGAAAGTTAAAATATAAAAAATAACTACATTAAAAGGCTACGAAACCGAGGAATTTTGGCAAACAAAGTCTAATAGATCTCTTCGATATAAACTAGTGGTATAACCCAGTGGAACACACATAATTTCTAATTAAAAAATAATCAAAAAAAATGTAACTATATATTATAATAAATTCTTCAACCCACCGCATCGCTTTCGTTGATGTCACTGGCCACGACATTGTGGCACCGCAGCTTCCGGGCAGCTCCATCGAAGACCCACAGGACATTGTAGGTGGGGTCCATGGTGAAGGCCAGTTGGGGTGGCGATGGAATGGCTTCCGGGGAGCTGGCTCCCTGCTTCCCACCACTGCGTCGTGCTCGTGGCACAGAGCCCCCAGCCACCGCTGATCCGGAGCCCGGAGTTCCAGGAGCTGCTCCTCCTGATCCTCCCACTCCAGCTCCTCCTCCTCCACCTGCTGCCGCTGCAGCGGATGATCCCACCTCCGGCGGCGCCGCAGTCGGCTGCTCCTCGAAGATCTGATTGCGAGCTTCGTGCATGCTCCTCGACATCTGCTCGTTGATTGGAACTCCCGCGGTGGCTGTGCCCGTCAAGGCGGTCAGCAGCGAGGACGAGGACGAGGAGGCATGTGCGGGTGAATCCGCCACCGGAGTGACAGCCACATCCAGATTGGAGTTAATCTCCGGCTGCAGTTGCTCCGGCTGGGCCTGCATCAGCTTCACGAAGTTCGTTTGTCCGCGATAGTGGGCAGTGCAACTGCCATCCCGTCGATTTATGGAGAGCGTGTGGAAGGACAGCGGAATGCTGGGAATGAGCACTGTTCCAGGATAAATGGGGGATTTTAGTTATATATACTATATAGTTTCTTTGAAACACTTACATATCGTCTTCTTGTTGGCCACCACATGCATCTTGGGCAGCATTTGTGCCGTAATCAGGGATTCGTCAATCTTGATAAAGGTCTGATCGCCATTGGCTCCTATCCAGGTCACCTTTTTGCCATAGCAGGGACCCAGGCCACTGGAAAAAGTGAGAGATGTTCATTAGTATATAATAGTATATAAATAATAATAAAATATAATTAAACGAAGCTGCAGAGTTTTGTCAAACTAACTCTAAAATCTCTTCTTATATACACCCCTATCTAAAAATCAAGATATATAATATAAATGATATATTAGTAATCAATTAATAGATATCTTTGATTCAACATCATCCTGATATAAACTAGTAGATCTCACATAATTTCTAACTAAATCATAAATATAAAATAATACAAAATTAAAATGAAATAATAATATAAAAATAATAATATATTATCCCCAATATCATCCTAATTTAAACTAGTAGATCTCACATAATTTCTAACTAAATCAGTTAAACTAATGAATAAACTATGAATAGATAAAATAATGAAAAAATAAATTAAGTGAATAATATAATAAATAATAATAATAATATATCAATCCCTATATTATCCCCTATATTATCCCCTATATTATCCCCCATATTATCCCTTACAAGACGGCTCCGGGCGAGCAGTTCCACAGGAACTTCTGGCGCTGGGTGAGCACCGGCATCAGCGGCGGTGGGATCTCCTTGGAGCCGCTTGGCTGAACGGCGGCCATCGGGGATTGGGGTCGCTCCGGTCCGGGCATTCCCACGGGCGCAACAGTTGGCGATCCGCCGCCTCCTCCTCCTCCTGCTGCCCCATCCGATCCTGCTCCCACCGGCGAGTCGTCCTCCTGAGGCGGTGGCTTTATGCCATAATCACTGGGCAGTCGTCCCAGTTGTCCCTTCTGGTAGTTGCCGAAAGTGTACACCATTCCCTTAGAAGTCAGCAGCACGGTGTGATTGCTCCCGGCGGCCACTTGGCTGATGGCGCCGGCCACCTGGACGCGCACCGGTCCGCTCACCGGCTGCAGATCTCCGCTGCCCAGCTGGCCGTACTGGTTGCTCCCAAAGGTGTAGACCTCGCCGGCCAGGGTGAGCACCACCGTGTGGTGCAGGCCACAGGCCACCTGGACCACCGGCGAGGAGCTCGTGAGCTGCAGCAGCTGCGGCGCCAGTGGAGCCACCCGCGGCGGATCCTTGTCCAGGTCCGTGGGCGTGGCAGCTCCTCCGCCGGCGGCTCCTGTCTCCAGTTCACCCTTGCGCTCCTTGCGCCGCATGATCAGCGTCTTGGAGCGCTGCTGGCGCTGCTGGACGTCACTGGGAGGCGGCTTCAGTTCCGTCTTGGCTTCTGCAGGGGGAAAATTGGATATGGATTTAGATTATATATATATACACCCAAGAAAAAATTAAACTATGTAATATTAATTTTAAATGGATACGCGGTCAGGTATGTAAATGTGATATGCTCGAAAAGAGTACTTTATGTAAAAACGAAATGCGTATTGCATAACCAGAAATTGACATGCACATATCGATTTTACGTTGACATGCTTTTTTTCATTTTATCAATTTTAAATTGATATGCTGCCAGGTAAATTTGATATGCTCGAACAGAGTAGTTCATGTAAAAACGATATGCGATATAACCAGAAATTTACATGTGTATATCAATTTTACGGTGACATGTTTTTTTTTATTTTTTCAATTTTAAATTGATATGCGGCCAGGTAAATTTTATATGCTCAAAAAAAGAGTATTTCATTTAAAAACTATATAACCAGAAATGTACATGCACTTATCGATTTTACGGTGACATCCTTTTTTTTATTTTTTTTTCAATTTTAGGTCTAGTACTCAACCCAACAAAAAGTCGTCAAAAACAAAAACTTCATATGAAACAACATTTTTTGACGTTGTTTTTCATATGAAGTTTTTTGTTTTGGACGACATTTTGTTGGGTTAAGTACTAAGCCTTAAGTTGATATGCGGCCAAGTAAATTTGATATGCTTAAGGAAAAGAGTTTTTCATGTAAAAACGATATAACCAGAAATATTCATGCACATATAGATTTTACTTTAGTCTAGCCACTTATCCACTCACCATCGCTATCCTGGAGGGCAATGCAGGCGGCGCACAGGCCGCACTTGGCGCAGCCCGCATCGCCGTGGCCGCAGGGACAGATGCTGCCCGCCAGTCGCTGGTCCAGCGGGACATTCAGGGCCGAGACGCAGCTCACGTTGTAGCCGGTGCACTCGCGACAGATGACGCACACCCGGCACTGGCCCTGCACCAGATTGTGGTCGTCGTAGTCGCAGAGCGTCGAGAAGTCCAGCTTGAGGCGCTTGTCCAGCGGCAGCAGGGATGCAAAACAGGCGGCGGCCGTCGAGGATGAGGCAAATGGGGGCACATCCTTCACCGGCTGCAGCTTGTTGAATATCCTGCCGCACTGGCCCTTGTTGTTCAGCCCGAACGAGAAGAGCTGCCCCTTCGCATTGAGGGCCACGCAATGGGCCTTGCCCAGGGCCACCTTGGTCACATGCTGGTCCAGCAGCTCGCTGACGAAGCCCATGGCATCGCAGTGCGCCGTATCCTTGCCGTACATGATCAGCTTCCCGGTTTTGGTGACAAAGGCGGAGGTTCCATTGTTGCAGGCGGCATGCACCACCACATGGCCATCGATCTTGGTCATTTTCTTGGGCTTCACAGCCTTCGGTTGTCGCCGGTTCTTGCTGCTATCGCCATCCTCGCCCCGACGGGCTGTGCCCGCAAAGAAAACGGTGCCGTCGTCGTTGACCAAGAGGGCATGGATGCCGTCGTGTCCCACGGCCACATGGACTATATTGGCCGCCTTGGAGATGACCAGCTCGGTGAGCTTCAGCGTGGGCGTGCGACCCACGCACTTGAGTCCCAGTGCCGCCGACTTGCCGTAGTAATAGACCCTTCCATTGCTGGCCCTCACCAGGCCGAACTCCTTGCCGCAGGCCATGCCCATCACATCCACGTCCGCATCGCGGCAGGGAGCCGGCAGCTTCGGCTCGAAGCTGTTGTGGGCCGACTGGATGCGCTGGATCTGGTACTGGTTGAGCAGCTCGTCCTCGAAGGCCGCGTAGCCCAGCGTGCGGAACTTCTTGCGGGCCAACTGCAGCGGCAGCTCGAAGGGCGGCGGGTCAATGTTGTAGCTATTGTGGTACAGATTCAGTTTCTTCACCACCAGCGTGTCCTAAGGGAAATGAAAGAAAATACTCGTTTATTATAAAGCTAGAGAGAGGTTAAAAATTATAAGAGGTGTTCTTTGTTTTTTATATATAAAATATATTAAAAAAATCATAATTTTGCTTCCTTGGAGGTATAAAACCTCTGGAGATTTTCTTATCACTTATCACTTTATCAATATTAAAAACGATCAAATATTTAAAATATTAGGGAGTACCAAAAACAATTGGATTATAAAATATTTTAAAAATTAGTATTTAAAAATAGTATTAAATATTATTCTTATTATTTTTATCCATTTTATTTAATTATTGAAATGTTTCTTAAGAATTTTATTACATTTTATTAACCGGTTAATGTTTGTTACACAAAGCTCAAGAATTCGCGTAATTTTTTTTTTTAATTTATTTCCCTAGCCAAATAAAAATTTCCTAGAAATATTTCTTAAGAATTTTATTACATTCTGTTAAGCGGTTAACTTGTGCTACCCTTAACTCAAGAATTCGCGTAAATCTGTTTTAAATTTATTTCCCTAGCCAGGAAATTTTTCTCTGACATTCTTTTCTACCCAAAAGTTGCTTGTTTCAAGGCTTTTAAATCTAAAATACCAACACTCACATCGCGGTTGCTGCAGATGGCGTGCAGTGAGTCGTCATCGGTAAAGAGCACGTAGTTGAGTCCTTCGCGCATGTGCAGCATGCTCAGCGGGCTCATCGCCTTGATGGCCAGCGTGTCCAGGCCCACCATTTGCAGCTGGTCGCCGGCGCTGCGGCGACAGGTGCGCCGGAAGTAGAGCTGCCCGCCACTGTAGCCCAGCCAGGCGCTCCGCTCGTGGCTGAAGTCCTCGTTCTGGGCATAGACATGTCCCTTGTAGGAGCCCCCGAATCCGGTGCCGATCTTCAGCAGGGTTCCACCGTAGAGCAGGTACACAAACACTCCATCGCAGGCCATCGCCGGCGAGGTGATGGGCGCACCCGTGCTCAGGGGGGGCAGCTTCAGGGGGAACTGGAAAAAAGGGGTTTTAAATTAGAGATTAAATAAAATTTAATAAACTCTAATGGGAATCTTAGAGACTAAACTAGTTCTTAAAAATGTTCATAAAATAGGAATTTATATACTTCTTTCAGAGAAATACAAACACGATTAAATTCGAAATTCGGTCTAACAATTTTGAAAAGCCAGAGTAAACAAACTTTTTTTTCTTAGTTTTGGTTTGTCCATAGATTAGACTGTTTTCAGTCAGATATATACTCACGATATTCATTAGGTTAACTTAGTCGAAAGTTAGCATGACATTGAGAAATTGCCCCTTTACAAAGCTATTTGGGTCTGTGTTCAAATCCCAGAAAATATATAAATATTTTTAAAAAATTCGACATTTTCGTTTATCAAGATATTGAAATTTAACTATTATGTTATTATAAATATTATAAATATATTTAAATATCTCAAATAAAAAATCCCATTAAAAAAATCTATTTAAAGATTCTTCCTTTTTTTTTTTAGTGCAAATATTAAAAAAAAAAAAAACTTTTTCGTTTATCAAACTATATAAATGTAAATATTGTATTATACATATATTTAAATATTTCAAATAAGAAATACCATTTGAAAAAATCTATTTATAGATTCTTTCATTTTTTTTTAAATGTTTTAAGACTCACCTCATCGATCAGTGAATTGTGCGGCACCCCGTGGCTGTGGAAGTCCGGCCTGGTGGGTTTGTTCAGGGCGGCACTGACCACCGTGTGCTGGAGCGTGGCCAGGACGACCGGCAGCTGGACAATCTGGGCGGAGAGCTGGCGCGGCGTCATCAGCATGGCGGCGATGGCCTTGAGCATCTTGCCGGTGTCGCCGCGGGCGATGCAGAGTCCCAGGAGGGCGGCGCAGGCCATGGCCGACCAGTTGGCCTCCGCACCGGTGGCCGAATTGAGGGCCGCCGGCATGGTGGCCAGATCCAGTAGGAGATCGTACAGTGGATTGATCAGCTCCTCGGGCTCCAGCTTGAAGCTCTCCGGCTGCTGACCTTGGATGACGTCCAGCAGGGCCTTCAGTGCCTTGGTGCACAGCAGCGGATGGACGTGCCGGGCATCGGCGATCAGCTCGAACAGGCTGCGCAGTCCGGCGCCCACAATCAGGGGCACGGTGGCATAGACGGGCTCCCGTTCGGCGGGCTCCTCCGTATCCGAATCGGCATCGCTATTGGCGCTATCCCGTCGTGGTCGCTTCTCCGCCGGCAGCCCAGGTCCTCCGCCGCCGCCGCCGCCCACCACCACGGGCACCGCTGCCTGAGCTCGTCCCTCGACAATCACGCCGACGGGCGCACCATGAACGGGATTTCCCAGCGGTCCAGCTGCCCCGTGCATCCCCAAATGGGCGTGGCAGGGGCAGTCCAGTATGTTGCTAACCATGCAGCTGTGGGCGCACATCATGCAGCAGGATGGATTTGGGCTGTTGCTCCACTTCTTCACCGAAGATCCGGAGGCCGATCCGCCGGCAGCTCCTCCTGCCGCTCCGCCGCCCTCCTGGAACAGCGAGTACCGGGTCTCCGCCTCCAGCACCGTGGAGCGAATCGCCGAGAAGACCGCAAACTTGGAGGCATTCGGATCGAGCTCGATGTGCGCCACCGGAAACGAGGGCAGGATCATCAGCTGCTCCTTGACCAGGGGCGGATCCAGGGGATTCACCAGGCCGCCGGCGCCCGCATTCCCCTCCAGAACCGCCGCCGCTGCTGCCGCGGCCATCGCCGCCGCCGATTTGTCCTTCCGACTTTTGCGCTTCGTTAACACCTTGCGATCGTGCTGCATTTTTCTGAAAGAGAATTTAAATTATATGTTAGAAAATAGTAAAAAAAAATTTTTAATTCCTCAATTTAATAATATTAATTATAGTTTAATAGTTCAAAATTATTTCAGCTTAGTTGACTAACTTTAAATTTAGAAACCGATTTTGTATACCTCTTGTAAAAATATTTCTTAAAGATAAAATAAATAACAAACAAAATACAATTTTTTTTTGTGTAGTATTTTTGTAGGTATACTAAAACCCAAAATTTTCCACAATTGCTTTCCTAACTTAAAAAAAATCCTTTTAAAATATAAATTACTATATTATAGATGTTTTAAAAACATGGTACCATTAAATTAAAATTATTATTAAATATTACCAGTACTAAAATAAGATTTTATTTTAAAATTTAAAAAAATGTGTACCCATTAACTCCCACGCTAACACTTAAAAAAAAGGTTTTTAGCTTAACCTTTGAACTTTGGTATCTTTATATATTTATATACTGCGGATTTAACTTAATAACAGGTGTTTTAAATATATGTAAAACAACTAGTTGATTTACCACGTTTATATGTAATATATGTATTAAAATTTAAAATAATATTATTTTGGAGGTAAAATATTAGTATTTCATACTTTAGAATCCCTTAGAACCCGAAGCATATATCTTATAGTTCACTGATCACTTCAATCCTACTTACAGAGAGTACTGTACTTGACTTACAGGAAAAACATTTCTGGAAAAAAAAAACAATTTATGGGACACTACTCGAACTACAGGTCATAAATCAAAAACGCATTCCAACTAACTGAGAACGCAAACAAGCTTAATATGTCGAGGACCTGGGAAGAATTTGCATTTTGTTTTTGTTGGCCACGGGAAGCTTTTTGCTCTTTAGTGGCTCTTATCGGCTTGGAAGCTTTTGTGCAGGATGCTGGTCGCTATTTTTGGACGCCAGTTGGGGTATTGGTATTGCACACGTATCCCATCGGCCAGCGAAAGGTGCAAGCTTTAAGATGTGTGTACCCAATATGCTATCCTAGGCCCGTGTGCATCCGGAACTTCGTGTCCTGCAGCTGACAGGTGGTTTCGAATACTGCTTGCCACTTTCCAAATGGCGGCCCCCCAACTTGCGCGATTCCCGCAGAGCGCCAATTACGGGCTCCAAAGTTTGCAAACTGCTGCGAAAGTGAGGGGGTGGAGATATCAATTATTCAGACCCTACTTGCCCTGCATAAATAATGCGCAATTGTGAGAAGGATTTATAGTAAAAAAAAATCGAAATTTAATTATTACATTATATTTACCAGATTTTAGGATTAAGTCTGACCAATAAAAAGATCAATTAACGATTGTAAAATATATAAAACATGTCATTAAACCTTGATTTTATTTCTTAAATGTATTAATTAAAAAAAATATATTGTATTTCATTTTGGTTTTATAAAAATATCAGACTTTTTTAAAATGTCCCTTTTCTGATTTTTAAAACAATGATGGTAAATTACAAAATTAAAATTAAATTAAAAAATTATTAATAATTTAAGTTTTTTATAACTTTTATGTTAATATTCACTTTAAGCTCTTCTAATTTTTGTGTAAAATGCAAGACCAATTTTACAGTAATCAAATAACATGTACATTTTCACCCATAGAAGGTGGAAGACAATTAAAAACTTTAGCTAAATCGATTTTCTAGAACCGTGTCGGTATTTTGCCAACTAAGTGGTGTCCAGGTGTTCGATTAAAACCTTTTCCGCCTGTCAAGTCACCTTCACCCCAAGGTTTCAGTGGGGTTAGAGGTTTACGCCCAATTGTAATTTTCTAAAATTGATTTTTTCATTTTAAAAATTTTTTAGGAAAACCTTTTTGTAAAACGGTGACAAGACATTTTTTTCCATAAAGGTCATTTTAAGCCTAAATTTGTTAGTAATTTTGGTTGTATTAGATTTAAAATTGATTATCTCGTTTTTCCGGATATTTTTCATCTATAAATTTAGATTTACCTAACTTGTAGTCCTTGAAAGGAACTTAAAAAATTATGGTACATTCGAATATTTTTTAATTTAACTTTAACCCATAACTTAGATAAAAATTGACTAGTTTATAGTAAAAATTAAGTGCATTATCTTTTAATTTTGAGAAAGATATAGTTTCACTATAATAGCCCGCTTTGATATGGGTTCTCCTTGAAAGTAGGTTTTTTGGCGGTACGAGGGGTGACATTCCGAACACTGCAACCGCCACCCCCGAGGGCCGTCAGTGGGTTAATGCAGGTCGCGGCGCTCTCGACAATCAGCTGATTTTGAGCACCGCTCAGCTGTGCGGCGCAGGACTGTCCACTTCCGCCCGTTTCAACCCCCAAAAAACCGGGGGGGTGCAAAACGACATCGGAGAGAGCGAATGAATGTGAATGCGAATGCGTAGGGGTTGAAGACCCAGATTGGAAGCCCGAAGCCGAGTGCAGCGATCGATTTTTCCACCCCGGGTGGATGGGCTGTACGGGGGGATGCAAGGGGTTGGGAGGGAGAAAGTGGAAAGCAGAAAGGAAAGGAGGCTCCGGGACATGTAGATATCCAGATGCTGGCGGGGATTACCTGCGCGTGCTGTTCGTGTACAGCTCGTAGAAGTGGTCGCCGTACTTGAGCGGATTGAGCAGGCCCACCATTTTGGCCCGATTTGCCGTTAGATCCAGGGCTCCAATCGATATTTTCTATATATTTCTAGTGCTCCGCTACCGTTACCGTTACCGTCTACCGTTACAACGTATTGCTCTCTCTCTCTCTCTCTTCTTCGTTCTCTCTCCTTTTTGGCTAATGATTTATATTGCACAGCGGTTATTAAACGAAATATGAACTAACAACTAGGAATTAACTATTTCGACGAGCATCGTCTGGCGTTTTTAGTGCGCTTTGTTTTTGCCATTTGTCATTTGCTTTTGTCACTTTCACGCAAAAAAAAACACACACCGAACGACAACGCAACGGTACAATGGGAACGAGAGAACTGAAACTTTCGGCTCTCTCTCTCTCTGCTTCTTGCCGCTTCCTGCGAGAGAGGACTCTCAGCTGGCAGGAGATACAGTGTTGGTAGGCGAAGGTCCTTGTATTTGAATCTTAAAAGTGTAGGATTTTCTTATTAACCGCTTGGTTTTTAATGAACTTGAATGATCGTTTTCTATATGTCAAGAAATTATGGATTTAAAGTTACATTTTGAACTATAAACTGATAAATAATCTCTCTGAGAAACTTGATCAATTTCAGAAATACATTTTATGTTTATATTTATGCGATAATCAGGGAGAACTTTTCTAAATTTTAAAAAGTTTAAACTTTATATTTCAATTTACAATTATTAATGCAGCATTAAATATGTTTTACATACCATTAATAGGATTTGTTTTCACAATTTACACGCCAATTTCGGTTTTTTATAGAATTCCGCACATCTATGGTTATTTTTTTTTAGCAGTTTAAGATATTTAAGCACTTTTTCTAAAGAGTTTAGAAGTTTTTCCGATGGATTAAAAATGTTTTTCATATAGAGATGATATTTAAAAACTCCATAGCTTTTCCTTACAAGTTTCGTTTTCAAAATAATACACGTCAAACGGCAATTTGCAACCTCCAGCTGTTTTTCGTACAGTGCTGTAAAACACCGGCGCACCGCGAGCTGGCAACCCTGGCCAGCAGCTGTCACTTGCAACAACAACAACGGGGGGCAGGAAGAAGAAGACTTTGACAGCTGCGCCGCAACCGAAATCGAAGAAAAACATTTTACGTAATTAAAACAGGGCGCTTTTGCGATGATTTGCGAGGCCACTAAAACGCTTTTCCCCCAACCGCAGGATGGGCAACGCGCTGACGCACTACCTGAAGCCGGACGTGATGCCCGGGCCCGATGTGGTGACCACCTTTGACCCAATGCTGGGCTTCGAATCGCGCAAGGAGCGCGTGATGGTCGCCACCCAGGAGGAGATGGAGTCCGCCAAGCTGCCGCTGGACGCCCGCGACTACTGCGCCCATTTGGCCATCGCCTACCAGGCCTGCCGCACGGACACCTTCCCGTTCGTGTACAAGTGCGCCCACCAGAAGCACGAGTACCTCACCTGCGAGTACGAGGACTACGTGCTCCGCATGAAGGAGTTCGAGCGGGAGCGCCGGCTGCTGGAGCGCCAGAAGCGCCTGAACAAGGCCGCCTAGGCTAAGCTAGATACTCCTACCCCCCTCTACAACCCCCTACACACAACCAGGAGACGCCCCTGGCCGCGCGGATCCACTGCCACTGCCCCATGTTGCAAGCTAGTTTCCAGCGGAATAATGTCAATAAACAACTCCATGCTAGTAATAATGCGGATCTGCTAACCATTTTTTTTTTATTAGCCATTAAACGATTGAAAAACTGTTCGAAAAACCCACGATTGCCTATTGGATCTTGGTGAGCGCATCGATTTTGAATGGATTCCGGGTGAAGGAACCTGGGAAGGAAGGTATATTCTATGGAATCCTATGGAGATTCCCTTGTTTCTAAAGAAAATGCCCGTAATCAAGTGGATGTGCTAGCCATTTAGTTTACCAACGATTGTCTAGACTCTAGAGGATCTTAAAATGGGGTTCAGTTTAAAATGAATAATGGTGGAGGATCATTAATAAACTCATAAAGATGCTGTTTAAAAGAATAAAACTGTTCAATAAACTTTTTAAATACTTAAATATAGGACCTTATGTTATGAAAACCGTTGGTTTTTTCATGAGAAGATTATATTCCTTAAAAAAAGCCCAAGTTATAACGATTGACAAGTGCATATCCCATTTGTCTATAAAATCTTTAAAGAAATTCAAATGCAGAACCATAAAAACGTCCAATATGTCCACTAAACAAAACTAATACTGATCGATTGGCAAATTTAACATACAAAATAAACTCCATCAGCATTTACAATTACAATTTTAAATCGCTAGCACAGATAGATTTTTTCAGTGTAGTTGCCTAATGCAGTTTTCGTGTTCAACTCAAAGAGATAATTGGAATACAATAGCGAAAAGGCGGTAAACTAGTACTTTTATCTAACCAATTGGCAATCTTGAAGATCATTTTACAACAAGAGATAGCAGTGTACTTATGATTTACGTTTTAAGTGAATTTTTAATATATTTAATGGCGAGGAACATGGAAAATGGCTGGAAAATAATTATATATTTTGATTTGCTTTCTTTATAACGAATTATTATAATTATAATTAATAAAGAAAAGCTCAGAACTCTTCCTTAAAGAGAATTTATCGTAAAGAATCGTAGTTCCAGAATATTTACAACGATTAAACCCCCTAGAAAATAAAACACTTATTTTACACTGGTTCCTGCAACTTTAAGTTTAATATCAAACTCATCTCCTGGCTTAATGGTACAATTGCTTTCGTTTAACACTGCCCCAAACGCGGGAGCACACACAACACACCCGGTATATCACAAGCACACACCCGCATATCTATAAATATGCGGAATACTAAATCTCGGCTACATAATACGTGATAATTTATATATATATGTATATGGAAACTAACGAACTACATATGATGATGGCAAGTTTCTGTGTTTTGTGTGTGTTTTTTTTCTGTTAAATTACATTCTAACTAGGGGCTCCAGCCGCCGGTTGGCCTTTAAATGCATCCTCGTGGCATCCTCCGGCACGCACATCTTTGGTAGAGGCTTCTCCTCGCTTTCGTTTTCCTTCTTTTCCATCAAATGCCCAGCTTGCGCCAGAGATTGTGCATCCGTCCGCCGGTGGCGAAGATGCTGCGCAGCATAAAGACCTGAATGAGGCCGACGCCGATCATGGCGCTGATCTGCAGCATGGACCAGTGGTTGACCTTCTGGAAGTTGGACTCGGCCAGGTTGCGATCACGTGCCTCGTGCGAGCGCAGGACATCCTGCAGCTGGCGGGCCTTGTTCAGCTGCAGCCGGATGCGTCCGATGAAGTCCATGATGTCCTGCACCTTCATGTCGTAGTACTCATCGCGTGAGAGGCCCGTCAGTTCGTCCACCTCGCTCCACTGGGCGTCGCCGCGCAGCTCCTCGCCCTCGCGCTCCACGATCAGCTCGAAGAAGACCGTCTTGCGGTTGAACATGCTGAAGCTGTTGTCGAAGCAGAACCGATAGTCGCCCTCCTTGGCCACCTCGTGCCGATGCACGTTCTCCGGCTTCTTGAAGTCGCTCACGATGACCAGACCAATGGGATCCAGCAGGGTGAAGCTGATGTCCAGGTCGCCGTGGCCGCCGTCGATCACCTGGTACTCAAAGTCGATCGTCTCGCCCTGGCGCACCGAGTGGTACAGGCACTCCGTCTTGCCGGCGTCCACATAGACGGTCATCTCCTTGTCGTAGGCCTCCGCATCCTGGATGAAGCCGCCGAGCAGCAGCAGCAGCAGCAGGAGTCCTGCAGGCATTCCCCGCCAGATCTGCAGGCAGTGACGCAGGAGGTAATGAGTAATGGTGGCTAAATTTAGCCGGCGTTTATCTTACCGCTTGCATTGTGAGCTGCTTGGCCTAAAATTAAAAAATACAAAATGCTCGAGCAGGTAGTGTGACCGTTTGCCGTGCACAATACGAATTGAATGGTCGCACTTTAGCTATAGCGCGGCCAAGTCAGCTACTTTGTAGCCAGATTTAAACAAATTTGTTATTATTTAGTTTAAAATGCTTTTGTTATTATTAAATTATATCAAGACCAATTTTTATTTGATTTGTAAACCATTTAAAGTTTCTACTACAAGTACCTTAAAAAATAAATTCGACAAAATATATGTCAAACTATTTCGACTATTTTCACTATTTTTATATAAACTTAAACTTAAAACTAAAACTTAATTAAAGCTTAAAAGAATTATATAATAACAGCAACATTTTAGAAAAATAGCTAATAGCTTTTAGCTAAAGGCTTTAGCAACATTTTAAATACCAGATCTGGCCGCACTGCATAGTTAAATGTAACGGATTCTGTCAAGAGCGGCAAATTTGAATGGAGAAATTAAAAAAAGCTTAAGAACCTGTCTTCTAGTAGTAGTTTATATTTATATAGATTACTATCTATCTATTCATTTATTTATATAGATAAACATTTATTTGCAGGAACTTTGAATCTAATTTTTGTTTTATTAATCATATAATAAAAATAAAAATAAGTTTTAAGATTAAAATAACTAATACAAAAACTAGTGGATTTTTAATAAAGCGAGTGAAAAGAGCTTTAAAAAAAAAAAGACTTAAAATCAAGTCACCTAAAAATTAATCCAAACTTTATTCAATTCGAATTTTCACAATTGATCCTTAATAGTCAATAGAGCTGAAAAAATAGTAAGCAACCAGATAAAAAACTAAATTAAAAACATATAATTGCAAACAAAAAAATATTTAAAAAAGTTATATAATTTCAGAACCTTTTTAATCGGTATTTTATAGAACCGATCGCCGCCTCGCAAGGTCACACTTTCCCGGCCGAGAATTAAGCTCGAAAGAAAACTTGGAAAAATAAAGGAAAACGTCAACAATAAATCGGAAAAGAGACGGCTATACGGGATTGGGCGATCACGTGGAGAGGTCTGATGCCACGAAGAGCTAGCACTTGAATATATGAAGATCCGAGATGAAGATCCGAACGAGGAGGAGCCTTTCCTTCGCCGGCTGCGGCTTCCTGGGCATCTACCACGTCGGAGTGGCCGTCTGCCTGCGCCAACATGCGCCCCAACTGCTGCTGGAGAGGATTGCCGGCGCCTCCGCCGGAGCTTTGGCCGCCTGCTGCCTGATCTGCGACCTGCCGCTGGAGTGCATGGCCGAGGACTTCCTGCGGGTCGTCCAGGAGACGCGGCGCCACTCGCTGGGCGCCTTCAGTCCGTGGTTCAACCTGCCGGAGTGCCTCCTCGAGGGGATGCACCGCCGCCTGCCGGCGGACGCCCATCGGCGGGTCAGCGGACGCCTGCACATCTCCCTCACCCGCGTCAGCGATCGCTGCAACGTGGTCATGTCGGAGTTCGACTCCCGCCAGGAGCTCCTCCAGGCCCTCATGTGCTCCTGCTTCATTCCCGGTCTCTCGGGGCTGCTTCCCCCGCAGGTGGGTTAATTACCAAGTTTTAAAACTATTTCAAGATCACTTTGGAATTCGGAAAAATTCCTATTTTTACCAAAAACACAAATCCCAATTTTCCACAAAAAAAAATCGTTTTTTGGTCGAAACAATGGAAGTATTGATCCAAATATGGATTGTCATACCTTCCCGAAATCGTTATTAAATAACCCATCGATTGGCATTTAAACCTGGACATTTTATTTTTTGGCCAATTTTCGCAAAAAATCATGATGTGCCCCCTTAAAAAAAATTAAAAATTTACGAAAATTTTATTTTTTCAAAATCACACGGAAAGTGTCAAGGTTTTATTATTTATTTTGTTATCTGTTCAAAACAGTATGTATTTTTGGTGTAGGACCATTTTTGGCCAAGTTATAGCAAAAAACCAAAAAGGAAAAATTCCTATTTGTACCAAAAACCCAGATTAATATTATACGATACAAAATATAGAAAAATGGTTTAATATACTTAAACTCAACTCAACTCAATTCTCTAATAATTCAGAATCTAAACAAGAAACTATTGTTTATTTCCCTTAAGGTCAAAGGAGTTCGCTACATGGATGGCGCCTTCTCGAACAATCTGCCTTTGCTGGACGAGCACACCGTGACCGTGAGTCCCTTTTGCGGGGAGAGTGACATATGTCCGCGGGATCAGAGCCCCCATCTGCTGCAGCTGAACATCAATTGGGCCAACACTTGCATCCGGCTGTCCAGGAGGAACTTAAGGCGGATGGTGCGAATCCTGCTGCCGGGCAGAGCGGACTTCATGGCCAATTTCTGTCAGCAGGGATACGACGATGCGTTGCACTTTCTGCGCCGGAATAGCCTGCTCAAAGAGGGATTCAGGGTCAAGGAGAAGATCATGATCAGTTGGATCCATCAGCAGGAGGAGAGGGAGAGAGCGCGAGGCGAGAGCCCCAGGGTTTTGGAGAAAGCTGTTAAGGAAAAGAAGTCCCAAGAGCAGATGGATAGGAAGCAGAATCGCAGGAATCGAAAGCAGAAGCCTCAAAGGCAATATCTGCAGAGTCCTTTGAAAAATCAGCAAGAGAAGAAGAATGTAAGGAGTCAGGAAGAAAGGATCAGGAAAGAAAACTATCCGAAGAAAGCTACAACGACGCGGGAGAATCATCTAGAGAAGAGCCTAAATCTGACGCCCCAGGAGGAGCAGCATTGCTCCCTCATAGGCTCCACCTGGTCACTCCTCCGTCGCGTGATGACCGCTCCGCCGCTGGCCAGGCACATGGTCCAAATGATCGCCCGTCGCCTCAGCCGCAGTCTCACGCTCTGCGAGCAGCCGCACTTTGATCTCGCTCTGATGCAGGCACCCTCCACCTCCTCCTCGAGCAGCCACTGCCCCCCATCGACGCCACTGGGTGATAGCGATAACGGTGATAGCAAAGTCAAGGCCAAGCGAGTGTGCGAGGCCAGCCAAGTGGAAGCGGGAGATCAGATGGCTGAAGACGAGGGACATTAGGCGCCAATGGCCTTATCAGCGATCGTCGATCGATCAGTTGGCAATTGATTTTGATACCTGTTACCGCAATTGCTTTGATTTAATTAGCCAACTATTCGGTGGTTTGTTTTCTTGAATATTATGTTCAATGTTTTTAGCTTGTGTTTTTTTTATTAACTGCTGTGTCCGAAATAAAGCCTAAAAAATGTGCCGTAAGCTTGTAGAAATGGGAAATTTTTATTGCAGTTTAAAGGCAGAAAACTTAAGATCAATTTTGTGTACCTAATTTTTTTATATATAGGCGTTTTAATTACTGATTGTGATATCAAATATTTGGTGGTTTTTTATCTGAAATATTATGTTAAATGTTTTAACCTTGTGTTTTTTTTTATTAGCTGCTGTATCCGAAATAAAGACTAAAAATGTACAATAAGCTTGTAGAAATGGGAAATTTGTATTTAAGTTCAGAGAGAGAAAGCTTAAGATCAATTTTGTATATAAAAAAAGTTAGAACTATAGAACGTATACTTTTAAGAACAAATGTAGATTTGCGTTGATTCTTCAGGCGCAAAACAAGGAATCTTTTTGAGATTTTTTTATAATTTGCCTATTTGAAACCAAAAGCCAGAATAATGACTGCCCGCTGCATTGCACTCGGTTCTTCTATCCGAATAAACTGATATAACCTCCGGATCCGATTCGGATTCTCTGACGCATGTAGATTCTAATCGGCAAAGTGCAACGCAAGAGAGAAATGTGCACTCCGAGATCAGAGAAGTCGGCGTATTAATACAAATACCCGTGAAATATCATACTCAATAATCAAAAGCGAGAGAATGAATAATAAGAATCACGCCACTTTCTGCACTTTGCACCGCAGGCCATCTCGCTCGCACTCGTGCTGATTGAAGGATGCCACGCCCCCCAGCAGGGGCACATCCTGAGGCTTTATCGTCCCCTCTCGCTCTTGTTGTTCTCCCGACTCTTCCCTCTCTCTTTTTCGTGTTTCTATAAAGTCATTCAATTTTTTTTTATAATACGTACATAATACTTGATTACGTTTATAGTTGGAACGCCTTTATGGGTCTTCTTCTCCCTCTCCCTCTCGCTCTCACCCTCTTTCTCCGCGATAAGAATTGTCGTTGCCAACTGAAGACTGGAAGACCAGACCTCGTCATCGTCGCTTCGGGAAGAATCGGAATCTGGGGGGCAGATCGGATCGGGGAGGCAGGGTCCAAAGTCCGGGCCCATTAACATCTTTACACGCGGGCCCCCCTCGTGGAGGTAGAGCTATGTACACCTTGCGGTTGGCATTTCCATTACATTAGGCTACCCAATAACGATCATTACCGCCATGATCATTGAATGGGCCGGCAAAAACGATCGGTGCAATGCACTTACACAGGGGATAAAAAGCAGAGGACTGGGATTTTCCAATCAAGTATAATATTTAGAAAAACCCATGCACTGTCTATAAGGCAAATCCTCTATAAGTTCTTTCTTGTCTTCTAGACATTAAAGAATGGGTTTAGGAATGGTTCTTCAATCAATTGCTCTTGAATTAAAAACCTCTTGAACTGTTTTTCAATAGAGAATGGAATTTTTTTGGGATTACTAGTGGGAAGAATTAGTCATCAGAATAATAACTATATTTTAAAAATACTCCTAATCCAATGTTTTTCCTGAGTACAAATATTTTTAAATGTTTTATTAGAAATTACCTTATTTCTTCTTGTGCACAATACATTCATCGACTGCGGTTTCGGGAACCCGTCGAGCAAGTCACGGTTCCATTGGTTCCCCAAGAAATACCAAGATCTCAGCGAAGCCCTTTTCGAACAAACCAGACTCATGAATATTTCGAGCCCAATTGGATTTCGCAAAACTCAAAATTATGCCAAGTATGCTGGGCTCCGAGGTCTGAGATTGATTCCCCAGGGGGACTGGAACTGGAACTTTGTCCAGACTATGTCTGTGTGGCATGTTCCTCTGGTCGGGAGCGCAAATTAAAGCGATCGGCATACAAATGAGCTGGATATTCGAAGGCGGTTCGGGAGAGGAGGTGGATCGAAATGAAAAGGAAATTCTGAGGGGCCGACGTCGACGTTTTGCCCAATCTGAAGACGGATAATTGCACGGCCATTAACGCCGTCATTATCGACAGGGACAGAGTCACAAGTCCAATGGGACAGTCCGGTTCAAGACAGTGGGATCTTAGTAGGAACTTTGATCTTAAGGTGTTTTAAATGTTTTTAACAAATAATTATCATCATAATTAACTTTTCAAATATAAAAAATTTAAATATTTCTAAATTATATGATAAGCTTTTATAGATTTAGTATAGTAATTTTCCAAAGTATAATTATAGATATTATATATATAATTATTAAGGCGTTTTAAATGTTTTTAACAAATAATTAAAATCATATTTAACTTTTAAAATATATAAAAAATTGAAATCTTTCTAAATTATATGATAAGTTTTTATAGATTTCGTATAGTTACTTTCCATGATACAATTAAAGATATTATACCACAAAATGTCGATGTTTTGAGTTTAAGTTATTAAGATATTATTAACGGATCTCTATAGCTAAGAAATTGTTTTTTCAGCTCGAAAATCCGCAAAACGCACTTTAATATCACATGTTCGTAAACACATATATACAGAGGCCTTATCTCGACAGCGAGTGCTCCATAAATTCATTCGCTGCAGCGCTCCGGCAATTACGAGGACTGAACTCTATATAAATCAGCGGACCGGGGAGTGCTGTCCCGATAAGGCGCCTAATCAGATAGGGGCTAGAACCTATAACGCTTATCGTTCGCGTTCCTCGAGTGGCAGAAGAAATAATTGAAAGAAATTCGCTGGCAATTTTCTTGTTCTTGTTCCAGTTTTGCGTTGGTTCTTTTTATTAATATTTAATATTATCAATCTAGTTGTTTAGAGCAAACATTATGGCTAGGTTCTCCATACAATTGTTATGTATATATATGGTTATATATATTAGGCATAATTCATTTTCATTAGCAATTAGACATCATCTGGTTGGGCTCCCAGCGAGCGTACAATGGAAATTAAATAGATATAGAAATAGCATTAGATTACGTATACGTATAGCTAAACCACACTATGCCGACGTGTGCGTACGTTTCTTTATATTATATATTATATATGTGTGTATATATATCAGGCATATATAGGTGTATATATATTATGTATTATTCAATGCATGCGTGGCACTTTAGCACAGCTAAAATTGACGAAAAAAAAACGCTCTCCTCTGACTCCCGATCTCTGCGACTACTATATCTTACAACTAGGTTGGTGGTGAGGGCTATTCTTCAAATAAATATTTACAAAGCAGGTTGCGCAGGTTTTGGGGGAGGGGGCCTTCTCCACTTTAGATGATCCATTATGGGAGTACTACTTGTATTACCCAAAAAAAAAAAAAAGGGGAAATTATAAAATACATTATAAAATGGGCGGCGTGGGTGGGTGGTGTGTGGGGTGGTCTTGGTGTGTGAAATAGGATAATATCTAGCTAAAGATATAGTTGTAGATGGGCTGCTGCTGCTGTTAATCCACTACTGAGACGAAACCGCCGCCGCCTGTTTGCTTTTGGCCACAACCGCCGCGTTGTTGCTGGTGGAACTGGTGTTACTGCTGGAAGTGGTGGGTCCAAAAGGCGAACAGTTGGTGTCGCTGCTGCTGCCCGACTGCTCCACATTCGTGCCCATCGACGAGTTAATAAAGTTGATGTACTGATGCAACTTGAGGGCGGCTATCAGGGAGCTCAGATAGTCGTTGATGTTGCCCTTCTGGACCTGCTTGATCTGTCGGGAGACATTTCGATAGACGCGACGCGAGATCTTGTTGGATAGCCGTCCAACTGTCTGTACTGTGTGTAGGACTGGATCCTCGCTGGCGGGAACTGGCACTACAAGCAAGAGAGAGACAATCACCATTAACGAGGATAGTAGATAATAGTTATTTATGGGTTATAAACAGGTCTTTAGTTAGTAGCTGTAGTGACTGTGAAGCTTGTGTGTGCTTACCATAAACTTGTTGAGTTCCCTATCGATAATGCCTATGATCTCTGGATTTCTTCTAACGTACTCAACAATTTCGGTTATGATTTTCAGGGACATGGACAGAAATACCGTCGAGGCGGCCACTAAGAATCTATCATCAATCTCTTGATCGTGATCCTGGTCGTAGCTCTCCCCAACAACAATAACTAACAAATGGCATAGAGAAAGAGAGATAGAGAGAGATTAATTTAGAAAATTAGTGACACTTTTTGGGAGACGGGAATTGGTTATTTAAAGTTAGGGGGGGCGTGGCCAGGACCAGGATCAGGATCGGGAGGTTTTTTTTTGGGTTGGGGCATTCGCAGGCTAATCAACATTTATCCCTCAACTCGAAATCGAAATCGTAAATATTTCTGCACAAGTATTATATCCCCATTTTGTTTTATTTTTGTGTGTGAAATTATTGCCATGCTTGATTAGTATTCATGCTTTTTTTTTATTATTATTTACTTGCTATTTTTATGTTAGTGGTGGACAAACAAACAAACGATCGAACGAACGAACAAAAGATCGGATTCGGGGATCGGGAACTTACTGTCATTTTCAGAACTCTTGCCATTCTGCACGACGGCATTTTGTTTATCATCTGAGAATTAAAAATATTTACGATTTATATTTAGCATTTTGTTTACACACCGCTCAAAAAAAAAAGTAAAAAGTGGGGGCAGCAGAAGACAAACAAGCAAATTTTTAGCTTTCGGGCCAACAGATGGAAATGGAAGGAAGTCAATAAATAATGTTCTTCGACATCCAAGGTTTTTAAATAAAACTGAGCTAGATTATATTACTGGTTTTTGGGAAAATAAACCAAAAACTAAAGCCAGTCCTTTGGAAACTTTTTCTTTAAAGTATGTATTATTGGCACAATGAAGTAATGTTTAAATTTTGGTTGATAAGTTTAATAAGACATTTACATTTTCAATCGAATCAATTCTCTGAATTAGTTTTAGTGATGTTTATGGTCTTATGTAATCCATTTTATTAGATATTTATATATTATTATAATATATTCTAGAATAATATTCTGATTATTTATCTATTCTTTACTACGATTTTCATATTTTCTTTAAACTTTAAATTTTTAAAATGGAAAAACCCCCTATTTCTATAGATCTTCCTAGCAACACTCACCATTATCCTCCTCCACATCAGACTCGCACTTGGGGAAGTAGTATTCCAGGAGGCGCTCGGCCAGCGCCGTCGTGGTGTCCACTCCATTCACCGCCAGGCTGCCGTACTGGGTGGCCAGGACCTCGTTGGCCTTCTGCCAGGCGAGATCCTTCAGCGAGGCGGCCTTCTGCTGCCCGGCGGCCTTGAACTTGACCACGCGCTCCAAATGCGGCTGCACCACATCGATCACCTTGCTCTTGGCCTGGTTGTAGATCTCCTGCGGCGTGTCCTTGATGATCGGCGCCTTCACCTCCAGCTTGTCGATGCCCTTGACGAGGGTCTGGTCCACATAGGCGATGGGTCGGTCCAGTTTGGTGACGAAGGGAGCCGCCGTTGTCACCGCGCGCGTCACACAATCCTCGGCCGCCGTTAAGGCCCATTCAAAAACGCGGTTCTTGCCTTAAAAAGGAAAAAATATTATGATATAATAGTGATATTTATAAAATATATTAGAAAAAAGTTGAATTCCAATCATAAGATAAATGTAATTTACCTAGAGATTACTTTAATTTGAAATTTCGAAATGTTCTAGAACTGTATAGAAATTCCCCGCAAGGAGTTCGCTTATCAGTTGCAACCGTAATATAATAATAATAATAATAATATGGCATTTCTGACTGATAAGCAACTGCGCAGTTCACGATCCCCAGGGCCCCTTGGACCCCTATTCTATCTGTCTGGGCCCGCGAGTTTAGACTTTGATAGTTCGTCACTCGGCAAACACATCATCCAATTCCAATTTCAATCCCAGCGACTGCAGCAACAACAACTGCGAAATATCACAAACAAGTCGAAAGTCCAACTAAAGTTGTTGCTTTTGTTGTTGGGGCCACAGAGAGCCCCATAGCACTAGTGCTGCCATCTTAAGGTGTTTATAGCCAAATCTAGCTTTTATTTATTTAATTTATATTTTTTTGAGTACTAAAAAATATGAGTATTGATAACAAATTGTAAATTTATTAGATTTTGTCTCTAATTTGATATTTTTAAATAAATTTTCCTATTGTCGATTTATTTTAGTCCTCTATAATTCTCATTTTCAAAATGAAATAAATTAAAATAAACAGTTAATTTTAAAAATATTCTTTAATGAATTTACCTAATTCTATATAAATATCCATTTATTAGAAAAACAGCACAGCTTTTAATGCTGGAACTTTTTTTGAAAACCAACTAGCTATAATTTTTAGCTAGCTTATAATGCAATTCTAGCTTTCTTTTGCGTCACAGCTGGCAGCACTGTCGGTGCCAGTGGCGTGGCCGTTGGGTCTGCTTTGCTTCCATCTGACAGCGAAACGAGCCCCCTTTTGCGGGCGGGCGCCTCTGCGACTGCAGCCTACGTGCGGTGGCCTTTTTGTCGCCCCCTCTCCCTCGCACCCTCTTTCGCTGTTGGTGTTTTTTCTTTATTATTATGTAAATTTCGAACGAACTTTGAACGCGGCGCGTCACGAGGGCAAAGTGCCGGCGCTTTTAATTTTTTGTTGCTAGGTCATGGTTGTTGTTGTCGCTGTGATTTCGATTATTGAACGACCGGCAATCAATTAACATCAATTGAGCTTAATTTCTGACCAATTACAAAAAAAAAACAGAAAAAACCTCTATGTGGGTTTCGAATTCGAATTGCAACTCGAATTAAAATGGCGAAGCGAAGTCGAAAGCAACGGTTTCGGTTTCGATTACGGTTTCGATTGCATTTGTTGTTGTTGCTGTCTCTATTTTCTATATGTGCCGTTAGGCGGGGCAAAGTAACGGGACCCGCGCGAGTTCAATGCACTCGGATTCGGACTCGGATTCGAATTCGTTTTCGGATTTGTGCACTCACCTTTTACTTTGCCATAGACATCCTGCGACTTGTCCCAGGCCGCATTCACCACCGGCAACTTGATGATCCTCTCGAGGGACTCGAGATGCGGCAACAGGTCCTTGGCATCCTTGGGCTGCTCCACCTCGTTGGCCGTTCCATTGCCAGCTGTTCCATTCCCGGCGGCGGTGGCGTGTTTCTGCTCTGCACTGGCCATGATCTTTTTTTTTTCGTGTCTTGTCTTTTCACTTTTTCTTTCTTTTGCCCCTCTCTCTATCAAGCTCTTTCGCTTGCCACCGCACTTTTCTTTTCTCCTCGTTTCTTTTCTTTCACGAACAAAAAAACAGCTTAACGTGCGTGCGTATGGGTGTGTGTGTGTGTGTGGGGGGTACTTGGAGCACTTCTCTTTAGTTTTTAGCACTTTTTGGCACGTCTGCACACGTCTGTTCGCTGGGACACTCTGACTGATTTGCGAGCTGCGCGGCTGGTTTATTATATGAGCGAGTGCCGCCGCCAGTGTTGTCGAGCAGCGGAAAGCTGCAAGCGTCGGAGATGCCCTCGCTGGCTAATCTTTATGGCGGGAAAATAGCTAGAAAGTTTCGATTTCTAAAAAAATGTTAGGATTATAACATAAAGTACTGACTGAAGAATTTAAGAATGCCTTAAAAACAATTTTGGCTAGTCATACTGGTTTTTTTTTTGTTTAATTTTGTTTTATTTTATAATCCAAAGAGTTGTTTTTAAAAATTTCTTACACACTTTCGGCCTCCCAAAATACATCACGCAAATTAAATTTAAAATATTTTATAATAACATACTTTCAATACCAAACAACACTGTTAAATTTTTTAGCTGAATGTTTTTAGTTGTTTAATTTATAGACTGTGCTCAAGATCTACTAATATAAAATCTTCCATATTCATTACTTATAAATATTATTCAGAAATTTTTGTTTTTCTTTTCAATAAATCTGGAGTAAAAATAGCCTTATTGGTATCTCTATCCAGATAGCCTCAGCTGCAAAGCACCAAAGCAGCAAGAGATTTGAGATTACGGTTCCGGAGCCCCATATAATTTTAATAAAATATGTGAGTAACTGTTAGTACTCTAGAATTTTAAGCAGTACGCAGAAGAAATAAAATGTTAAAAACTTGAATTTTTTATGGAACTTTTTTTTTATATTTCATATCAATAAAGTTTTTTTGTTGGAAAACTTAGTGGACCTTGCGTCTAAAAACCATATGTATCTACAAAAAATTACTTAAAACAGCTAAATATTTCGAAATACATTTTAAAGTTCCCTAGACCCCCATACGGTATTCTAATTTTATTTGTTATCCTTCTGTGGGGTGGAATTTTTCAAAGGGGGATGCCGGCCATGCTTGACAACTAGATTAATTAATACGCAGTGTCGGGCGCAAACAAAGTTTAGATTGAAGTACATTCCAATACTCGAATGTACAATGTATATGTGTATTTTTGTTTGTGGGGTTGGGGCACTGCCATTATCAATGGGCACCACCACGCAAATGCTTCGTGCGACCTTTGAACCCCCTGCCACCGCATCGATAATACGCCACTGCACATTCACACAGCCCACATTCTACATTCTACGTAATATTCACCGAATGCTGTGTAATTCGCTTGGCATTCCAAAGTCCGGTGTGTGACAAAACGAAAACAAATTACGAGAACTACAAGCGAAACGTGTCCGTCTATTAACCCTTCTGAAAATCAAAGGCCCCAGATTAAATCTGTAGCACTAGGTTTTTTAGGAGGGGTTACAACAGTCAGGAATGTTAACTAAAAAGATGAAATTTTTCCAAAAAGAAAGTTAGGATATTAAAAAATTGAGATGGAACAGAAATATCCTTTTCCGAAATCCTCTTAAAATCTAAAACTTTAATTAATTTAATGTTATAAATTTTTAGATTTAAAATATACTAAATATTTTATTTCGAACTCAAGAATATCCCTCCAAACCCCTAAAAATATCCAGTGGATTACCAAAACGGGTTAATGCCCCCGTCAAATTATGCGCTATATAAGGTAATTATGTCTGTCTGATAAGGCTTAAACGGCCAGACGATCGCCCCGACCATAAATGCGCACATTAACCAGGCCCTCGAGATGGGAAGGTTACCACTTACCACTCTGTAAACCGTAATCCAAAGTCCGGGCCTTTCGTCACAACTTTGTTTATGTTGTAACCGAGATCAGGTGCTGGGTGCTTATCGCCACTTGGTCTAGTCGTAGTCGGGGTGCCAATCGCGATATGGGCCGTAAATAAACCAATGTAACCGATTCCACCCATTTTTATTATAGTTTATGGTTACATATGTGTGGACTTTGAAATCGTGGTATCTTGTCATTACATTAAACGGTGGAAATCACTTCAACTACGTTTGGTAAACTGATTTCCCCAACAGATAACGAAGATTGCTATAAAAGCGAGTAAATATTACAGGGTTTATTACAAAAAAGTTACGAAGCAATTCTGTACTATTCTTTTGGATTTTTAAACGTTTAATCGTTTGCCGGAAATTTTCTGAATAAACAGTTGAGAATTATAAGGATCAAAGATTTGCGTTTCACACTTCAACAAAATATAAATAGGCTGAATCATACGATCACTCTTAGGTGACTTCCTATTTCATCAGCTTTTGAATAAGATTTTATAAACATATATGTATATATAATACACCAACAGAAATCGAATAGATTCGGAATAATCCGCTCGAGAGCTGCATATAGAGTCGATTACCAGTTGGCCGCACGTAGACAAGCCCCAGACCGTATACTATAGGCTCTAAAGGCCCCAGTACACATAGAGCTTACATATATTCATATATTTATATTTTTCATCCGTTATCGGGACCCAAAGAGTGTCCGTCTGTGGGTATTTTCCCGAATGGTCGAGCCTAGAATTCCATTGGATTTTGGACAGATTGTGTTAGTTTCAGAGGCCTAGGCATGATCTATATATAGAAGGAGGAAACATTCAGGTAACGATGGAATATAGACGGACTTTGAATCAGCGGCGTGAGTGGGTTCTTCTATATACCGACATACATTCACATATAAATATGTACTTGTGAAAGGCGAATGAGTCGCTTGCTTTTGCTGATTATATTAAGTTTTTATTTCCTTTTTTTCGCGCTGCTTTCTAGATGGATTGTACTTGGCTGATAAGGGGGTTTTGAATACTTTTTTTACTCTCTGCTTCATTCATTTAATGCCTTTGTTTTATAATTGTCGCCGGTTATCGTTATGAGGTATAAGCCTTTAAGCCACTTATTAAACAAAGTTCGCCATGCTTATCGCAATCTAGTGACACACGGGTTCAAATTGCTGGAGAGTCCAAAATCGAGAGGCGATTAAATTTCTTAGAATCATTCAAATAGGCCATGGATAGATTTTAATAGATTCCTTGGATTCATAAAGAATATTTTATTTTAAGCTTGAAACTAAGAACCAAACAAGTTTTGTAAAATTCGACTCACTGGAGCCAACTTGAGAATCATTTTAAGTTTTTTAGTCTATTGTATCTTGGATTTTGCTCAGGTAATCCTTATGAAATTTGGTATAGGGTATAATTGTTAAACAAAATGAGTTTTAAAAAAAGATTTGGGAAAAAAAAGTCTAAAGTTTTTGAAATATAAGATTTTAAATTTCAGCTGGCATGTAAACCATCCCCTCGATTGAGTTGAAAATAAAAAGCCTCATATAAGAGGGGCCAATCGGGGGTACTGGGACATGTCTGCTGTGCTCGACTACGTGTATTAAACCCAATTCGTCATGGGGCAAAAACCCACAGAAGACTAGAAGGAACAAGAACGACAGCACCACACAAAAAGTCGTCTGGCGGTTTTGGACTTTGGACGGTTTACGTGATGTCGTCGTCGTCCGGTGACGACGACTTCGACTGAGAAAATTCGATGGAGCGTGTGTTTCATTATAAAAAAAAAAACAAAAAAAACGAAATAAATAAAGAAGGCAAACCAGAATCAAAAAGAACTCTTTGACTAAATTTAGACGCGACCAAAGACCAATTCTTGCGAATACGTCATTGCTTGTAGATAAATGAGTATATTATTCGTACGATGGGGTGCCAAAGAGGTTCAAACTTGTTTTGACGGCCCCAAACGAGAAAAAAGCTTTTTGTTTTTTCGGTTTTCAGCAAAGCATCTTTTTTAAACAAAACTATAATGTTTGTAAAGGCATAACTATTACCCAAGATACTTGGGTCTCATCTTACGTAACTTGATTACCGGATAAGTAATCCTCAGGAAATTTGGTATACAAAAAGAGTAAACAGAAATTAAGGGTTTACAAAAACATTTTCGAGAATTGCCTGAGTAAAACCCTGTTTACTTGGTTCCAACCTTAAGTAACTCTACTTCTAAGCCACCTATCCCTATGAAATTCGAGATATATCGAAAGCATACATTTTTGAAGCTCCAGATCGGGAATCACATCAGCGCCCATGTTTCGAGTTTGAGTGGGTCTCCATTAAGCGGCAGACATCTAATCAGACGGAGAATTGCCTCGTTTCAATTCATTTTCGTCTGGCTGAAAGACGCTGACAAACTGAAGACCGCACAAGCACACGCACATGGGTATTTGTATATATATATTTTAATGATTTCTGTGCTTTTCGTACACAGGCTGATAGTGATAATATAGTTGGCCCCACGCATTGAAGGCGTGAAATATTCGCTCTCTTTCTGTTTCTTTCCCTATCTGTCTGCTTCCGTTTCTCCGGCCTTGTCTTCGCATTGGTGATAATTTCTACAAAGTATTAAATTGGTATTTAATTCCTAATGACATAAATACAAAAGTAAACATTACTTGAATTGATTGAATTTAATATATGTTCTGGTAATTTGGATGAGGGTTTCTGCAAAAATGTATGAACTTATACGGGTTTCTACAGTAATAAATAAATTCAAATAATTTAAACATAATAACACTTTATTTTGTTTAATTTTTTTAAAAATTCTGCAGTTATTTTAGGTCTGCTGGCTCCATCTACCTTTGAAGTACTAAGACAAAAGGCCCTCTATATTTAAATATACAAACTCTTTGGGTGTATGAATTCGCTAGATATGGTAGGTGTCCTCGCTAACTGCCACTGCACAGTGGGGAAAAATGGTTACTTTTTGGAATAAACTAAAATTATAGTTTATATTATAATAATGAAGACAATACCGAAAATTCAGAATATATGCCAAATAAAGCATAATAATATTTATATTACTTGCAAGTAAGTTTCCTATCCTTCACTTTTTCTTTCCTATTTTCACTTTTCCATTTCCAGTTGAGCAAAAAATTGGACATCGATTTTTGGAAGACTTAATAACGACTATTATATCTAATGAATTATGAATTCGCGAAATGCACTTAAAAATCAGCTAGAAATAGCCCGAAATGAGCGCTGAAAGGGGAGAACTTCCCTTAAATTATTGAGTAATTATAGATTTGAACGTGGAAATGGGGTCAGTTGAGGGAACCGCTCCACCTGTTGTGCCTCCTCCGCCAATCGGCCTCCTGGCGGACTTAATCACCTGCGAACCGTCGACAGTAAAGGTAACGAAACTTTCATTATGGACAGCGGACCCACTGATGCCACGCCCACCGCCGCCGCCTTCCGGCTGGTGCTGCTCAGCAAATCGAATCCCGTGATGGGCTGCTACATGTTCTGGGCCAGTCTGCTGGTCCTCAAGATGCTCCTCATGTCGCTGCTCACGGCCCGCCAGCGGATGAAGACCAAGACCTTTGCCAATCCGGAGGATTTGCGCATCAGCCGGAGTCCGGAGGTGCGATTCGGGGATCCCAATGTGGAGCGAGTGCGACGGTAGGTGATAATACTGAAAAAAGTTGGAAGTTTAACATGTTATTTGGATGTATGTATGTATTTTATATCAATTCAAAATATTACCTTAACGAGTAGATCCTGAAGAATTCGCGTTGCTCAACGTTAAATAATTCTTAATATTCAAATGTTATAAGTTTATTATGCTATTTGGATGTACGTATTTTATATCAATTAAAAATATTATCTGAACGAGTAGATCCTGAAGAATTCGCGGTTTTGAATGTTAGAGAATTTTTAGTGTTTAACTTATAAATAAGAACGCATATTTATGTAGTTAAAGTCTCCAAGATTTTTAATACTTTGAATTTATTTCAATTAAAAATATTACCTGAACGAGTAGATCTTAAAGAATTCGCGGTTTTAAAGAAAGATTGATATATTAAAGAATACTTGATATATTTGTTTTACGAGAACTGAAAAAAGTTTGAAGTTTATATGTATTTTATATCAATGAAAAATATTATCTGAACGAGTAGATCCCAAAGAATTCGCGGTTGTCAACGCTAAAGAATTCCTAATTTAAATCTACTATATTATCTTATTGCAGGGCCCATCGCAACGACTTGGAGAACATTCTGCCCTTCCTCCTGATGTCGCTGGTCTACGTGGCCAGCGGACCGAATCCCCTGACCGCCCGTCTGCTCATCCGCATCGGAGCCAGCGCCCGGCTGCTCCACACGGTGGTCTACGCCGTAATCCCGGTTCCGCAACCGGCCAGAGCCCTGACCTTCTTCACCACCTTCGCGATTACCTGCTTCGAGGCGGGCTACGTACTCATCCGCTGTATCAAGTACATTTAGACCTTACACTTAGTCAGCTAACTAGTCACCCTTTTTTAGCATAATTAACCGCACCAGTGATGTCGGATTTAAAGGTCTAGGTACAGATTTAGGTACATAGTTTTACAAATTAAAATTTAAAATTATACAAAAATTGGATATCATTTCATGTTCTATATGTTTTTGCTATTACTTTGAACTAAAATATCTTATATCCTATTTTAATGTCTAGAAACTAGAAATAATTTAAAAAATCTTTTGATAAATACAATATTTTCTAGATTAAATCAAGGAGTTTTAGGATACACATTTTTTTTTTAACTAATTATTTATTACAAATCATATAAATTCGAAATTTAAGGATTTTTTTCTCTATATAGAGGTAGTTTGAAATAATAGTGTACCACAGCTTAGCTACCCCGAAATGGGTAAAATAGAGTTATTGCTGCACAGCACCTTGGATATTCGGTTCGACGCAATTCGTAACCAGTTTGGTCGCATGTCTATGATCTCCGCATTGAGTGCTGATTGCTGAGTGCTGCTGCGAGTTAATCATTCGGCGAAGTCGCCTCAAAGTGAACGCACATACAGCACATTCCGCATCCGCCATGTCGTCCCCACAAAGTTCAAATAATACGACCACCGGCGATATGTTCACCCTGGAGAATCGCGTCTTTTGCTGCTACCTCTTTTGGGCCACTGTGCTGGTGGCCAAGATGCTGCTCATGTCGCTGCTGACGGCCGTCCAGCGTTTCCGCTATAAGGTAGGCCATACATAGCTCCCAATTATTTAGCTGCACTTGCTCAAAGGTCACCATCATTCCGGCATTCCATCCACAGCTGCTGGCATTCGTACCGCTGGTTGTGCGGCGCAAGGTATGCAAAAGCCACAAGTCATCGTGATAACTCTAGATTAACTTAACCAGTTTGGCCGGGTTCTAAAAATGATTCTTGCTCGCCTTTTCAGGTCTTTCCCAACCAGGAGGATCTGTTCTTCAAGAACCTCGAGGTGCAATTCAATGATCCGAATGTGGAGCGGGTTAGAAGGTGGGTTTTTTCCTTAACTCTAGAATGATTACGAAGATTTAAATTATTACTCATACCAGGCATTACAAATTACTTACGTGACTTGCTCTCAAACTACTTGTAATTCATAAAAATTACCATTTAATAATGATAATAATTTTAAGAACTTTAAATAGTAAAATATTTTCCTGTATTTACTACAACTTTCTTGCCTAATTATCTCTTCTCCTCCTTTTAGAGCCCATCGCAATGACATGGAGAACATCCTGCCGTACTTCATCATGTCCCTGATCTACATCAGCACCAATCCGAATGCCGTTGTGGCCTGCAATCTGTTCCGAGTGGCCTCCGTGGCCAGGATCATCCACACCCTGGTCTACGCCGTCTATCCGGTGCCGCAGCCTTCGAGGATCCTGGCCTTCGCCACCATGCTCCTGATCACCTTCTACATGGCCGCCGTGGTGGCCCTGCGCACCCTTAGCTTTATCTAAATAAACTGTAGTGACTATCGGCTTAAAACTTTGGGTTTTACTAGGGTGAAATTTGCCTTATAAATTTAAAAGGGGTTCATATATAATTTAGAATCGGTATGCAATGAGTTGCAGGGATCTAGGTTCAAATACTGTGATAACAACCAATGATAAAGGACTTTTGTAGTTCAAATAGTTACTATATAATAGGGCTAATCTCTTATATCATAAACTCTTCAGAACCATAATCTAATAATGGTTAAAAATAAATATCTTTAACAGCCATTTACAGATATTTAGCAAAGTCATGGCCGATTAAAAGAACCTACTTATAAACATGATTAGCTCTATAATTAACATGATGAAATTCAAAAAATAACTATGAAACACTTTCTTAACTAGTTTAGAATTTAAAAGACTATTTTTAAAGGAACTCCAGACCATCCTTGAACAAGAAAATCACTCATCGTTTGGCTTTCAATTAATAGGCAATAGGTAAAACTAAATGATAAAGGATTTCTATAGTTCAGATAGTCACTTCATAATAGGGATAATCTTTTATAATTTAAACTTTCCTGAACCATAATCTAAATATGGTTAAAAATTATAATAAACTTTAAACATTCAAGCATATTTTGTGGTGTCATTGCTGATAGAAAGAAGAACCTACTTATAAACATGATTAGATCTATAATTAAAATATCTTTAGAACTCATTCTTGACTAGTTTATAGCTTAAAGAACTATTTATAAGGAAACTCCAGACCATCCTTGAACAAGAAAATCACAAATCGTTTGGCTTTCAGTTAATTTAGTTCTATAATTAGCTTGAGATGCAACAAAAACAAACAGTGGAAGGATCAGGGTGTCCGGGTGATGAACTGGGGGTCTGCAGGACTAGTTGAAAGGACACCATGGCCCTCCGATCCAGAGTATCTGGATATCCAGATATCCAGATTCTAGATATTGAAGCCGGCATCGCGCATGCACTTCTTGTGCGCCTCGATGAGCGCCGAGCAGTTCTCCTCGCCGTTCTCCACAATGCTGGAGGAGATTGGATTTGGATTTGGATAAGTTATACAGTTGCGTCATATATCGCATACTCACCAGGCGTCACGTGCCCTCTTGGTCTCCGGACAGGCGCAACAGGCCTTGCACTTGGGCTTCTCGGAGGAGGCGGTTCCCGCGGCGGCGGAGGAGGCGGTGGCCACCGGCTGGGCGGCCGAAACACTGGGAGCTGCGACTCCCTGGGACGCGCTGTTGCCCATTCTTCAAGCGGTTTGTGGTCAACAACTGGGGGGTATCAACAGTATGTGGCTGTCACTGAACGCCCAACGTTTGTTTATATAATAAAACTCACGTTTCGAGACGGATATTTCACCACAATCCGATTTATCGGCGCACACGAAAATAACTAAATTCAAGTTCACCGAACAGGGTTGTCAAATAATGACAACTATCGAGATGGGTGCTGAGAAGTATCGGTAAAACTATCTAAAATTTATGGAGAATTAGTTAAAAAAAGTTACTTTATTTTGTTTGTGTGTTAGATTTATTAAAATTTTTGATATTTTCGCTGACATTATATAAAAAAAGTAAAACAATGGGTATATGTATATTTCTTATTTAATAGCTATTATGACTTAAATCAAAAGAAATAAATGTACATTCTTTTAGAAACTTTCTTAATTGAAATAATTATTTTTAATATAAACTTCAAACATTGCCGATAGTTGGTAAATCACGTGCACTTTTAAGTAGGCGACAGCCCTGCCATGATGAGCAGCTGTAACCAATCGATAACAGGCAGTGTTGCACAACAGCCGAATGAAAATGTCAACAAACAATTTCGGTTTTTCTTATTTTTATTTATTTTATGTTTCCATCTGCTCGCTGGTGGCTTCCTCGCTCCCGGACTGCTCCTTGAGCCGCTGCAGCATGTTGTGCGAGACGAGATCGAGCTTCAGGTGCTGCACACTCAGCGCACTGCCGTCCCAGTCGCGTAGCATTTTCAGCTTGAGCGGATCGCAGAGGTTCATCAGTTCCAGGCCGCCAGAGCGGAACTCGTTGCGCTCCTTCTCCAGCGTCATGGTGATCACATCCTTGCGGGCGGCATGCTGGTTGGCCCGGTGCTTGCCGATCGACTGCTTCAGGTTGATCTGCTCCAGCTCCTCGTCGAACCGGGTGAAGTACAGCTCGATGAGATCCTGCAGCTCCTGCGGACTCAGCGGCTCGGTGCGTCCCTCGTCGATTTGGCCCAGGAACCAGCTCAGTTTCTCGCCCGTCAGGTTGCTTTTGATCGCATGGCCCAAACGAACCTTGTGCTTGTTGTTCTGGCGACGCGCCTTTTTGCCCAGCGCCTTGGTTTTCCGGCTGTTCGGGTGCTTACACTTCTCCAGTTCCTTGCGCAGATTCGTCTGTTTGAAGTAGGGGTTTCAAAACTTGATTTAACTATCGTTTTAATGTATAATTAGCGGACTTACCATTTTTACGCCGTTGAAATGTTCACGTTGTTTTGGTGTCAGTGTTGGTAAACGTTGGTAAAAGGCACATGTGCGATCAGCTGGATCCCTAGTGGTGGGTATTTTCAACGATAGTTAAGCGATTATTTTGCACTTTGGAATATTCAAAACTTATTGTTTATTATGGTTTTTATATTTTAAACTTAAGAAAGATTAATACATTATTAAAAAATTGATAATGTTTTGCCTCATCTTAATATGTTTATATATTTTTTAAATATATGGTTATAAAACAAATATTACTATTACTATTCACCAAATTACTATTATTTTGTTCACTAAAAAATAAGCTTAATTTGTAGGTTTTGCCAATTTTTTTCCCCCAAATGATCTTGCTTATATCGATAGCTGCCGTAATGTTCCATCTCCCGCCAGAATCATATGTTTCTGCAACTACAAAAACACACACACACACCTGCTCGATCGCATGAGGCTATAACCCACGATCCGAACCGATCCGCGCTATATCCCGTGCATTTCCAGGCCCCAAAGTCCCGCTAAATGGCAACACACCTGCTCCGCAATGGCGCTACCTGTTGGCTGCTCAGGAACTGCATTTCCCGCCAGGCGACAGTAAGTAACTCCGGAAAACTCCCGCCAATCAATCGCTGGAAGTAAAACAACACCGTTATGTAATCGCACAAACACCCTGCCGTGTGTGCGAGCGAGAGGCAATCAGATATCTCTGCTCTCTTCTAATCGGAGCAATTTGTTTTCAATACACGGGGAAAAATAAGATCAAAGATCAACAGCTATAGGAATTTTGTTTTTTTAATTTAAAATGTATATGATTTTTTTTCTAATGAGTAATTATATTATTTTTGTTTTAGAAACATAACTTAATATAAAATGTTAAATGTTCCTTTTTCAAGTAATTGTTTACTAGTTGTGATTTCTAAAGATATAATATACATTAATCCAAAATATTTTGTATATAACATCTTATTCAATGTTAAATGTAATAATATTATAAGAATAATTTAAAGTTAAACAATTTAATATTTGAATCTTGAAAGTAAAGATCGTGCAAAGTAAAGAGTAAAATTTTTAAAGTTAAAAATAGAAAAAAAGGTTACATTTATAAAGTATAATAAATATTTTTTGAATATTTATGTCTAAGTTTCAGTTGACACAGTTTTAATATTGTTTAAAATCACTACGAGTTGTTTTACCTATTGTTCCACCTGTTAATTTATAAGGTATAATAAATATTTTTTTAATATATATATTATAATATTTTAACTATTGATTGAAAAAATATTATAAAAAATCTAAGTTTCAGTTGACACAGTTTTAATATTGTTTAAAATCGCTGAGTTGCTTTACCTATTGTTCCAATATATAATTTTTGAATATTTATATTATAATATATTACCTATTGATTGAAAAAATATTATAAAAAATCTAGGTTGCAGTTAACACAGTTTTAATATGGTTTAAAATCTGTACGAGTTGTTTTACCTATTGTAGAATATATTAAACCCCCTTTAAATCTCCTCTTTCCCTTGCAGTTGAGACGCTGCCTGCATGTGACCTCCAGTCTGGACAAGTCGGTCTCCTTCCACCTCAGCGACATTGGCGAGGGCATTCGCGAGGTGACCGTCAAGGAGTGGTTCGTGAAAGTGGGCGACACCGTGGAGCAGTTCGACAACCTTTGCGAGGTGCAGTCGGACAAGGCGTCGGTGACCATCACCAGTCGCTACGATGGCAAGATAACCAAGCTGCACCACAAGATCGATGAGATTGCCCTGGTTGGCAAGCCTCTGGTGGATTTCGATGTTCAGGATGAGGAGGGCGATGAGGCAGAGGACACATCTTCCTCCTCTGAGAGTTCTGCCAGCGAAACGGAGCGGGAGAAGGCCACTGGAGCAGTTGCCACCTCCACTGGTGGTCGTGTCATCACACCCGCCACGCCCTCCGTTCGCCGCCTGGCCAAGGAGCACCAGTTGGACCTGGCCAAGGTGCCGGCGACGGGCAAGAATGGTCGTGTGCTTAAGGGCGATATCCTGGAGTTCCTAGGACAGGTGCCTCCGGGCACCAATGTGCCGCATCCCACACTGGTGGCCAAGAAGCCGGAGGCTTCTGTAGCTGCTCCAATTCCAGTGCCCGCCGATCGCGTGGAGGTGCTCAAGGGAGTGCGCAAGGCCATGCTGAAGTCGATGACGGAATCCCTGGTGAGTGATTTACTCAGATTTAGGTTCTGAAATCATTTAACCAACAATCTCCCCTAGAAAATCCCGCACTTTGCATACAGCGACGAGATCGACATGACCCAGCTGGTGCAGTTCCGCAGCCAACTGCAGGCGGTGGCCAAGGAGCACGGTGTGCCCAAGCTCACATTCATGCCCTTCTGCATCAAGGCCGCCAGCGTGGCTTTGGCCAAGTATCCCATTGTTAACAGCTCGCTGGATTTGGCCAGCGAATCGCTGATCTTCAGGGGATCGCACAACATCAGCGTGGCCATCGATACGCCACAGGGTCTGGTGGTGCCGAATATCAAGAACTGCCAGGCGAAGAACATCATCGAGATAGCCAAGGACCTGAATGCACTGGTGGAGCGCGGACGCACTGGCTCGCTGTCCCCGTCGGACTTTGCCGACGGCACCTTCTCGCTCTCGAACATCGGAGTTGTGAGTACAAGTCGCTCGATTATGGGGCATAAATAATGATAAATCATCTGGTAAACCTTTCAGATTGGCGGCACCTACACGCACCCCTGCATCATGGCGCCCCAGGTGGCCATTGGGGCGATGGGCAGGACCAAGGCGGTGCCGCGCTTCAACAACAAGGACGAGGTGGTCAAGGCGTACATAATGAGCGTCAGCTGGTCCGCCGACCATCGCGTCATCGATGGCGTGACCATGGCCAGCTTCTCGAACGTCTGGAAGCAGTATCTGGAGCAGCCGGCCCTCTTCCTGCTGCACTAGGCTGCCCGAAACTAAAAGCTAACTCCCACGGATAAGGCTGTTCACCCGATGCATTTATCTAGACATATCTAACTCTGTAAATTGTACGACAATCCGTTTTGGTCCGGAGCAAGTGCCATGTGCCGCCGCCCATCCCCGAAATGTGCATTTATAGGAGGCAAGCTGCTCTGAGCGGCTCCTCGATTACTTTAAGCTCCTGGCGCACATGGCTGGCCCTCCGTCTACCTTTGTCTTTTTTTTTGTTTACCCGCATTTATATATCAGTTTTTTCGTAGTTTGATAAGCAGCAGCTTTAGCGTACAGTTCAACTGTAGTGTGTGCATTTATTTTAAAGCTTTGTTTTAATGGCTGTCCAATAAATATCCCAAACGGTTTATGTGAAGCTCCCCCCTCCATTCTTTTGCATGTGAATTTTCCCGGAACCCAAGTGAGTTGTAAAATATTTGTAATTGGCTTACAACTTTGTCTTTGTGGCTGGTATCCTTTAAAACGGGAATTAGGGGAAGTTCATTTGATGTGGCTGATGTTCTGAAAATCTCTGGAGCTCAGATTTAATAAATTGTAAAATATTTACTTGTAATGCCCTGGAAATTGTAATTATTTTTTTAAATTATTCGTATTGATCTATGTATTTTTAAAAAATGAACCCATAACTCACGCATGTTTTTGAGAACGCTTTTCCGTTAAACTCGCATTACTCGCCATGCGGGTATGTGTAGATACACGCTTTTCAACTCTGTTTTGCTGCAGGTTTAATTTAATTTGAGCATCCATTTGGTTCCGTTGGCTCCGCTCAGCTACTCCAGGGCCACCAGAAAGACCAGCTCACGTTACTATCCATGTGCCAGCGATATCTCAGTGAAATATGGCCAAAAGTGTAGCCAAAAAATAAAGCCATGTATACAAATGATGTTCCGGGTTCTTATACAGGTTGAATTTTACTTTACAATACTGCAAAAATTATCCTTAATATTTTTGTGTTCCTTTCTTTAAATAATTATATGGCCAAGTTATGGAACCCACTTTTTGTGAGTCATATTTTGCATATTTTATAGCATCTATTTTTCAGTCTTATCAATGTCGTATACTAAGGATCTTATTTATTTAACAGAAGAACGTTATTCTAAGAAGAATTTGCATAAATTCAGGGTTAGTTCAGTGAAATCTAAAAACTAAATAAATAAACTAGAAAACTAGAAATATTTTGACATCGGCAAACAATTTTATATTAAAAATCTCTGTGAAAGGTGTCTAGGTGGACTTAGAACAATTTATAGATCAACTTTTAAACACTTTTTGATGTTGTTTCGAAGTTCCAGAGATTTCTGTAACCATTAAGCGACTCTACAAAAAAAGCTAGTACCTTAAATAAAAAGCTAAACTGTCATTACCAAAATAGCGACAACTTTAACGTGCGGGACATGCGCATTGTTCACCATTCGACGAGAATCCAACAAGTGCGGCATGGAAATACCGTTCGTCCCACTTCGTGTCACTTCGTCTCGCCTCGTGCCACTCGCAACGGCACACTTCCAGCCCCCAGAGCAGAGGAATTTCAACACCACCACACACATTGCAGTGGCGCCCGAGCAGGGACAGGGTGAAAGGTAATGGGGGAATGGGTTCGGTTGGCGTCCTTTGGCTTAGCTGCTTGGCTCGATGGCTAGAAAATTCAGTCACACCACGGCCAGCGCGCAGTTAGCTACAGAGAAAGGAAAGCAGGAGCCACAGGACACAGAGCTCCTTCGTCTGCAACTGACCACGAGAGCTGAGCAAAGAGGAGCCTATATATTCCTTTTTTTTTGCTGTTTGTACAATAGAATCGACATAAATACAGTGATTGTCCAGTGAATATTTTATATTAGTGGGTGCTACGCCATGTCAACAGAATGCAACGCCCTGATAGTAGAACTACCTTTAATTAACTGAGGAAACAACAAACAATAACTAGTGAACTAAGGTAAGTGGGCTCTAAAAAGTAAAAGAAATTCCCCGAAAATGAAAAACTCCATTGGGTATGAGGTATAAGGTATAAGATATAAGTGTGTATGCGGTATCATTGTTGTTTCTATTCCGCTCTCGAGTGTGTATTTTTTTTCGTTCTTAACGATTTTTCCAGTGACCTTGTTGCGTACGCCAGAACGTACGCGAGTGTGTGTGTGTGTGTGTGTCATTGCTGCTTAGCCTTGTCCTCCCCCTTTTCGTCCACATTCCGCATACACACGCATACACATCTGTGTGTGTTGTTTCTGCGCATATATTTTGGGGCCAAAAATTCGGTAGCATACTTTTCAGCACCGAACTCGGAATTTATGCGGGAGTTTTCGGGGACGAAAAACCGACATCCAAGGCATTTCACTTAGCATATTGCTTGTTCCCGGGTTTTTGCATTCCATGTACTTAATACACACAGCCACAGCTGCGGTCAAGATAATAGGCCCGAAAAAACATGTACCCCCAAATTGACTCGGCTAACTTTATCTATGTGTGTACTCTCACAATGTACAACCATTATGGCCATCATATAGGGGTAGTTCCACGACACTTCCAATTAAGAACAATTATAGAGATGACTAATTGAAAGCCAGATAGCAAATTGAGGTTAAGCTGCGCCAGATATTTAGGATGAATTATAGATACTATAAGAAATACTATGTTCTAAGTTCTTATCATAAAATCTCTAAATTAATATTGACAGAATGGAATATATAATTTAAAATATATTTGGTAAATTAAAATAAATCTAAAATATTAACTAGATTTAATCTGAGATCTTTAACATTAAAAATACAATCGTTAGAACCAAATCAGTTTCGGAAGTCTTAAATTATGCAGTGCTATGGCTCTGAGCGCCATCGTATTTCGCCCGGGGGAATGTTGATACCCGAATGATAAGACCATTGGGCATCAGCATTTGTGGCCTGGCCTTGATGTACGACTGTATCTATGTGCGTACTGTGCTGATGATGTGGCTTTGGCTTGTTGTCAGGGAATGCAATTGCCGAGCCCTTTATTGATTTTATGATACCATGGCTAGAAGGACCACCATCCACCGCCCACCGCCCACTGCCCCGCCCCCGGCAGTGGCACGTGCAGAACAACAAAACAAGCGGGGCAACAACAAGTCATTCACACCACCGGAGTGTGAGATGCAGATGGAAACAAAAAAAAAAAAAGAAAACATAAAAAAATGAAGTAGGAGCTTGTGGGTGTTGGATGGAAATTGCAAAGGCAGATAGACAGACAGACAGGCTGCCCGCCCACTTTAAGTGGCTTGAGTGGTGGCAGGAGAGCTTTTACAAGGGAAAATGCACCACAATCCCTTCTTCAAACGCCCCCCAGCTTCCTGGGGCCTTTCCCTTTTCATCGTCACGCTTAATTCAGCGAAGAAATTCCATTGCATTCCGTTGAGCGCCTCATCCTAAGGCGCTTTGCACGACGATAAGGCGGAATTGGGCCCCTAGCCACACGTCGAGAAACGCTTTATTTCCTTTATCCCAAGTCCGATTGTTATGGACTCTCATTGTGAGTCGCTAAGAACAGACATACAATACGTATAGTTCCTGTCTGAGTTTCTCTCCTTGTAAATGTACGTTTTATTAGAGGTAGGATACTACAATCTTGTGTTTTAATTGTTTGAGTTGACTTGCACACTTGTATATCTTCAATTTACGATATCTCCAAGCATCTTTCATGTTTGAAAAGCTTAAAGCATAGTGGATTCCACTCCTTGTATGTGTATACTATGTATTCTGTGGTGATAAATTGCGATAAGACCATTACCGCTTTGAGTTGACCACAAAGTCTCAAGTGGCTGGTGAGAAATTGGTTCGGCGCCAATTAATAGGCCTTTTAGGAAGTGTGTTCTTGGGGCACTTGAAACCACGCAATCACGCGTCACATCTCCGATTGCGATTTTGATTCTGATGGCGGATGATTTCATAATACGCACGCTGTCACCGAAGTTGAACATTTTTCGGTTAATGACAGTTTCGCTCTTGTCCCCGTTACTCTGGACTATTTTTAACCTCAGTCGGATGGGAAGTAGGAATGGGTATTGGGATTGGAATGCCTGTCACGTCCAGGCTGATGTCATTTCACGGAGTCTGCGGTCTGAGGATGGTAGCGGTATGGGTATGAGTATCCTCCTCCAAATGGCATCCCTTCAATGGGTTTAATTCGCGGGGGTTGCAACTGTAGCCTTGACATGATTCGCCCGGGAAACTTTTCCAAGTCCTAAGGAATGAGAAAAAGGGTTAGGGTTTCACGATTGTCCAGCTCAACTTTCAAGCAGTTTTTATTACATGACTTTGAAAAGCAGAATCAACATTTAGAGGTCCTATTTATATATAGGGGTATTATATAAATATATAAATACTTGACTTATTCAGAATGTATGAATCCTGTGAATGAAGGGAAATTAAATTCTGATGGATGTTGATTCTGACGTTTTGTCCTTGGGGCAAATTCCACGTGGCGAATTACCGAGGGATCCGCATGCCAAGTGCGCTAAATTGGCATTCCTTTCCTTGGACCCACACCCACAGTAGATTTTTGCCACCTCAAGACCCAACTCACTCCCGCTGACGTCAATGGGGATTTTCAATTTGTGATTGGGCACTTTAAAGTATTTCTGCTTTGACATTCAATTTATTCGACCTGGCTTTGTTTGCCATCGCCACCCTGAAGCTCAGTGGGTCTCCATCCCGATTAGTTTGCCAATGGCAAGGTCACGAGCCAACAAAGAGAAGGCCACCGGGTTGACTGACTGACTTTAACCCGAAATCTGCGGAGGTCCGAAGGGAGTTGCCATGACTTGATTAATTTGATTCAATAGAGAGAGAGAGAGGCGTGAACTTGAAAGTCATCTACTTGAAGCAACATTAAGCTCAAGATATATCCCTATTAGCAACAAGGTCCTACAAAAGTGTCCCTGAAGGGGTATTTCACTTTTTAATAAGCAGTCCTAATGACTCTAGCCTTGAAAGTCTTTAGCATGCAACAGTCCTTGGATAAATAATCCCTGCTGCCATGGCAACTCATGTTTTCCCATTTCCATTTCCATTTCCCCTCCTGCCTTCCGATGACAGCAAACACCATCCAGGATGTCGGACCAGCAGAAAGCCTCCCTGTGTCCCCGGCTGGTGGACTACATGGCCATCGTGGGTGCCCACACGACGCCTCCGATGCCGAAAGGACTGCAGGGCCTCAAGGCCCCGCCGGTGCAGGTAAGTCGGTCATTGATTATGTCCCCTGTTTGATTTACAGCTCTACTTTTTAATGTGACATTGATGGGGGATTTGAAATGTAAGAGAAGGGTTTATAAAAAAAAAAAAAAAAAAATTTAAGCCCTAGACAATACTTGGAAATTTAAAATTATGTTTGTTTAGGATTCACTTATAGCCATTAAATTGGCTGATCAATGTAATAAACTCTATAAGTTTATTATGTTGATGTTACAGACAGCGACACAAAGAATAATGGACGTGTGCCCAATGCAAGAATATGGGTATAGATTATAGATATAATTAGTTAGTGACTTTATAGGAGTAGTAATAACTTTTTTAAATTCTAAAAAAAAGTGTTTTGTTTGATATATATTTTCCAATTATTTCCCCAATAGGTCCCCGATCTGCTGCGTCGCTACCCCCCATCCGACCATGCGGACTTCCCACTGCCCCTGGACATGGTGTACTTTTGCCAGCCGGAGGGCTGCACCAGCGTGGGACCGCGACGCACTGGCTCCGCCATTCGGGACATGACCTCCTTCGTTTTCGCCCTGACCGACAAGGATTCGGGCAAGACGCGGTACGGGATATGCGTGAACTTCTACCGACCCATCGAGCGGCCCAGTTCGGTGGCGGGTTCGGGGGCAGTTGGACAGGATCGGCCGGGAAACGGAGGCCATGCGGGCGGCGGAGGAGCAGGTGGAGCCGGCGGCGGTGGCGGACGAGGCGGCCGGAGATCGTCGGCCTTCAGGCGGGAATCCTGGCGCAAGAGCATGGAACGCAGCTCGGATTCGGCATTTAGCAGGCAAGTGTTGGGTGCCAAGGGGCAAAGAGGGTTCGGGGGTTCGCAAGCCAATGTCAAAGCCCGTCGTCTAACCCGTCTCAAACCATTTCCATAATAGTTACGGCCTCTTAACTTCTTCTAGCGACTACAGAAGTAACGTAGCGCCTAGCGATTCGGACCGTGAACTGACCTCGCGTCGCGATTCGGACCAGCAGCGCCTCCACTCGCACTCGCATTCGCACCACTCCCAATCGCAGCACCACCAGTCGCAGCACCACCAGTCGCACCCGTCGGCGGGTCCGGCGGTGCCCAAGCTGGGACTGATGGCCCCCTCGGCGGACTCGGAGTCCGGCGGCAGCCACTCGCCGTCGCCGCGGGCCTCGCGAAAGCGGACGAAGCTGCGCAACCAGTCGCTCACCTCGCTGTGCATCATCTCGCACCACCCGTTCTTCACCACCTTCCGCGAGTGCCTCTTCATCCTGAAGAAGCTGATCGATGCCTGCAACGAGTCGTCGTCGCCGAAGCGAGTGGGCGCCTCCCAGAAAATGAACCGCGACAATGTGTGGACGGTGCTGACGGGCCATGTCAGCGACGCGACACCCTCGATCGTCCTGCACGATGTGCGCGAAATCGAGACCTGGATCCTGCGACTGCTCTCCACGCCGGTTCCGGTGCCGGGATCCACACGAGTCGAGGTGAGTTAGGATCAGTGTAAAAAATTATAGAGCTTGTTTCCACAAAAATATATTTGAAACGCGAATTCTTTAGCTTAAAGATAAGAGAAAAGCAACCATAATTGGTTGTCACTGAAATTAAACACCATTATTAGATTTTATACGCGAATTCTTTAGCTTAAAGATAAGAGAATAGCAACCATGGTTAGTTCATGTCACTGAAATAAAACAACACAATTAGATTCCCAAATATTTTATACGCGAATTCTTTAGCACAAAAATTAGGCAGTATCATGCCACAAAAATTTAACACCATCATTACATTCCTAAATATTTTGTGCGTGAATTCTGCAGAGCTAAGCTTAAATGAAAATGTTGACGCGAATTCTTTAGTTCAAAGATTAAATGACTGATAGCAACCAGGCCACATTACAATTACGCGAATTCTTTAGCTAATATTTAATTGAAATTCTTGAATTCTGCAGAGCTAAGCTGGAATAAAAATGTAAACGCGAATTCTTTAGTTTAAATTGTTTTAGTTTAAATGACTGAAAGTGACCAGGCCACATTACAATTACGCGAATTCTTTAGCTAACATTTAATTGAAATTCTTGATTAAGCCAAATAAAATTATATTTTCCCAGGTGGAGGTGCTGTCGCCGACGGTGCATGAGCCGCTGCTGTTCGCCCTGCCCGACCACACTCGCTTCTCGCTGGTGGACTTCCCGCTCCACCTGCCACTGGAGCTGCTCGGCGTGGAGACCTGCCTGAAGGTGTGGACCCTGATCATGCAGGAGAACAAGGTGCTCTTCCAGTCACGCGACTACAACGCCCTCTCCATGTCGGTCATGGCATTCGTCACTATGCTATATCCGCTGGAGTACATGTTCCCTGTCATTCCGCTCCTGCCCACCTGCCTGAGTTGTGCGGAGCAGCTGCTACTGGCGCCCACGCCCTTCGTCATCGGGGTGCCCGCCTCGTTCCTGGTCTACAAAAAGAATTTCAGGTGGGATATTATTCCGGGAATTTTGAGATATAAAACTGATTTTCTCTTCTTCACTTTTCAGGCTACCGGATGACATTTGGGTGGTCGACTTGGACTCCACCAAACTGACGCCACCGACTGGTGGCTACGAGGAAATACCACCGCTACCTGAGCCCGAGGGCACCATTCTGAAGAACCACCTCAAGCAGGTAAGCCACAGAACCTCGCCCATAAACCGCTGTATATAACCTGATCTCCAAAATCTAATGGATGTAATCAAAGTTTTTCAATTTTGGAAATTCACCATTAAGAGAAAAAATTAAAAATGGTCCTTCAACATTTTTCGCAGGTGATTATTTGATAGGCTTTGGGCTTTTTTTTTTGGTGTGGCACAATGTAATTTGAATGATAAAATTTGGTTAGGCAGTTCAATGCAGGTTGTCCAGGGTAACCTGGCAGTTCTTGAGGAGATCGCTGCAGTGGTCGTAGAGAGCGTTGTCCAGTTGCCGCATCTCCTGCTCCTTGTCGCCGTCGAGGAAGCGCTTCAGCTTGTCCACCTCGTTGCGCATCTTGAAAACGATACCGGGCAGCATGCCCTGGGCCTTCTTCACCACCTGCTCCTGCACCTGCAGCCGCCGCTCGTTGGCTCCCTCGCAGCGGAAGCGCTCGAGACGCTGGACCTCCAGCTCCCGCTCGTGATCGTAGTGAGACTTCTGCTCCATCAGGTGCTCCAGCAGGGCCCGGTAGACGATCAGTTGCTCCAGACGCGGATCCGTGTAGACGTTCTCCTTGGGATGGCGCTGGAATCGCAGCTTGGCCTCGTGACGACTGTCGTTGGCCTGCACGGCCGACATAAGGGCGATGTGCGGACTGTACATGGCTCTAAGCGACCAACAGCTCGACTGGGGGAAATATATAGGCGACAAACTCGGGCGAGTGAGTGAGAGTTATTCGAATGGGAGTCAGGCTAGGACAAACCAAGTTTCGATTTGAGGGAAGACTCAAAGCCTTCTGATGCCCTAAAGTTTCAACTTACAAACTTTTTCAATGGCGCCCGAGCAGGGACCCTGGTTATACCACTCTTCTACAAGAAATAACAAAAAAAATGTCGTTTTTTAACCGTAACAATGAAAATATTGATCCAAATATGGATTGTCATACCTCTCTGAATTTGTTATTAATTTTCCAATCGATTGGCATTTAAGCCTGGTCATTTTATTTTTTGGCCATTTTTCGCAAAAATTATGATGTACCCCCTTATAAAAAAAATTGAAAATTGGCGAAAATTTTATTTTTTCAAAATTACACGGAAAGTGCTATGGATTTATTTATTATTTTGTTATCTGTTCACAACAGTACGTATTTTTGGTGTAGGACCATTTTTGGCCAAGTTACAGCAAAAAAACAAACAGAAAACACACAAACTTTTACCAAAAACCCAGTTCTCCATTTTTCACAAAAAAGTAATTCCTTTTTTGACCGTAACAAAGGAAATATTTATCGAAATGTGGATTGTAATACCTTCCTAAACTCGTTATTAAATTTCCAATCGATTGCCATTTAAACCTGAACATTTTATTTTTTGGTAATTTTTCGCAAAAAATTATGTGCGAATCCACGGGAGGTTATATATCACCCCCCCTGAGGTGAAAAAGAAAGGAATCACCCCCCACAACAAAATCCTAGGTCCGCCACTGTTACAAAGTGATTAAATTTGTATTCAAAATGAAATGGTGTAGCTTTAGAATAAAAATAATATAACTTTAAAGTCAGGTGAATTTCCAGAATTTGAAAAACGTATGTTTATCTTTAGGTACTGCTTGCTAAGCGGTTCCCACATTTTCCGTTCCACAAAACGCTATAAATACTCGTGTCACACAACTGGTTCAAGGCCAGAGGCGCTTTTCCATGTCTATTTAACCGATGTTACCCGACAAATGTTTCTGCTCTTGGAAATAATTACCTAATGCAGATACATGAAAAAGCTGCGGTTACTCATCGTAGCTATCGTTATCGCTGTCATATAATCGTTATCATTCAACATTGGTGTGATTGTTTTCAATTCGAATAATATATCTAACTATCTTCGGATTTCTGTGGTCTGTCACAGGGCAAATATCAAAAGAGCACCTCAGCGATATTTTAATTTATTTAAATTTTTAATCCCATTGACAAATCTCCTCGAACACTTGTACAACTCTATATCTCTCTCTTTCTTTCATTGTGTTCTTTTATTGTGTACTCACTGCCTCTCTTTCTGCCTATCGATGTGTGTCCATCTCTGTCTCTACTCTAATGCTATACTTTTGACACTCATGCATTATCTGTTATATGAAATTTGTTATACTCGATCACAACTTTACCTACAACAACAACAACTACTACTACTACAACAACAACAACAAATCGTATAACAACAACAACAACCTCGGCAGGCTATGCTATTGATGGATGAAGCTGGACTTGGTGTAAATATCGTTCGCAAAAGTGTTACCTACGTTTGGTTTATCGTTTATCGTTATATTTGAGTTGAAACCGTTTGTACATACTAAACATAATCCATAAATGATATACTACTAACTATATGTGAATAATCGTATACGCAGATGTACTTGACATAGAACATAGAAATAACCGCATGCACAGTCATTCTACATAGACGTAAAAGGCCTATTCTAAATGTTGAACTTCAGTCTGAAGCGGAGATCGTATAAAGGGTTTCCGATTAGCTAGGTCTAGGTTTTCCTAAAGATTCTATCACTTTCTCTACCTATCAGTCGCTGTCCTTAGTGTTATGTGTTTCGTGTGCATGCCCTGTCAGTCTCTCTCTTTCTCCCCCTTGTTTTCCAACTTCTATAACCATCTGAGTATCTAACTTACTAACTGAAGTGGCCTTACGCCCCCAAAAAGCTTTCCGAACCCCCCTCCAAATATTATAGTTAGCCAAGTTAAAGTCCTAATTTAGTTGACTAGTTTTGAGGTTAACCCTGCTAATTGCTTTGAATGGACTGTTCCACAGGCACTTACCTCGATGACGTCCACCAACACGGCGGTGTCCTCGCAACAGCTTTTGCCATCGGTACGGGATAGTCTCCAGGAACCACCATTGCTGGGGTAAGTGTTCAATCAACCTTTTGGGTTAGATTCCTCTCTCTTTGTCCGTTATTTCTTGTCCGTTAGTTATTTTTCGTTACTTCTTGTCCGTTACTACTTGTCCGTTACTTCTTGTCCTTTATTACTTGTCCGTTAGTTCTTTTTCGTTACTTCTTATTTCCTTATTTCATGTGAATGAAAATTAAGCTAATCTCTTAATTTTTTTCTGTTTTTCTGACTTGCCAACAGTGTTTCCCAGGTGCGACTTCCGCTTCAGACGCCACCCCATTCGGCGCAGGCCAGTCAAAGGAACTCGATGTCGGCCCAAGGAACGATTAGTTCCCGTCAGCCCAGTCCGATGAACTCGCCCGCGCTCAATCCATTCGTTTACGGCACGGATGTCGATTCCGTGGACGTGGCGACGCGAGTGGCGATGGTCCGGTTTTTCAATGCCCAAAATACACTGGCCAATTTCGCCGAGCACACGCGTACATTGCGCCTGTATCCGCGACCCGTGGTCGCATTTCAGATAAACAGTTTCCTACGCTCCCGGCCGAGGGCCTCGCAGTTCCTGAATCAATTCGCCCGGACGCAGGCGGTGGAGTTTCTGGCCGAGTGGTCGCTAACGCCCACGAATGTGGCCTTTCTGCGGGTTCAAACCGGGGTCATGGACCCCATGCAGGTGGGCGATAAGCCCAAGTGGTTCGCCCACTCCCTGACCCCCATTCGATTCTCGGTCTGGGACGATGGCAGCTCGCTGAACGGAGCTCTGCGATCGCTGAAGCAGCTCGAGTGCCAGCCGACGGACGAGAGTGGCTCGGATTCCGAGGGAGCGGACAGCAGCAGCTCGTCGTACAGTTCGCTCAGTGACTTCGTCTCGGAAATGGCCTCCTCGGATCTGTCGCCCAGCCTGCACGATGTCTTCGGCTCGTACAATCGACCGCATGTCGTCCCGCAGACCCTGTCCTCCAATTTGGATCCCGCACTGGTTTACCATCCGCCCAGCAAGCTGCAGTACCCGGAGGGCATTGCCGATGCGGCGGCCAGCAAGGAGGAGGAGGACGAGGAGCGAGCCGATAGCCCCGTTTCCTCATCCTCCAGTCGCTCCGATCTGAGTTCGCCCAGCTTTAATCGCGATTCGGAATTTGATTTCCAGCCAAAGGGATCAGCAACTGGTGGTGGCGGAGGAGCAACTGCACCCAGTTTCGAGTTGGCCACACCGCTGGCCATGCGGCTGGAGGCCACCATCAAGATGGCCAGCATCGAGCAGGAATCGGACACGGGATCCACGGTCACCGGCAAGAGCATAGCCACCGGTTCCAAGCTCCAGAGACATCCCAGTGATTCCGAGCGGCCCGAGAAGAAGATACCGGTAAGAATAGATCGTCTATATCATATATCATAATATATATATTCGCATTTTCAGCCACCGCTAACGCCACCGGTGAAGCAGCCGGGTGTGAGCAATATTCTCGCCCGGACCGGCAGTTCCGGCTCCAGTTCGAGCAGTCCCGGTCGCCAGAGTTCCCAGAGCTCCCTCTTCGAGAACTTTGCCTCCCATGCCAAGGAGTTGGTGCGGGAGACGACGCGGCAGAGCAGCCAGGAGGGTCTACTGGCCCACGTGGACAAGGTGAGCTTAATCCGGGGTTCCTGAACCTTCCCACTGGGTTTTCCAACTCGATGTGCTGTCGTTGTACTCTGATCGTTGATCTGTTTTTCTTTCCTTTCCTTTCTTTCCGTCGTCTACGTGATTCATTTGATTATTTCTTCTTTCTTTTTCTGTTATTTTTTTTTTTTTATTTTTTGCCTTGGCGGTGTTGCGTTGGTTAATTGAACCTGATATGAATGTACCGTACTGTAGCATGCGCTGGACGAAGATCTTGACGACAAAATGCGTCATACCTTCGAAAAGGTTGGTACTCCCGCCGCACTTTCCCATCCCATCCATCCAGAAACGATCCACCCACGCTATCATACATCGCCCAAATCTAATACCATTTCTCTATTCATCACACTGCACTCTACATACACTACATTTCATTAACTGAACAACGTGAGTTTTGTATTCAACTTGATACGTTCTAGAATTCTAGATTCTAGAATACAAATACTTTCTAAGGATTGCCCTAAAGTTTATATTATATACTAAGTAATAAACCACTTATCACCGACACTACCGTTTCACCACCCATACTCAATCCTTCCCCGAAGCATCCCACCATCCACATCCTCACCGCACCCTTCCGCTGATCTTCTCACGGGATCCGTAGTGCCATTGTAGAATTGCTTAAAAGTAGACCTCAATCTGGTACTTCGTGGGGTTGAGCTTTGACCTAGGCGATTGTGTAGACTTCCAATCCACCTTCCCTAAGACTTGAAAACTAATACCAATTCGATTTTGGGATCCATAGTTCACGCTGCACGCCAAAAAGGCGGCCGGAGAGGCTTCGAAGCAGGCTCTGGAGGTCTCCAAGCAGGCGGCTGGGGTGAGCAAGAACACGCTCGAGGATCTCACCTATGTGGGCAAGTCGACGCTGGGCGATCTCACCAAGACGGCCAAGGAGGCGGCCACCAAGAAGGGCATCATCAAGATCGAGGAGCATTCGATGGCGGTGGCCAATGCTCCGCCGCCCAAGTCACCCGGCTCCCAACTGGCCACCCACAAGCAGGTGCAGCAAAGTGGCGGTTCGGGCGGTGGCAACAACTTCTTCTCCTCGATTGGCACCGATTTCAATGGTCTAGCCTCATCCACATCCACCATGTTTTCGGGCATGTTTGGCAAAAGTAAGTTACAATCATATCTTTTCTAGCTACTCGAGAAATAACCCAATCCCATTTGCAGAGAACCAACAGAAGCAGGTTCCCATGCCACATAAGCCGGCTAGCGTTTCCGCGGGAAAGGGCAAGACGGGCATTAACTTCGATCCATTTCCCGGACGCAAAGGACTCGTGGAGCGGACACCGTTGATTAAGCACTCGGGACCGAGGCAAACGCAAGAGGAGCTGACCCGCCAGCAAAACCAGGAGCGTTCGCATAGTAATGCCGAGAACCAGACCTTCCTCAAGGACGTCACCAACCAGGTGCTCGCTGGCGAGGGAGTCGGTTGGCTGAAGCTCAATCGGTTCAAGAAGCTCATGGAGGACGAGTCCTATCGCACGCTGGTCCTCAGCAAGCTGAACAAGACGTTGGACAAGAAGATAGCTCCAGATGATCACATTGACGATGTGGTAGGTTCACTTTCACTGGGAGATCTTCTGGGGATCTGGGAAATCTTCTGGAAATCTGGAAGATCTTCTGGGGATCTGGGAGATCTTCTGGGGATCTGGGAAATCTTCTGGGAATCTGGGAGATCTTCTGGGGTTCTGGAAGATCTTCTGGGGTTCTGGAAGATCTTCTGGGGATCTGGGAGATCTTCTGGGGATCTGGGAGATCTTCTGGAGATCTGGGAAATCTTCTGGGAATCTCGGAAATCTTCTGGGAATCTGGGAGATCTTCTGGGGACCTGGGAGATCTTTTGGAGATCTGGGAAATCTTCTAGGAATCTGGGAAATCTTCTGGGGTTCTGGAAGATCTTCTGGGGATCTGGGAGATCTTCTAGTAATCTGGGATATCTTCTGGGCATCTGGGAGATCTTCTAGGAATCTAGGGATGGTTACTAACACTAAGGTGACTAACCACCATGCTTATCATTACAGTGCGTGACGAAACCCGTTTGGAAGGGCATGCTCAAGTGCGTCCAGGCGATAGCCGGCGGATTGGACGTGACCTTCTCGAACTTCGGCCTAGGCGGCATGGCCTCTGTGTTCCAACTGATGGAGGTGGCGCACACGCACTACTGGAGCAAGGAGATAAACGAGGGCAGCGACATGTCCTCCAGCCTGCTCTCCAGTCACGCCGCCAGTCCGATGGGCAGTCGGGAGAACCTGCGATCGCCCAGCTCACCAAACGGTTCCCATGGTTCGGCTTTGGGCAGCGAGTGGGCCTCACCGCAGGAGTCACGAAAGAGCTCCACCCAATTGCCACACGGTGGTGGTCCGGGTGGCTCGCATTCGGGAGCTCCGGTCAATCGACGGCTGTCATCGGCGGACAGCCAGGATGGCCAGTCAACCACCGAGATGTTCAAGGACATGCTGTCGCAGAAGAGAAGTGCCTTGAAGAACATGCTCACCTCCTTCGACTCGGATGTAAGTAGTGTAGTTCCGTTCCATGTAGTTGCCACCCAGCCATTTAGATCCGTCCACATTCCGCATTCTCAGCTTGCCAAAACCAATCCTGTATATCCCATATAGCCCAGTGTATATATCGTATATCGTATCGTATCGTAGAATCGCTTATCAGCATCTCAGTAAATAGCTAAATCCAGTATATATCAGTATGTCGCATCGCGAGTGTCAATCGATGTAGTCTGCCGATCCACCCACTATATTTAGACCCGCCCACATCCCGTACCGCCTTCTAGCCGATTGTAGAGCTCTCTAACACTCCGTGTGTGTAATTCGTAGGCCGCTGGCTCCACGGGGGCGCTTTCCGTTGTCAGTCTGGGCGTTCGCTTGCCCTCCAGCTGCAGGTCCACGGTCTCAGACACCGAGTACGAAAATGTAAGTACCCCAGAGGTTTAAAAACAAAAAAGAAACACTGAAGGAATAGTTGCACTACTTTGAATATGTAATCTGAAATCGGACAAAACCTCCTATATCATGTAAATGACATTTCCCCTATTGAGCTCTGCATAGATCCCTTAATTATGAAAGTCCCTGTCTCTAATTGCGTTAGGTCAAAACAAAAAGATATCAGATCCAATCTAAGCGCACTTTATATTTCCAGACAACCACTTCGAAGGATTCGAAAAAGAGCTCTGGCAATCTGTGGTCCGGAAAGTCGACGCTTAGTGCCGGATTTCGTTATACCGGAGGACACCTGATCAACACCTCGTCGTCGCCCTCGCCGGACAGTCCGCGGGTCTATCTCTTCGAGGGGCTGTTGGGCAAGGATCGCTTGAATCTCTGGAACCAAATGCAGTTCTGGGAGGATGCCTTCCTGGATGCTGTTAGTCAGGAGCGCGATATGATCGGCATGGATCAGGTGAGATTGGTAGAGATCACTTAGGGATTTTTTATTTAACTTTTTTTTGATCGCAAGGGTCCCATTGAGATGATGGAGCGCTACAAATCGCTGAGCGAATCGGAGCGAAAGCGGCTTGAGCACGATGAGGATCGCTTGCTATCTACGATGCTCTACAACCTGACGGCCATCCTGGTGATGCTGAATGTCACCAAGGACGAGATCCGACGCAAGATTCGTCGCCTTCTGGGCAAGAGTCACATTGGCTTGGTGTACTCCCAGGAGGTGCACAATGTGGTCGATCAGATCAATAATCTGGTAGGTTAAGGAAGTTTTTGTATCGAAAAAGTACAATATAATATGTCTTCCTTGCAGAATGGCAATGATATTGACCTAAAGCCCCTGGGCTCACGACTGCTACATCGCCAGAGCTTCACCGTCCACCAGGGCACCGATGTGAATGGACCCCTGCGATTCATGGAGGTGCGGGACGATGGACTGGTGCTGCGATCGGTGGACGGCACCATTGTGGAGCGCTGGTGGTACGAGCGGCTGGTCAACATGACCTATTCGCCCAAGACCAAGCTGCTCTGCCTGTGGCGCCGCAATGGTGGTCAGACGCAATTGCACAAGTACTACACGAGAAAGGTGGGTTTAACCGGGATAACTGAGATATGCTGGGGATACGAATGACCTTTTGCCATGACCTTAGTGCAAGGAGCTGTACAACTGCATCAAGGAGGCCATGGAGCGCGGCGGTACGCCCACCAATGTGCCCGAACTGGGCGGCGAGTTTCCGGTTCAGGACATGAACACTGGGGAGGGCGGTCTGCTGCAGGTGTGCCTCGAGGGTGTCGGTTTGTTGTTCTCCAACAGCAAGGTGAGTCATGATCATGATCTATATCCCCATTAACACTTGGCGCATACACACAAAACATATTCACCATATGGTAAACGTAAACACCCGAAACTCATACACACACAACCAACCAGCTTCATCTCCGCTCCGAATGCCTCAAACTACTAGTATTCGTTGTTTTTTTTTCGTACACCACTCCTCATCAAGCAAAGCATATATTTCCCAAAACAAACTTCCCTAACCAGATCCATTGTTGATTGAGTACAGATACACTGTAATCTCATGATAATCCTCCCAACTTCGAAACATATCCGAAAGACCTTGAAATTGTTAGCTTGTTGTTTGGGTCACCAAACAAACAGCGAATAGAGTGTAGAGTGTGAATGGTGTTGATCTGGGTCACCCAACCAATGGAACACCAGATCCCGATCCCAAAAGTAATAATGGGATTAACAGAATAGCGAAAACATTGGGTATCCGTGTTCTGAAAGCACCAATAACGATCTGGGTCACCCACTCGATTGCGATGTCGATCCAACACGAAGGCTATACTCGTACATATTCGCGTCTATCTGTCCAGATATCGATACATACTCCCACTGCCTTCGTTTCAGTGTTTCGTTTCCAGTCGTTACGTTTCGTTTCCATTTGGTTACTCTTTCTTTTTGTTTTCCGTCTAGCTTTCTTTGGTTTCCTTTCCTTACGATATATTTCAGTTCGATCGATTTCCGATGATTTCCTTGTTGTGTGTGTGTATCGACTGCATCAAGATCAAGGACCCTCTCAATATACATCTATATGTATAAATATATATATTTATAAATTGTGTTTGGTTTTCAGTTTATGCTTTTCCGAAATGTCTAATGTAATAGTAATGTGAATGAACCACAGGCACAGATTTTAAGGAGACTCGTGTAGGTCCGCGCAAGTCTGTCCCCGAAGGAAAAAACCGTGTCTGTAATCGAATCTGAACTTGAGTATCAGAACATGGTTGCATTTTCCAGGCCGAAATGGCCTGGAGTTAGAGTTTCATCGCCGCCTGTACCGTTTCTTTTCGGGTCTTTTCATTTGTTAGCCACAACCGGAATCCGACTCCACCTATCCAACTACCCAAGCTAAACCCAACTACGTATTATATTTTACCGATCTCTATCTATCTCTCTCTCTTTATCTGTCTGTCTCGCTCTAAGTCTTTCGTTCTTTGGCTTTGGTTTTGGCATTTTATTTTGACTCGCCTTCTTTAATATCTACTTATATTATTCCTAAGTCATTATATAATCCACAAAAAATTGAAAAATCAATCGAATCTTTTATCTTATCAAATTTCTAATCGATCAAGTGAAAGTATATATGAACAAATAAATATATATATGCAGAAAAAACCATCTATATCATACCCATATATTGTGCTAGTGAATGTACTGAATGCTGTATTCATTATACTCTCTATTTTATTTATTACCTAACCGATTCAATGATAACGCCATCAAAACCAATAGCAGAAGAAAAATAAGATATCCCGATTCTCCTCTTCATTCTTTTCGATTACGATTACGATTGACATTCTTACGATCCTTACGTTTGATTACTTATACTCACCGTTTGATATGTTGATATTGTCATCTTTATCTCATTTTGATTGTCTTTATTATCGATTACTCAGACTACAAATTACCGATACACGATTACCGATTAGTATCGTTCGTAAGAGTACTGTACTTCATATAGAAAAAAATCGAACTTTGTATGTACCCTCGAAGCACCCACGATTAGAGTGTTCCTCATACCCCCATTAAAATCGATTTACCTCAAGAAAAACAATAACTACAACCAATTTTAAGTGATACCTAAAATAGGTGGCTAATTACATCATAACTTGTCCCTCGTCTTTCTCGATTAGGTTCCATAAAAAATAAATTCCGTATGCCCTTTCTTTTGTTATATTGGCCAAGCTAATTGTTTTCCTGTAAATATATAGAGTTCCCTTCCCCCTTTAATATGGAAAATCTTGACTGCGACACAGGGGCTTAATGAATTCTGGGTTAGGACTAAGATATATTGTTTTATTTTTTTTTTATAGTTTTGCTAATTTTTTTCTTTTAACCTTTTGGAGCTCATATTTGACAAATAAAATTTTCAAATATATATATATATATATTTATATATATGATAAAGAAAAAGCAACGCAACAAAGGAAAAAATGTGAAAAAATAAAAATACAGAGCTAAATAAAAAAGAAGTATTCTAAGCTGGTAACTTTTGAGATGGTCCTTGTGCAAAATCCTCTAAAGTGCTTTGTTTGTTTCGTTTTGAGTTCGATTTTGTTGGTTTTTAAATGATTTCCTGGTTTCCTGTCTCTCTTTTCGCTATTTCTACAAACATATATGCGTATATACATATATAAATAACTTCCTCTTTATATATATATATCTGTCTCTGTCTGTCTCTCTTCTAAATCTAACTCTTTCTCTTTTCCGTGTTATATATGCGATATATAAGAAGTTCTTCGTGAGCTCAGAATTTTCTGCCTTACGCCATTTTCAGTTCCATTGTTCCATTTCAATTCGATTGCGTTCCTTATTTCCTTTTTACTTTTTGGTAGTAATTTCATGCCAAATTTTTTCTTAAGTATGATAACCAAAAACAACAAGTACAAACAACAAATGTAATTTAAGCTATAGTAGTCATGTCCTGCCCCATGATATCTCCACAGTTACCGTTGAAAAGCCGAAAAACCAAAACCGATACCGAAACCGATTCCAAAACCGAAATAGAAAATCCCCAAAAATGTCCCACCGTCTTTAAGCAACCGACTCTAACATAACAACAACAGCAACAACAACCACATTTCATATCGTTTCTATTTAGTACCTACCAAAAAAAAAAAAAATGAAATATACAAAAATAATATAAAAATTCGCCAGCAAATTAGAAATTGAACAGAAAATAAAATGCAACTAAAACATTTGAATGAACAGTTTAAAAAACAGTTTTCTCAACTTTCCTTTTTATAATTTTCTTTGTTGTTTGTTTGATATTCTCTGTCGAACGCGGAACGCTGCACCGTTGCTCGCTCTCCCTCCTTTGTGGACCAACCAAAAATCACGTTCCATATCCGGAACGAACCGAACCGATCCGAAAACGAAACCGAACCGAACCGAATTGAATTGTATTGTTCAAATGATTGGTCTACTTCTCAAACGATAACAAAAACCGCAAACGAAACCCCAAAAACAAAATCAAAATATAACCAAAAATCTATGATAAAACGATCTGAAAATGTCTGAAAAAACGATAAAGGATTTCGAGGTATTGCAATGAACAAATTTCTTGTTATATTTGAACTTAAATTTATAAGCAACTATTGTTCTTTAAATGCCCTGCTATCCACTACCCTTCCCTCTTCCCCATCCTCATCCACCCACTGAACCCACTGCCCTTTTAAAAAAATAAAAATAAAAGAAAAATAGAAAATATATTTTAGTTTGCGTTGCTCTTGAGTTTTACCTTGGACTCTTTTGCGTTCATAACACCTGATTTAATATTTCACTTTCACCCGCCCAAAAAAAGGTAAAAACCAAAAAAGTATACAAAATAATCTGATATGGCATTAAACAGTTAAAAAAAAAACAAAACAAAACAAAAACCAAAAATTTGTAGTTGATATTGAATTTAAACCGCAAATAATATATATACCATAATGTATATTATTTACCCATATCTTTTGTGTTATGATCTCTATCTCTATCTCTCTCTCTCTCTCTCTGTCTCTCTAACCCAACTGAGATTTTCGTTTTTGAACTGTTGGTTGATTGATTGGTTGGTTGGTTTGTTTGTTGAATTGAATTGAACTTGATTGAATTGAATTGAAACTGAGCCGTACACTTTGTATACCTTAATGCCGATTACCGAATTAAAATTGTTGATTACTGTTATTGATTACCAGTTTATCATTTGCGCCCCAGTTGTCGACACTTTATCGTTTCGTTCTTATTTCTCAATTCACCAGTGATTTTGGTTTATTTTCGGTGTTAGCCAGCACGCACACATGGTCACACAGGGCCAGGTCACACGTCCACGTCATAGATGGTCACACTATTCGCCCGAATCATGGTCACTCTGTGGTTTGAAGAACTCCAAAGCTCGATCTTAAGCATGCCAAGCACTCTGCACACCTCAAGTGCAACCACCTAAAAGTCCTTGCCAGGACCGCACCACAATTCACCACAGTTCACCATGATTTACCACACTTGCATCTGTCCTAGTCTGTCCGACACTCTCGCTAGACGATAAATAACGATCAAACTAGACACGATCACTGATAAGCAAGCTTGGATTACCTACAAATATATATATATATATATTCAACAAGACCACAAGACTTAGCACACACACCACACACAAGCTCAGTGAATTGAATATACACATGGCTGTACTGTTCCATTCCTTTTCGTTTCGTCACCTTCTGTTCCATTTCGAATGAGTTCCGTACGATTATGTTTTGTTGGTTGCGGCCTAAGTTAGATGATCTTTCACTTGGAGGGAAAGCAGCCCCCTAATCACTTAGATTTGTTTATTGGTGATGCTGCATTCACATCGTTTTAATTCACAATTAAAACCATGTATTCAGATCACCAATATTAGCTGACGAACCCTGTGCCCAACCTTCCTTGCTTTTATATTTCGTTCTACTCCCTCTATAGAGTGTGCCAGACAATTCACCGAGTCACCAACAATAGATCAATAAAGTTTCCTTAGTGTTGATTTTGAGTTTGCTTGAGTAGCGTTACTTGTTTAGCAAAGACTTAAACACCAATCGTAGTTGTAGTTTACTAATTAAGAAATTAAAAAAGAAAGTATTCAAAATGACAACCCAAAAAAAAGCGTAAATGAAACTGTATACCTAGAGGAAAAATACCCACTTAGAAAACCCATAATTATAGTCGTAAGCTGGAAAACCACAATTGCTGGAGTTTTCTTTTCAATATCTATAAGCTATCGCTAATAGTCTGGCTTTCCTTCCCTTCTTTCCCATTATCTCGCTCTCTATCTGTTTCTAATTTAATCATATACAGCCTGTCTCTACCTCTGTTTGCCTATTGTTTCGTTAAATCTTTGGTATCGAGCCAACTTAAGAAGAGCTACTTAGCGTAGTTTAAAATGATCGATTCGGATGGGTCCTATTCCGATCTTATCCAATGGTTCTTAGTGGTAGTGGTAGCCACATGCTGCATGCTGTTACATGTGTTTATCCCCAACTCCCGTATCTCCCACTTCCCAAACGGCTCCCAAGTACCATTACAAAAAATGTTAAATCTCTATGGAGTCTTTGAAGGACTAACGTATTGTGAGAGCAACTGTACCCAAATATCTTTACCTTTATCTCTTTGCTGCTTTTCAGGGAATAAGATGGCGGTCCTTCTCCATTAGATCCCCTGTTGCTACAAACCTCTTACAAGCGAAACAATTATTTGGTTTACATATTTTTCACAAGTGTTTAAAGTTTAAACTTTTTTTTTAGATACTAACAACTTCTCTAGAGAAGTACACACTCTCGGACACCAAACACTGTAGCTTAATTTATTTATTTAGCGTTTGTATTAGTTGGGGTTGCTCAGGTGAACAACTCTCGTAAATATATACCATAATTATGCATAGAACCAAAGCCTTCGTATCCAAAATCCAAGCTACCTAGTATACGACCATCTCACAAGTGCTAATTAGAATCCTCCTTTCTCCAAAAAAAAAAACAAAAAAATAAATAAATTCCATACTCAATATCAAATATGGAAATGAAAAGATTTTTGACAAAAAAAAAAATAGCAAGTTAACCAAACTAATTACCAAACTTTCATTTAAATTTGCTGCATTCTCTTTTTGTCTCTCTCTTTAACTCTATCGGTCTGTTTAATTCCGTTAAATTCCTTTAAGTTTTAATTGCCATTCCATTTGATTTGATATTGCGTTCCGTTTGGTTCCGTTTTTAGTCCTGAGCACTGATTAACGCCATGCCGTGTACATAAATGAATGTCGTTAACTGTACTTGGTGTCCTTGTCTTGCTGCCTGTCCTGTCCCCCAATAGATCAATAGATGTGACCAAAGCGCTTGCGTAGCATTTACCTTTTGTTTGCCTGCCCGCCTGCTTGCCTGTGTTCCAGTTCCGTACCGTTTCGTTTCGTTTCGTTGGGTTGGCAACTGTACTTTTGACCATAAGCTACGTAAAGAATCCGAAGAAAGCTCCCAACTGCTATAATTTATTACGTTTTACTGCCCACGCGTATACGCTATCTCTTTCCAAATGCTCTCAAACTATCTCTCTCTATCTCCCGCTCTGCCTATCAACCAGTCTCTTCTTGTGTGAAAGCTTTTTGGTTTTGACCGCCTTATGAGTTGCATTCCGTTACCGTTCCGATTAGTTGCGTTCCGTTTCGCTTGATTTCGTTCCGTTCCGTTTCCCCCCCCACCCCTTTCCGTTATGTTCCATTCTTGGTTCCGTTCCGTTCTGCGACGGAGCCTCGAAGCCGAAGAAAGAACGAGGATCGACTGGCATTGAAGCTTAACTGACTCCCCTTTTCCGCCCATATTTCAGTTCTTCGTGCGATTGGATCACATCCGCAAGTGCTTCACCCAGAAGGGCGGCATCTTTGTGCTGGAGGAGTACAGTAAGTACTGTATAACTAGTTGATTCCGGCTGAGCGACCAAATTTAAGTGATTTTCTTTTTTTTCTCGCAATTGCAGATCCCAAGACGCGCAATCTTATCCAGCGGAAGTATCAGTCGAGCATGGTAAGTACTTAAATCGATTCACAATTTCACCACTGTTCGCCACCACAGCCATCAAGCACTTTTTCACCCCTTGTTCCGAGTTGCATCCCGTTCCGTTATCGGAGCTATCGTTTATCGATTTAATGTACATAAACTTGCTTAAGCCTGCCAAGTTATGCAATTTTCTGTACAAATCAGTTGTAAGCCCCGAGCAAAAGCCCATCTCTTTTTATATCGATATATCTAATATATGGAGATTTCAAAACTTTTCCACCACTGTATGATATGGCACATTCAATTGCACCGACAGTTTGTATATACGATATTGAGATAATCTCTTTGATTTTCGATTTTTCCTTTCTTTCCGTTTCCGTTTTCGTTTTCCACTTGGTTCTTTGCATTCGTTTTTTTTGTGAATATATTTCTATGTCAACGACAACTCAACTACTCAACAACAAACAATGCCTGCAACAACAACACACAAAACACCAATACCACCACTCATATATCATCAAAATAAAAATCAAAAAACCAACCGCACACTGAAAAATAACCTTCATCAATTGAAACTGAAATTGAAACTGAAATCGAAACAACCAAATGTGTAATTGAAACCAAAGGCGTCGGAAATTGTCCTGAGCTTTCATCGCGTGACGTCCGTGCAATTTGCCTACATCTGTCATCTGAACGGCGTTCGAGGTACAGTCGCCGAGAAAAGCATAAAGCATGGAACGATGGAATCGTCGAATAGGCCAAGGCCCCCCGTGGAACCGCTGGAATCGATGGAACCCAAGCTGGCGAGCGAATAAATAATGTGCCTAAAATGAAATCTATGTAAATAAAATCAAGAATCCTTTTTATGTAACTCCTCTGTATGTATGTACTTCCTGACACATCTAAAAAAAGAAGAAAAAAAAAAAGAAACACCACAACAACAATCAGTACATAAACAACAAAGATAGTTTTTGGTTCTGGCTTTTTGTGACCTTTTTTTTTTGTTAAAATACCATAATATTTTCCATTTTCTCTTTCGGTTATTGTCTTCCACTTCCAATGTTGCGAGTTGCATGCTTTTTTTACTGCCTTTCTTCTGCCTTGTTGTGTTGTGCAAGCACCACCAGCCCACTTCACTTCTTAAAAAAAAAAACACCAAACCAACACTGTTCATTCTGAAAACAAAAAAAAAAGTGGCTTTTTAAAATCACGTATACGCTCCGTAGTCCGATCAGATTTGCTACTCGGTGCTGTGCGTCTTCTCCTACGTGGCCGCCGGCCAGGATCAGAAGAAGAATCCGGTGGTCATCACGCCGCAGATCCAGGACATCCATGCCCAGCAGAAGCAGAAGCACCAGCAGCAGCAGCAGCATCAAACCGCGCCTCCAGTCTCCACGGCCCCAGCAAATCCTACCGCAAATCCCAGTCGCATGGGTGGCAAATCTCCGGCTGGCACTATCTCCATACGGCACACGGTGCCCATGCAGAAGCCCACCATCACCATGTCCACGGTGCAGCCGCAGGCGAGGATGCCCACGGTCACGGTTCCGGTTTCGGTACCAGTTCCAGTTCATGTTCCTTCACCAAATTCAAATCCCACTCCCCCATCCAATCCCCCTCCCAATCCCGGCAAGCTGCCGCAATTGCCGCCACGTGTTCCATCGCAACCCTCGACGGAGAGCCTGGCCTCCATCTCATCGCCGCCGCCCAAGATCCGCGCACCGATGACCGCTCCACCGGGACCACCGCCGGCCATACCGCCGCGCACTGGAGCGATCGCGCGGAGCGGTTCGGTGCCGGCGGCCCGATCCTTTGTGCGCCAGGCATCGGCGAACTCCACGCCGCCGCAGTACACGCCGCAGCCGCCGCCGCCCTTTGTGATCCCCAAGCGGCACAGTGGCCTGGCCAGGGCCTCCACTTTGGGAGGATCAGGAGCAGCAGGAGGAGGAGGAGCAGCAGGAGGATCGCAGTCGCAGCAGCGCGCCAGCCACGGCAGCGTCGCCGCTGTGCTGCAATCAATGCCGGAGGCTGAGCCCGGCTATGGATCCGGTTCCGCTTCCGCTTCCGGTTCCGGTTCGATATCCGGCTCCAGTTCCGGCTCCGGTTCGGCCTCGGGCTCCATTGCCGGCGCCTCGCCGCAGGCCCATCGCAAGCACTGACGAAGGAGTTCGTTCTTCAAGTTTGGAGGTGGAGGAAATCCAAATCCAGGGGCTGGCGGCGGTGGCGGCGGACAGATGGGCGAGGAGCCCCATCCACATCCCCATCGCAGGGACGTCTGCCGCACCATCTGCATCCCCTGGCTGTGATCCCGGCAGTCGACCGACTAAAGCGGTTCACCCTAAACGTGGCTACCATCCAAAATTACCACATTTATGCGCATGACATAAATACAGCCAACTTCGATAAGAGAGTTCTTAAAAATATTTTAAAACTTGAGATTCCATATAATACTATTAATAATTTATTCCAATTTAATTTTAATTGCAAATTTTAAACCTTTCCCTGATAAATTTAAAACCTAAATTTAAAGCTTTCCGAAAATCCTAATAATTCCTAGTAAGCCACTAAAATACATTACATAAATAATTTTAAAAACTGAAAGAAGTTCGCATGTATTTAGAAAAGAAAACAATCAGTTCTAAATATAAACATATTTATGAGGCTCAAAAAATAGCAAACAAATGATGTTAAACACTAGCAACGTTTTGCTGTCTGTTTGTAAATATAGCATGTCTACTAATCAGTCATACTAGTAGATCATAAACTAAACAAGCCTTGCGCATAAACGTGGTAAAAGGAACCCAGCATTATAGCCATCTTCTGCTTGGATCCCGAAAGCCCCATATATAGATATATATGTACATGTACCGTATTTGAGCTGTATTTACTGAACCTTATTCTAGCCAAATCATATCATTAGCCGCCTCTAACTAATCCCATAGACGAATTGTTTCCTGCTAAGCTTTAAGGCAGAGAGCGCCAAAACAAAAGAAAGAAACTCGCTTAAACCTACCTAAATAGATAATACGAGAAAGATATATACACAGATCGGGACTTGACTTCATTATGGGCCCATTGAAGGGCACAACAAACGAACACAAACGGAAATTGAAGGCAATCTAGTTAGGGATATAGTATACTATACCAACTAAATCCAAAAAAAAAAGAAATATATATGTGAATATCTAGCAGACAACTACGATCATGCATAAAATATAAATATATATATATTTATGGTAAAGGAATTTAACTAGTTGTACTACAGAAATATTAAGCGAAGGCAATGGAGCGAGAGTGGTCCTAAGATCAGATCGGTAGGTTAAGGAATTGTCAGGGAACACGAGAAAGCACGGAGGACAGATTACAGAGAATTTTGGATTTACGAGGACTCTGGAGAGCAATAAGTGTGTCTGTGTATGTAGTTTGTAGGCAGAGAAGAGATCGGCGTACACACAATATATATACACCCATACATATACATGGATAAATATAACTATTTTTTTGTTCGCTGGTTCTGGATGTTACAACCATAAAACATAAATAAAGCCCAGCACCTATATACATGCACACATATATATATGTATACCTCTCTAACCGTGTATATATGTATATGATCGATTGTATTTTTCAAAGTTCAAAGCGAGAAATAAACAAAGCATAAAAAAAAAATATATATAGTCCAATGTTTCTAATCTATATGGCAAGGTCGTATAACCGATAAGAATGAGGCCCCCCAGCTGGGCCTTCTTTTTCTTACTGCGTCACGATGCTCGAATGTTTTTAACAACTGTTCACTATATTACTTAGCCTAGCTTATAATCTAGACATGATGGGGCCTAAGAACTAGCAATTAGGCAGAGATAATATTGTTATTATTATTATGCTGAGGTTCCGTCCTAGTCGCGTGACTCGATCCTAAGTCTGATGCCATTGCCACTCTTGGTCACCAACTCGGCCAACGGTTTCGGCTGATGAGTCTCGTCGGGCAGGAAGCGGTAGCTCCTCAGCAGCATCGACAGCGTGGTCTTCAACTCCAGCATGGCGAACTTCTGGCCTGAAAGGCGTAAGTAAAGTGAGAAAAAAATTAGAATCTGATAGGTACTATAACTAGAATTAAATGCCCATTCAAATCTAGTCTTGAAAAGTGTTTTGCCAAAGTGTTTCTAATGAACTATGATCTAAGACGATGTAGTAGAGTGACTAACTAAAGAAAGGGGTTATTCTTTTGATTATTATAACTTATATGTATTTACAATTGATTTCTTATTAAAAATATTCAAATTGAGGCTTGATTTTTAACCATCTTTAATTATTTTAATTCTTTTTTTGACACTAATCAGTTTTTAAATATTATTTGCGCTTAAAATCATGTTTAATCTGAGTCTCTGTTTATTGAAAACCCAGAAATGCAAAGGCCTTTCGTTCTTATCAATTGTTTAAGCTCTGAATTATTTTCGCAACAGGAATTTGAACGACCTCTGCCCCTTCTATATATGTTTATTTAAAATTTGCTATATATACATATATATTTTTGGGTTCATTGAGTTCCCTGAAATTTTTCCGCTGACTATTTTTGGCAACAAAACAAAGTTCGTATAAATAGCATCACGAACGATTACCTCAAATCAAAGCAGACAAAATAGAACTGTGTTCTAAATATTACGGAAGCTTATCTTTAAAAATGCTAAATTAAACTGTACGTGAAATATAATTCTGCTTTTTCAGGGGCATCTTATGTCATTGGTGATTTTTTGGTGAAACCTGAATATTATTGGCATTTCCTAGCTGTAATTTTTGGTTTTAATCTGAGGATATCTTAAAGTTTTCGATATCTTTAAAAGTATCGACAGTTTGCTATTTCTAGATATTTAAATTGTGTTTTCCCTTCAAAAAAATCGATATTATTGTAACAATATTGTCAAAATATCGAAAATATCGATAATTTAATTTTTTAATGGTTTCGAATGATTTGAACTTACCTATGCAGTTCCTGGGACCCGCGCTGAAGGCCGCAAAGGCGAAGGGATGCATTTGCTTCTCGTTGAGCAGGAAGCGATCGGGATCGAATCGTTCGGGATCGGGAAAGTTGTTCGGGTCGCGGTGGAGCATGTAGATGAGGCAGCTGATCGAGGCGCCCTTCGGAACCGTCAGCTTGCCCACCTGCAGATCCTCGAGCACTTTGCGCGAGAAGAACGGCACCGAGGGATAGATGCGCAGCGTCTCCTTGATCACCGCCTCCAGGTAGGGCATCGATTCCTTCTCCCTGCCCTCCAGTTCGCTGGCCTCTTCGAAGGCGCGCTGCTGGACCGCGGGATTCTTGGACAGCAGACTGAGGGCGAAGGCGATGGCCGAGCTGGTGGTGTCGTGGCCCTCGAACATGAAGGTGTCCACCTCCTCGCGGATGTCCGTGTCGCTCAGCTCCGCTCCGCCCTCCATTTGGCTGAGCAGCAGCATGTCGAGGAAGGCCAGTCGCCTTTTGGCGCCCACATCGTCCTGCTCCGCCTCTGGGCGGGATTCACTGCGCTCCTGGATCAGCTGCTCCCTGCGCAGCCGGATCACCCGGTTGGTCTCGTCGTGCAGGACCTTCAGGGCCGCTTCCCGCTCCTTGCCGGGCTTCGAGTGCTTGAAGAACACATTGAGCCGCTGCCAGAACGAGAAGCTCTGCTTGTGCATCACCCGACAGATGCTGAAAGTTAAAGTGAAAAAAATAACATAAATAAATGCTTAATTATTCTTACTAAAATAAGTATTTTAAAAGTATTTTAAATCTATAAAAGGTTTAAACATTGTATTATATTGAAATATAAATGAGAATAAATGAGAACACAATATTTACAGATCAAAAGTCAAATGACAGCTACATAATTATTAATAAAAATTTTTTTTATCACTTTCAAGGCAATTGGTTTTTTTTAAAAATAATTTTTTTAGGCAGCTTAAGTAATTTTCTGTAATTTTCTCCTCCTAAAGAAAATGTCTTACAAATAAAATAAAATTACAGACAGAAATAGTTTATAAAATTAAATTGAAACAAATTGCCAATGATTCCAAAAATATAAAATTAAGAGTTTTTAAGTTTGTAAGAAGTTTACCTATTTAATTATCATTATTTAAAACCTCTATCTTAGAAAACTTATTGGTTATTTAGTTTATTTTCAGTTCTATTATTTTTAAATAATTTTTTTAATTTCTTTTCTCCTAGATATATAGATTTCCAAACGATTGTACTTACGACTGAACCGCCTGCACGTATTCCGAGTCGCTCTGCAGCTGGGCGTGCTTCTTGATGCCCATGGCCGTCTCACAAATGGCGTCCAGGGCGAACAGGGTGATGTAGGGATAGATGTCGAAGGACTCGCCGCCGGCCTGCGACTTCAGGCGGCGCACCAGGATGCGGCAGTTCTCCTCCATGGGCTCCTTGAACTCGCCGAGGATGCGGAAGTGGAAGCCCGGTGTGAGCAGCTTCCGGCGGCGGTGCCAGGACTCGCCGCCATTCGTGAGCAGACCCTTGCCCAGCCAGGGCTCCAGGAGCTCGTAGTTGCGCGACTTGGTCAGCAGCTGGTTGTTGCCCAGCAGCTGCTTGATGTCCTCCGGATCGGTGAACATCACCATCAGATCCTTGCCGAACCAGATGCGAAACACCGAGCCGTGCTTCTCCCTCAGCTCCTTCAGCCAGTTGAGAATCTCTGGATTGGGAAATTTATTACTTTAATTTAAATTATTCTGGAAAATGTATTATAATTATGAAAAGTAAATTATTAAGCACTAAAATGCAAATGCACAAGTGGTTTGAAGAAAATATAGCCGAGTTATTAAGAATGCAAATAGAATTCCACTTCAAGGGCAATGCGGCGTATGCGTGATAAAATGCAGAACCATTTGGTTTTTCTTTTTTTTTTTTTAATAAATGGTATAATTATTTTATGGCAACTAAACACACTCTTTTAGAAGACTTTTCCACAAACTCACCTCCTTTCTTCACATTGGCAATGAGTTCGCCAATCGTAGGACCCGGCAGTGTTTTCGCAAATCTCTGCAGCCTGAGAAAATTCAGGATCTTCGGCAGATAGCGGAGGAAAAGTGCCCAAAGGACGAATGCCAGCAGTGCCAGGGTGCTCATTTCGCCAGCGAATTCAGACTTGTACTGGCACAACGACCCCGAAAACGGCTGCTATATAAATCAAGTGAA